ATTTAAATGAAAATAAAAGAGTAGCATAAATAAAATAATTCAGTAAGAAACACAATAAGTGATAAACAAGTAAGCAATGAAACATACAAACGAGTTAAAAAAGCATCAAAACAAAGACAAGAACAATCAGATAAAGCCATACAGAAAAAAAAAACATAACAGATACCGTACACATGCAAACAGACAAGCAAAATTACAATTATACGAACAATCTAATACATGTACAAACGTAACACACAAAAAAACAAACAAAGAAAATCACATATTAACAAAAAAAAAACACGACAAACAGCCCAACACCCCAACAAACAAACAAATAAAAAAACCAAAAGTTAATTAGAGAACTCTATACGAAAAAAAAAATTAAATGATTCATGAAGGAAAGAAAACTGACTGGTATAATTTGAAATGAATATTAGTTGAGCAAAGAAATCTGACCGAACCAGGACCCGAACCCGAAACCCCTGGACTACCGTTCCAGCGCTGGAACAGCAATACAGAGGTCCCGGGCCCGAATCCCGACTCGGCCAAACCTCCCCGCTCAACCAATATCCAAAACACAATTTAGATTAAAAGCAACAAATAGACAAAACATTACAGGCATTTAACCATCAATAAAATGAGCACATAATTCACGATTAAAACACTGAAATGAATCAAGTATCAATGAGTCCTTAACGTGGATTGGGAGATTACTCCATATACGAGGAAAAGCATGAACAGGGGAATTCCTTAAACTTATGGTTCTGGCGTAATGGTGATTAAATTTCAGCACGCCTCCCTGCAAAACATTCTGGATCCCCATGCTAATTGCTGCCCCCCCCCCCCCCAAAGGATAAAGGCTCTATAGCCGCACATGCATGTCACCCACATTCCCTCTACTCAGATGGACATTTCGAAACAAAATTCTACCATAAAAGTACATGTACTCCTTGATGTTGCGTAAGAGTAGTGATCCCAAAGAGCCATTTTTGTTGTACATTATATCACGAATGAAATGCAACGATTTTTATAAGAAAACTCTTCTTTGTTTTGATTATCATTAGGCCCAAAAAAAAGTCTCCGGTTTCTGGTATGGAGCTTGCCTAAAAAGTGGTGCGGCGACGCGGCTTTTTTTTTTTTTACATGTTTTTTTTTCTTCAAATGTCGGCTGATGACTGCAAATGGTACCCGACTATTAAAACTTAGTGCAAATATAATGTGAGTCTAGAGAGGCCACATAAAGCTTATTCTCAATCATAACCCCATCTAAAAATACATTAAAATTGTGCAGCAGCAGGATTCCAGTCAAACCAGTGAGTTTGGCGGTTTTGAGACATCATCTTTCATTGAACAAAAACTTTTTCATTTTGCCGACGCGCATGGCTACGGAGACGCGCGCGCATACCAGAAACCGGAGGCTTTTTTTGGGGGGGGGGGGGCCTTAAAGTAGGAGCTTAATTGATATACATAGGCCTAGAGTGTTGTTTGTATTGAGCATCAAGACAGTTGTTAGTGACTTTATGCTTTGGCCTACTAGTGATTTTGAACGCTTTAGGCCAAAATTGGACTGTGTAATACATAATTGTTTTGTTAATTATTTCTACGGATATTTTCCACAAAATTATTTATCCTAGTCGGGCGTCACTGTGGCGGCAAAGCTTAAAACCGCACAAAATCTCAGGAAAAGACGTGCTTTATCTCTACATTTCATGGTTTCCTTTTCCCGTCAGCAGGATGATGCTATCAGCCTTCTGACTGTCTTTTCCCCCCTCGATTTCACGAGCACTGTTAGTTTTTTCCTTATATCATTATTTTGTATGAGTTCCTCTAACCCGGTACCGGACGCAAGTTATACAGACCCTTTGGTTTTTCAATTAGGCAGGCGGGGACTTTACGCCGGTAACGCCTGCGCAGTTCAGTCGTGAAAAGGCCACCTCGATCCTTGCGCGTCTGTTGGCCTGAAGTGTCTTTTTTAATGATTTACCAAAGTATTTCCTTCATCGTGAAAATTTTAACATCAAACTGACGGTGATCGATCGAAAATTTTTGTTTCAGATAAACAACTCATATCAACACACAAACAGTGAAAAAACGTTCACTTCTGTCATTCGTTTGGCCCTTCGGTCCGTGTTTTATAATATCTTACGTTTGCTGTAAAGGTTTTCCTACGATGTGAAAACTGCAGGGTTATTGTTGGCTACTGAATGCGAAATTCGTTCTACGCAACCACTGATTGAGCTATGCTTTTTTTTTTTTAAACAAACTTCCCATGAGATGTCTACGACCCCGCCCCAACAACCCGTGAAATCTCGGCAGCGCCCTCCATTGGCACGAATGAGCCAGTCGATCATTTTTGTTATGGATCTGGAAGGCCAAGGCGCGGCGCGAGGGTTAACTTGATTGAACTTCATGAACTTGACTTTTACTTACGTAAAAAGGCCGTAAAGGGACATCAATTGTTTTAAGACGCCCAAAGGTTGGTAAAGAACTGGGAAAGAATGTAGGCCTAGTATCCAGACGCCACTTCAGTGGTTGTGTACAAAGTCTATCGAGGGTCAACATGGTCACGAGTAGCCCCATAAATGTGGCCTATTTACTGGACTGCCTCCGTAAACATAGGCCACACATCCACATGTACAAAAACGTGTCGACTTTGCCAAATTTTGATTTTCACATTTAGGCTTACTTTGTAGGTTTTTTTTGCTTTAGAAGCATTCTCACCCTCTATATAGGCTAATCAGAAAGTGCTGCCTTTTTCAGATGTCTAATTTTTGTGAAATTTCATGTTGAAATTTTGATACGCAAACGTGTGCAAATGTATCTGGAAATTTTACGAAAAATGGACATCTGAAAAAGGCAGCACTTTCTGATTAGCCTATATAGAGGGTGTGAATGCTTCTAAAGCAAAAAAAACCTACAAAGTAAGCCTAAATGTGAAAATCAAAATTTGGCAAAGTTGACACGTTTTTGTACATGTGGATGTGTGGCCTATGTTTACGGAGGCAGTCCAGTAAATAGGCCACATTTATGGGGCTAGGTCAAGAGGCGATCGTGAAGTGTAGGGCCCCTGCTTTGTCACGTTTGTTTTGATCAAATTAGAGTAAAAAATGTTTAAGAACATGTCCATACTCAATCGCCACTTACCTGCCGCCAAACATATCAATTTTCACCTCACCTTGTGATTTCAACCAAGAAGAATCCAGGAAGCTGTGTAATTTGTAAACATGGTAAATGCGAAAAAAAATTAGACAAAATCATGTGTTTTTACTTATTTTAGAGCACATTTTGGATGCACACGTCGTGCAGTACTAAGTAGTAAGTTGAAGCAGCCGGTCAAAACTGATTGAAGTGGCTGAAAGACAGCGGTACGTTATATGCATGACATCGACAACCATGACGTCGCATGAGCCGGCCAATGATAGTGCAACACATCATTATGAATATTTATTTTCTCATGAATATTTAGTTTATTTCAATGGCTACTTCAAATACGTCCAAAGATTGATCATTGCAACAGCAATCGTGCGCGGCCTAACGGTAAAGAGTCTCGTGTTTCAAGCAAGAGCCCGAGGTTCGATTCTCGATGAAGTAACTGACTGATTAATAAATAGAAATAAAGGCAAGGAGAGGGTGAGAGTAGAGGAGGGAAAGTGGAGGGAATAACCATAAAGGATGCAACTTTTGGCACTTGAAAATTAATTGAAAAAAGTGGTGATCTAGTATGGAATTTTTTCCCCAGATTCATGTTTTTTTTTCTCAACATTTTTGCATTGACTGACCTTCATTGAGATGACATATGACGAAAAAGTGACAGCAGGATGCAACATTCTTTCCCACCCTTTTTTCGAATATTGACTTTGGTCGACTACGACCGACTAGTAAAGTCAAAACTCGAAGAAGAAAAAAGAGTTCTAACACCCCAGTTACTGGGTCTAGCATTAACAATAACATGTCATTATGTGCTTGGAAAACTAACAGATGAATTATATGAAACCTGCCCAACGTGCCCAATGAACATTCACACATATGTATAATGGGCTTGCTTCAATGTGCCAAAGAATTGAAGCTCCAACTATATAAAATACATAGACCCATTAACTGGGGCACTAGACCTTGTTTTGACTTGGAGTTGGATTGTATGGTCATACTACCGGTAGGACCGATCCAAGCCAAAATGTCACAAAAAGGAGTTCTAGCGCCACAGTTACTGGGTGTCGAGTCCAATTTCCTTTTTCCTGTAATATGATCAGAAATGCATTGCGATTGATAAACCAGCTGTTCCCCCAGAGTGTATAGGCCCAGACTGGAATCTCGAGCGCAGAAAAACATGCAATACAAATTCAGAACAACTTAACTCGCTTTTTAACTGAGAAAATTGTCCCAAACTTTCATGAGGCAAAGACAAGGTCCTCAGTATTTCACCAGCCAAGTTTGAAGTGTCAATTCATTTTTTTTTTAAACAAGACTTTTCTTCAACAATCTGCACCTGAGAGTTAATAATGGCCAAGTTATTTCAAATTGAAGTTAGACTGGTACATTGTACATTTCCAACTGTTAGATACTTAGATTGACCCTTCAGTGGTCTGGTGGCAGACCATTGAGGGATATGTAGAAATAAAGACCGCGAACCAGATATTTTTTTTGGGACACAGGGGTGTTGCACTGGGTGTTTCATGTGTCAGTCAATTTTCTTGTGTTCCATGTTTTCAGTATGTTAAATTTTGTTAGATTTTCATGCACGGTATTGAAAGTCCCAAATTTTTCCGACTGGTATAGGCCTACACTCATTATGATTGACTTGTGATGACTAGTGGTGACTTATGACTATCTCGAATACGACAATTTAGTTTCGGGGGGGGGGGGTGAAACCTTGGTTTTGTCTAACTTTGATGACAAAGTTTTACAGTTTTCCATTTTCTTCCTTTCAGAATGCCAAAGTTGCAGACGATGCCGGAGTTTCAAAAACCTCCGATAATTTTTAGCGTGACATAAGCAGAATCTGGTTTTTGTCTTGACAGCAATCTGTGATCCATCCTGCATATCTGGCCAAGGAGTCTGCACCGCACCCAGAACCTGCACCTGCTCTGCCGGCTACGAAGGCTCCCGCTGCGAACGGCGATGCCCTACTGGGCGTTACGGCCAGAATTGCGCATCCACGTGTCAGTGTCAGAACGGCGGAGTGTGCCACCATGTGACGGGGTCATGTGACTGCCCCCCAGGCTGGGTGGGAAGTGTCTGTGACCAGTCATGTCAGGAAGGCTACTACGGTGACGGATGCTCGTCGGAGTGCCAGTGTCGTAACGACACTAGTCAGTGTGATCCTCCCACTGGGTTGTGCAGTTGTAATGACGGCTGGATGGGGGCGCTGTGCGATGCGACATGTTCAACTGGGAGCTATGGTGCAGGTACAGCCACAGCCACGGTTTTTAGCAAGAAGGGCATTTGTTTTTTATGGAAGTGTAGATAAGACATTAAAAAAAAAATTCTAATGCATACGTACGAATTACTAAACCGTACGTACGAATTACTAAATCGTACGTACGAATTACTAAACCGTACGTACGAATTACTAAATCGTACGTACGAATTACTAAATCGTACGTACGAAATAATTAGTAATTCGTACGTACGGTTTAGTAATTCGTACGTACGGTTTAGTAATTCGTACGTACGAATTAGTATTTCGTACATACGAATTAGTATTTTGTACGTACGGTTTAGTAATTCGTACGTACGAATTAGTTTTATTTTTTTTACCATGTCCTATCTACACTTCCATAGTTTTTTAATTTCATATTTTTTTTTTTTTTTTTTGACTAATTGTTTGAATACTTATTATTTACTTGTGATTGACTTTTGATTGATTTATGATTGACTAATGACTGACTTGCAGTGACTTGTGACTGACTTATGACTGGCTTATGACTGGTTTATGACTGACTTAATAACCGACTTATGACTGATATATGTGACTGACTTGTCAGTGACCGACTAATTGACTTATTGACTTGTGATTGACTTGTGACTGACTTGTGACTGACTTGTGACTGACTTGTGATTGAGTTATGGTTGACTTGTGACTGACATGCGATTGACTTGTGACTGACATGTGACTGACTTGTGACTGACTTGTGATTCGCTTGTGGCTGACTTTAGAGGACTAGACCATCTCTGCATGATCGTCACTCCCTATTCTTATTCCAGGCTGCAGCGACATCTGTGAGTGCCAGAATGGAGCATCTTGTCATCATGTGAGCGGAAATTGTAGTTGTCTGCCGGGCTGGGAGGGTACGCACTGCGAGAACGAGTGCAGGGATGGTTTCTATGGCGATGAATGTGCAAATGCCTGTCGGTGCGAAAACGGAGCTCGGTGTGACAAAGAGACCGGTATGACTTTTTTGTTTTTGTAGTAGTCGATTTTTATGACTGAGAAACTGTCATGAGTGTCAGGTTGGCACAGTATTCTTTTCTCCTACTTTTCTGTGACCATGGTTCGATTCCAACCAAGACCGGGTTGTAGATCAGGTTTTCAATCGCTACCTGATCTTCTCTTTTAGCTGGAATTTTCCTCCGAAGTCTAAACCTGTTCATTCCTGTTTTCAGGCATGCAACTTTTCCTCGGATCCGCTGATTTCCTCAATTTTTTTACTTCTCATGAATGCCATTACAAATTGGAAAATCCTGTTCAAAGTCTTGTGTGAATTGGAGTTGCCTCGTTTTTTTCCTTCTAAATTCCCAGTTGCAAGCCTGTGTTTTTCTCCCTAAAACTGACTTCATACTTGTTATCTTTGGGCATATTTGAGGGTTTCTTGCTTTCATTACTGGAGATAAATAATTTGAGACAAAAATTACTAAGAATTTCAATATGTTTCTTGCTTGCTCAGGTCATTGTTGGTGTACTGCGGGTTGGCAGGGAGACACCTGCAGTGAGCCATGTCAGGGAACCTATGGATTGAACTGTCTCCTCCCATGCCTGTGCCAGAATAACGCCACCTGTAACCCAGTCAATGGTTAGTCATGGACAAATCTCTACTTTTTGGATTTTAGTGTTCTGAAAGATCCATAGATTTGTCGGTATTTGACTGAGAATATGAGTTTTAGATCCTGCAGGTTTCGAAAATTTTGAGAAGTATCGTAGTTGTTAATAAATATGTTCTCTGCAGGTTTTTTGGGGAAGGATGAGCCTCACTTCCCCACTGTCTGTCCCCCCCCCTCCACCCCCCACCCTCAACCCCCCCACCCCCCAAACCCCCCCCCCATGCCAGCCCATTCCCACCTCCCATCCCTCGTCCATCTCCCCACCCCTCGTCCGCCCCCCCAGCCTTTAGCACTCGCAATCACATCTGTTGCATCCTGTATCGCCCTTTCATTTTCAGTCCCCTAAAGACTTCTATTACTCTTTCCATCTTTTTTCCTCCCAATCCCACCCTACAGGCAACTGTACCTGCTCGCCAGGCTGGGTTGGCGATGTCTGTGATACCCCGTGTGGTCCTGGCATGTATGGTACCAACTGCAGCGCGGTGTGTGGGTGCTTGAATGACGCTGTGTGTGATCATGTGACTGGGGAATGCTACTGCACAGCAGGTACATAGGGTTTACGGTGAACACAAAAACAACAGTGGCGCACCTAGGATTTGGCTTTGGGGCTCTCAATTTTTTTTTATTTATTTTTTATTTTTTTTTTCAATTTTTATAGGAATTTGAAATGTTTGCAGAAATGTTGCCCTGATTTTTGGTCACAGAGAATTTTTTTTTGGGGGGGGGGCGATTGTGTTGCCATGTACACTCCTATTCTACTCAGAAATAGACCACATTACTACGGTCAAATCGTGGATCTAAAAAAAACCAAAAACTTTGACCAAAAAAATATATAAATATTAACAATCTCAAAATTTGTCCAGAAAAATATATAAATTAAAAAATTGGCAATCTCTTGTTGCCCTGATGTTTTGGTCGCATTTTTTTGGGGGGGGGACACGATTGTGTTTCCATTCACACCCCTATTATACTACTCAAAAATAGGGCACATAAATATCACTACAGTCAAATCGTGGCACTAAAAAAACCAAAAATGTGGCCCCCAAAATTTATAAATATTGACAACCTCTTGAAGGCCCCCCGTCCCCCCCCCCCCCCCCACCGCCACTGAAAAACAATGTACGTACAGTTGCTTAGAAGTGGTTTAGTTTGTTGTGAGTCGGAAGAAGATAATGGCCCAATTTTTTTTAAATTGATGTATGAATTTGTGGTATCATTGTATGATACTGTCAATGTATCATCTGTCTCTGTTTATAACCATAGCTTTGCAAACGTTATCTTGATACTGCCTTACATTTCCATTTAGTTGCTTTCCCCTTGTCATTTTCAAGTTTCAAGAGAATTTTTTTAACTGCATTTAAAAGCAAATAAAAGAGCCATCAAGAACCTGAACTCCAAAGATTTTTTAAGAAGTTTGCAGATACTCTAGAAAACAGAAAAGCAACTTTTTGTTTTGTTAAAATAAAAGATTTGTTTGGAGGGAAAATCAGATGTGTTGAAGAGCACACACAGTACATCTTTAACACAGGATTAGTTTTTACCACCTTGTGAATTATTCCATCCTTTACACTTTCTTTGAGAAGACACATTAATTGTATGAACACAAAGCTTATTTTTATATGAGGTAATACTCTGTTATACCCTCTTCAGGTTTTATCGGGCAGCAGTGCGGCGACGTGTGCCCGGAGGGACGATACGGTCTGGGCTGTGCTTACACCTGCGGTTGTTTGAACGATGCTCGTTGCGATCCTGTGACTGGAAGCTGTGACTGCACAGCTGGGTACACTGGTACCCAGTGTGGCCAACGGTGTCCATGTAAGTTGACTATATGTCCCGTGCTTGAACAGAAGGTATTTAAATTATTTAAAACGTTGTGCAGCTCGGCCAAGTTTCGTGAAATCGATAAGTTTATTTCGCAGCTGCGCAATGAATTTGTTGCGTAAGTCCTATGCATTGCATAAGTTTACACACTGTTTCGTGAAATCCACTGCAGGATGGTTAATAGTGTTACCTCGCCTTCAACCTCTGTGTCCCAGGTTCGAATCCCGGCTAGGTCCAACATGTGGATCGTGATTTCAGTCTCGACCTGATTCCGTGGGTTTTATCTGGAATATCTGGAATATCATTCCGGGCTTCGACTCCGACCTCTAAACCCAATTTACTTCCTCATCTGCTACTGAGGGACCCAATTGGAAATAATTGGCGAGACTTTCTTGGGCCGTGGCTATCCTGGTCCAATAAGTAATTCAGTTGGAATGTACATGTACTTCTATAATTTTTTTCATTGAAAATTTTGGAACCTGAATTATTGATTGACTTTCACAAAAATAAGTAATTAAATTGGAATGTACATGTACTTGTATAGTTTTTTTCATTGAAAATGTTGAAAGCTGAATTTTTTATTGACTTTCACCAGTGTAATTTCATAAACACTGTATACTCAGTGTTGTCAGATGGATTGCAAGGAAAATTTCACAAGCTTGCGTGGGTGGGACTCGAACCCATGACCTTCTTTTCACTAGTGAAGAAGACTTACCACTCGACCACTGAGCTTGCCTGCTTTGAATCTGACATAGCAGCGGGTCCCCCAACCAATCACTATTTCTATGAAGAAATTTTAACCCTAACCGCCCTGAATCCTCCAAAGTCCTTTTTGCAAATTGGAGGAATTTGCAGGATTGAGGTTACATGGCAAAAGTGCGTTGCTGATTTCGGAGTACGCACTGTGTCAAGGTCTTGGGCCGGACCTTGTGTTGTTTATGCTCAGCCGTGCATAAATTTAGTCCTTGATTATACTTGACATCCTTCGCACTGCTCCAGGATGTCACTGCCTCTGCCTCAGCCTATTGACAATCATAGCCGTATGATTTTGCAGGATTCAGGCAGTGGTCATCCCTCCATAAACCATATTCAAGAAATAGCGGAGGAATTTGCAGGATTGAGGCTATATGCTATTTTTCCATGAGGCCAGTTGGAGGATTTTGCAGGATTGAGGCTACATCCTAGCAAAAAGGCCTAGGGAGTTAGGGTTTTAATGTCCGAGAGATATAAATTGCCCTTCACAGACGTAATTTAATAAACACTGTTTACTCTGTGTTTATATGATTTTTGTTAATGTTGTGGTTTGATATGCTTGTCCATCATATAGATGGTTACTATGGGCTAGACTGCCAGAGTACTTGTGAGTGCGATAACGGCGTCTGTAACCACGTCAACGGATCGTGTGTCTGCCACCCGGGCTGGAAAGGGGACGCCTGTGACGTGACCTGCGACGCGGGCCGCTACGGCGCGCAGTGCCGCGAGCCGTGCGAGTGTATGAACGGAGCAAGCTGTGATCACGTGACCGGGGCCTGCACATGCGGCGCGGGATGGATGTCGGAGCGGTGTGACCGTCGGTGCGATTTGGGCTCGTATGGCCTAGCCTGTGTTTTTGCCTGCCAGTGTCAGAACGGCGCCACCTGTCATCATGTGACCGGGGATGCGACTGTGCTCCAGGCTATGAGGGGAATTTCTGCCAAAATCCCTGCAGTGGTGAGTGGTTTTAGATCTGGCTTAGTTACATAAAAAAAAAATCGAAATTGCAGACTGTAAATATCTTGAGGAAAAGCAAATAGTTGAAAAGAATTCAGAGTAAAGGACTTTCGACTTGTATTTAAAGTATTTTTGCAAAAACTGGTATATTTCATGATTTTTTTTTATGTCTGTTGATGTACTCATCAACTTCCTTGCAGTTTCGCACAGTTTAGACTAATAAAACGCGGCAATGTTTCTGTCGGAGAAAACTGTAGGAAAGCTCCATTTTGGGGAGGAAAACACTAAAATGAATTTTTTTTAGACTTGCTTTTAAATAAGTTTTGATTGTATATTAATAATTCTTTTAAAACCTCTCTAGCTTATCAACCAGTGTTTCAAGGGGGTTCCTCAGTAAGATTTTATTGTGTTTGACTTCCCCATTGTATTTAGCCATTTTTACCGCTTGAATTTATGTAAGAGGCAAAACAACTCTAATATAAATACTAAAACAGTTTTTAAAAAACTCTAAAAAGAAATTGAAAATTCTGTCCTCGAAAGATGGAACTTTTGGAGCGAATTGTGCCTCGGCCTGTGTTTGCCTGAACGGCGCCGCTTGTCACCATGTGACGGGTCTGTGCACCTGCACGGACGGCTGGATCGGAACAACCTGCAACCAGTCATGCCCAGTAGGTTACTATGGCAACCAGTGCTTGGAAGAGTGCCAATGTCAAAATGGGGCGGCGTGTGACCACGTGACGGGAGAGTGTAACTGCACCAGTGGGTGGCAAGGTAGGATCTGGAGAAATGTTGAATGGATTCCCATGCCCAAAAGAGAATTATTCTTAGATCTCAAGATGATGTATTCAAAGTTCTGTAAAGTACTATATTACAAGAATTTTTTATGTTATTCCTACATGCTATTTTGTTTTCGATATGTGTGTATCAAACGTTGGTTTTATGGCGATTAATAGCAAAATTCTTTAAACCATTAGATGCTATTAACACTCAGTGATTTACAGAAGTTCAACTACACAAAATGGGTTCTAATAAAAAAAAAAAACAATTAAGGAGTGGAATTTATGTTATAACCAGAAACGGTTTTAGGATTTGCTTCTTTCTTTTTTTTCAAGAGTATCCTCTCAACTAACAGGCATGCAACTTTTCCTCAGATCAGCTGATTTCCTCTTATTTTTTACTTCCCATGTGTGCCATTGACAATATAAAAACACTGTACAAGGTCTGGGAAAAATTTGAATTTCCTCTCTTTTTTGTGGTTTCCCAGTTGCCTGCCTGAACTAAGCATTCTGTTTGTCATTTTTCACCAACCTTTAGTCTTTTCTTGGTCATGGTTTACCCTGTGCGTGACTTTAGTAAGTAAGTAAAATCTGTCACAAGCCAATATAGTCCATCAGGCCAGCGTTTATCTCCGATTTCAGTGGCATGAAACGACTGAGAATATTTCTACTCCCCTTGGATGGGATGCCAGTCCATCGCAGGTTACACCCCTGGCCAGCTAATGCCGGTACCCATTTATACTCCTGGGTGGAGAGAGGCAAGTGGGGGTGAAGTGGCTTGCCCAAGGACACAACGTATGAGCAGTAGCTGGATTCGAACCCCTGACCCTCTGATCCTGAGTCACAAACCCTAACCATGAGGCCACACTCCCCCATCCTCTTTACTGTAGTACATTTTGAAGTATTGTTTACTGTGCTTGCTTGTTTAACCAGTTCACGCCAGGATTATATTGACAAGAACGGGATTACTTTTTCACTCGACCTCATGCCAGGCGGGTTGAAGCCATCACCCTCGAGCAGAACACTTTTATATCCAGCCTCGCTCGCTGCGAGCGGGTCACTGACAGATATTTCCGGCCGCGCTACCTGCGTGTTTATCCGTCATCCGTTCCGAATACTGCAAAACTTTTGCATGTAAACACAACTGGTTCAATATCCGGGATGCGTGTTAGACAAGTTTCGCTGCAGTAGGCTTATTGTGTCCGGAATTAGTTATAGGATTCTGAACCAACTTCGTAATGAAGTGAATACTCGATAAAATAGGCCTGTTTGTAGATAAACTTGTCCTCAACATATGATGCGTTACAGTGGACTGATCTGATATAGTTTCGTATTTGTTGGTTTGTCTCAAGGCATCCATTGTGAGTCGCCGTGCATTGACGGTTGGTACGGCCAGGACTGTTCCGTCGAGTGTTTCTGCTACAACGGAGCCCTGTGCCATCACATCACGGGGGCTTGTCTCTGCACGGACGGCTACATCGGTGAACTGTGTGAACAACAATGCATCCACGGAAGTACGTTAGGCCGGGTCTGAATGACTTTGCCATGGCTAGTGGCTATGGCTACTTGGCTATGGGAAAAGTTTCCAAAATCCATTTATTCAAGCACCAATGAGAGTTTAATCACAAGTGCGTCAAGTTGCCAGACCTTTTTGTAATGATTGCAGTCTGTGTTCCATTTTCAAAAATAGTTTACTTTTTGGCTGAAAGCAGAGACAACTGCTTTATGTACTGCATTCCTCCTGTATTCGTTCAGGAGAAAAGTTCAGTCAGACTGCACAAAAGGCAGCATCATCAGTGCTGAAGTCAAGTCCATTGCAATTCCTTCACAGGTCTTGTCACAGGTACATCATAAGTCAATTCACAAGTCTGGTCACAAGTAACAGTAACAAAAGACAGTATTCTCAAAGAAATGTCTTTGAGTACTGTTCAGTTTAGTAGCTTGTGATTAACTTTTGATCGAAAGGTGGCTGCCATTTGTAATTAACTAGTGACTGACCCGTGATGGATTTGTGATGGATTAGTGACAGACTAGTGACGGACTTAGTGACGTGATTATCTAGTGATGGACTTGTGATGGACGTGTGATTGACTAGCGACTGACTTGTGATGGACTTGTGATTGACTAGTGACTGACTTGTGATGGACTTAGTGACGTGATTATTTAGTGATGGACTTGTGATGGACGTGTGATTGACTAGCGACTGACTTGTGATGGACGTGTGATTGACTAGCGACTGACTTGTGATGGACTTGTGATTAACTAGTGACTGACTTGTGATGGACTTGACTAAAACACCGAGCATTACAACAAGTACAATTTTTTTTCAAATAAACCGCATAGTTAAAGTGACTAGGTGTATTAAAATTATTTTAAAAGTTGAACAAAGAAAATGACTATAGCATGGTTTGAACCTATTAGGCCAAAAAAAAAAGTAGTTCTGCTTCCGATTACATGTCTTTCAAAAATAGGGTCGGTCGGTCGGAATTTTTTTTTTTTTGCCAATTTTTTTTATGCAGATTGAATGGGGTATTCAATTATATGCGAAGTTTTAGCCTGAACTATTTCTATTGCACTACGAAAGCTATACATGAAATGGCAACAAAAAGTGAGTAAAAGCTACTTTTAATTATTGTCAATATATTTAAGTTCGATAATTCGTAAAAAAAATTGTGGGAAATTCAGGTCGTTCGCACCATAGGCACAACGCTAGTCAAGAACGGGAGCTGGCCAAAACTCCGAAGTGTGTGATGCACTGTACATGTACATTTGTACATGTGTGGCCCGCGGCCAACGGGTCGAACATTTCAGGAAACACGCTGCATGTATCACTCCAAATACGAGTAGTGCGATCTCAAAATGAACTCTTGAACACGGAAAATACACACACAGACAAGCTAGATCAAATCTGTGAATTAACTTGCAAAAATGTTCTCCATCGGTGTTTTCTTGGCATTTTTAAGATGTCTTTCTCAGCATTTTTACGATGTCGATTCCGACCAGTTGACAGAGCACGTGCCTGCGCCTGCATAGCCATGCATGCTAGCGCTAACATCGCATAGCCGTGCACAGACTAGTTACCGCATTTTCATAATTGGCTCCTGCGCGGCGCGGCGGGAACCAGTCGTCGCCGCATTGCGCTTATTACGCACGTGATTATAGACATCGAATTGCGAAGTAGTTGAATCGCGCAGCGAATTTGTAAAAATAACGGAGGTTTCTTTTGAAAAAATAGCGAATGTAAGTAAGAAAACAATAAATACAAGCATTTTTTGATGCAAAAGGGTTGTTGAGAGGTATTTTGTGAAGACAGACAAGACATAAGGTTTTTATTTTTATTTATTCAATCTATTTTTTTTTTTTTTTTTTTTTGAATTGCCGATAAAATTTTTAGGGTCGCAGCCTAAAAATAGGGTCGGTCGGGTAACCGGAAGCAGAACTATTCTTTTTTTTGGCCTTACCTCTGGATCGCCATTCCGGTGTTCTATCGACTGAGGTATCTAGCCCTAAGTCGGCAGTTCCCATTTTGTCATTGTCTTTGTTCAAGGGGCACTAGTCAGTTGACAGAGCACCGGAACGGCAATCCTGAGGTCTCGGGTTCAAACCCTGCTCCAGTCATTTGTCTAGTTGACATTAATGTTTATTTTTCTTTCTTTAGAATATGGTCCCAACTGCAGCCTGGATTGCACCTGTCAGAACGACGCACTCTGTGACCATCGTAACGGAAGCTGTACCTGTGGTCCAGGCTGGCTCGGACTCACCTGTAATGCTTCGTGTCCTACTGGTATGTTTGGTATGCGGTGCCTGTCCATGTGTACATGTCAGAATGGTGCAGTCTGTGACCCGGTGTCTGGTTCCTGCCTCTGCCAATCTGGTTGGATCGGTGACTCGTGTGAGACTGAATGCATGCAAGGTATGTCGAGACAGAAAGGATTTTATGTTTAACGAGGGTGGATTTAAAAAAAAAAATGGAAGGGGGGGGGCGGTTGCTAACCAACCCAACCTCACTCTGACATCAGCGATTACTTTCATATTTACAGTAGTCATTATTATCATATGTACAAGAGTCATTATTACCCCTGCTCATTGGGCCAATGAAACATTCCATAGACCATCTCAGCTCCCTGGGGAGTATACAGCTTGATACTGCCATTTCGGCGCAAAGCAGCTAAATCAATCACAATAACCATCTCTACCCTTACAGGCACCCTTTTACTCCTGGGTGGAGAGAAGCATTGAGTGACAAAGTGCCTTGCCCAAGGGCACACGCACTATAACCCCGGGCTGGACTCGAACCCCCAACCTGTAGTGTTACCCGCAGAATAGTTATACAAGGCTTGCATTTGTTTTTATTGTCTTTGTCTTTTCGTCTAGGTCACTACGGCCAAGATTGTGGCCTTACCTGCCTCTGCCAAAATGGTGCCCATTGTGACTCCGTCGCCGGTCTATGTACCTGTGCCCCTGGCTACCAAGGCACGGTCTGTGAGACCGCCTGCCAGCAAGGGTACTACGGACAAGACTGCCGGGAACCGTGCAGGTGCATGAGCGGTGCACTGTGCAACCACGTCACCGGTTCCTGTGCATGTCCACCGGGCTGGATCGACGACATCTGCAATACGACTTGCCCGCAGGGCCAGTACGGTGACGCGTGCTCACAACAGTGTCTGTGCCAGAACGGGGCGAGCTGCCATCACGTGGACGGCGCTTGTAACTGCACGGAAGGATGGCAGGGGGCGCTGTGCAGCGAAACGTGCGACGAGGGTTACTATGGATACCGATGTGAACATCAGTGCATGTGCCTAAACCAAGGGCTTTGTCATCCTGCCAATGGTAATGACAAAAGTTTAACCGAAAATTTATGTAGCAAATTTTCCCGAAAAAAAAGTAATCATCAAATCATCGGGGAGACATTTTGTAGTTATTAATTGTACCTTTGGGAAACAGGAGATATTAGGGAGACATTTCGATATAGGTTGACAAACTTTTGTGCCCAAGTTCATGGGAATGTCTCCTAAATGGCCCATTCTCGGTAATTATTAAATATTGATTGCAATATTTTTTTTTTTGAAATTGGTGTGAAACACTTGTGGATGGAAATCTATGTCAGTTATGTACTACATATTCTGCAATTGTTTTCAATTTATTCTGAAAACATATCAATATTGTTTAATTTCTATACATTTTCTCTGTTCTGTTTTGCACTCAGTTCACAATTTGATATAAATCAAAAATAATATTTGATGTCAATTTCAACATTGTCACATTTTGATGGTTGCAGGCGAATGCACATGCCAAGCTGGTTGGCAGGGCGACCACTGCGGGAGAACATGTGACCCAGGTTACTACGGCGACAATTGTGCCTCATTGTCTGGCTGTCAGAATGGCGCCATCACGCATCATGTGACCGGAGCGTGCCATTGTAGCGCAGGGTGGACCGGGTCCCTCTGTGAAGATCAGTGCCCGACAGGTACTTCTTGACTTCCTCACAAAACCACAAAAACAAAACCAGAAACCAAACAACAACAAAAGTAGACCAATAAAAGAAATGAAAGAAAGAGTGCAACGAACCAACACATCAATTGCAGGGACACCAGTTTTCAGGCTGAATTTTTGGGAAAACAAACTCGGGCTTTCTGTCCCTTCACAGGCTGGAAAAATAAATCCTCATGTAGCATGCACAGAGAAAACAAAACTGTGCATTCAGTACTCCATTATAGCTCAGTACACGAATGTATGAATGGTAAGTTCAATCAAAGTAGACATACTTATACCTGTACAAGTGTGTAAATTCTTGTTCCGTAATTGTGGGGACTTACACTCGTCTGTGCAAGGTATTTGTGGGGACCGAACATGCTATGGGGACAGCAGAAAGTCCCCATAACTCGGTCCTAATTTCCCTAACAATAAAAAACTTCCCCATAACGCGGTGTATGCCTACCTGTTATTGCAGTTGTGTGTATGGTGTATTGCAATCATTTTGTGCATTTGGCTACCTTTCACATGTCAACATTTTCAGGCCTTTGGAGCAAAAACCCACTAGCATCTCTCTGAATTTATAAGGCATGTTTATAGAATAGACTGTAATGCAAGTTTTCCTCGAATAAGCTGATTTCCTAACTCTATATACTTCTCTTTTATGCCGTTAAAAATTGATGAACACTGCAAAGAACCATGGCACGATTGGAATTTCCTATTTTTCAACTTTAAATTTACCAAGAGGAAATTTAGAATCATTTTTCTAAAGATCCTATGCTTAAAGGTAGAGCAGATCATTTGCAGCTATCAAAAAAGTAAGTGACCAAATTATTGTTGGAAAACATACTTGGTTTGAAGTTAGTAATGGCACTAAACTCCCTGTGAAATGATTCTTTCTTTCTTTTTTTTGCATAATGCACCAGTTCAAAAATCTGTCAATTTCTTATCTGTTATCAAGCCATGGATCATTTGTCGTTGTGTTTTTTTTCCCCAGGCTCATATGGCAACCACTGTAACCAGACTTGTTTGTGTTGGTACGAAGACCCGTGCGACCACATTAACGGCACATGCTACTGCTCAGCAGGGTACACTGGAGTCTACTGCCAGTACGCTTGCCCAGAAGGTAGCGTTTTCATGACATGCTGTCCACTTCCCACTGGGAGGTTTTCAAGTTCTTTCTGGGGCTCTTACTGGGGGGGGGAGCACTGTTTTTTGGGGTTGTCCTTTTGTTTGCATTGCTTGTCTTGTGTCAATAACCCTAAAATACCAGTGGTTTAATCCTTGGTTGATTTAAATTCTCATCTAGAGAATGATCCACATGCCATTTCATGCTTGATTGCTGGCAAGTTGTGCTGGCAGATCCCAGTTTGTGGCTCCGGTTATAGCGAAATCGGATAGGAAGTTCTGGTAACACGTGATCAATGATCCAATATCAGATGACGTGGATTTATTCAGGCGCTGTATAAAAATTGATTCCATTAATTAATTCCTTTAACTCCATCTGTTTTATGAAATTACGACAAGTGTAAATTAGTATTCATTACCTTTTAGCTTCACAATGTAACTACTAGATTCTCGGTGCTGTTCGGGTGCTTGTGGTAAAAAAATTAATAATCTTATGATCTCCTGCATACAGTGATATTCCCAGGATTGAGCTTGGGGGGTGCTCACAATTATTTATTTTTTTTTAGAAGTTTAATTTTTTTCAAGAAATGTTGCCCAAAATTTTTGGTCGCAGAAAAAAAAATGGGTCTTTTTTTTCAGGGGGCGGACTATTTTGACGTTGGTGGCACCACTTACACCCCTATTGAAAATAGGCAACATACATATCACCACGGTCAAATCGTGGAACTAAAAAAATGTTTACCACTGCCTGCATATAATACTAAAGACATCTTGTTACCCAACCCCCGAGCTAGCCAGGACAAGCTGGCTGGTTTTGAATCTCATATTGCAGCGATTATTACCACAACTAATCAATATTTATATCATGGAATTTTGCAGCAAGGAGATGTAAATTCAATATCAGGTTTTTGCCCTTTAAGGATTTAAGCAGGACTCGAACCCGCGACCTCCTGCTTACTAGTGCAGACATCTTACCACTCGACCACCAGTTTTGCTGGGGTTGGTTGGCCATTCAGATCTGATGTAACTGCGGGCACTGCCATCAGTGATTTTCAGTACAACCGACCAGGTTCAAAAATTGCATCAAATTATTTGAATCACATTTTTTTCCCCCTGTTCTAGGTTTCCATGGGCATGGCTGCCAAGCATCCTGCCTTTGCCAGAACAACGCCACCTGTAATCACGTGACTGGTAACTGCTACTGCGCCGACGGCTGGATCGGCCCCATCTGTGATACCCCCTGCGAGGATAGTTTCTACGGCAACCAGTGCCGGCAAGAGTGCTTGTGCCAGAACGGAGGACTGTGTGATCATGTGACCGGGCAGTGCTCGTGTCTTCCCGGATACGTCGGAGAATTCTGTCAAGATATGTGTCCCCGCCCAGGTAAAGAAGACGCGACTCAACCCTTCAAAATATCAATCTGAAGCTTTATGAACTACGTTTGAGTAACAATGCCTTTAAGCAAATCTTACCCAATGGAAAATGAACAGGAACAGTCAATAATTTTACCTAAACTATGTCTAAATTCCTCAGAATGTCAAACCGAGCAAATTAAAGGGAATGTACAACATTTACTTGTGCTGCAGTTTTCAGAAATAAATGGATTTGGAGGATTAGTATGTTACAGCAAATAATGTTAAAATGACGTGTCACGTTTTGGGCTTGTAGAAATACTGGGGAAAAAAACAAGAAAACCAATCATGTTCTTGTACTCACGTTCCCTGACCCCACTTGAGATGAAACGGAGCAATTTGTAGACTTTTGGGGAATTGTAAGGTCAGAGAATCAGTCTTACTTGCTTGTACTCCTTCACAGATTTATAATCAATGGCAAAAAAAATGCGGAATTACTTGAATTATGAAAAATTAGGAGCACTTTTTGAAAAGAAGCCAGTGTTCTCCAAATACCATTTTTCTTTAAAATGTCAGCACACCAGGAGCCATGATTTTCAGGATGCTTTAGACTGTCACTCCCTAACAATCCAGTAAGGTATTTTGTGAAAATTTGATCATTTTGTTAAGTGATGTTTGCAAATGCTGTATCTTCCCTTTAAAATACTGAGTATGCTCTCTCTATTGCATTTGGAAAAGGTTGGAAGTCATGAATGTCTTAACAACTCATTTTGTGGGATCCTGCAAACACATATTTAAAGGCAATTATTATAGGAGTCTCAGCCTGTTTGATCTAACTATTAAAATGGTCAAGCCTAAGACTCCTTTAAGACTGAACAATTTTTTTCTCTCGGGCAAGATGACAATGTCTATTGAATACTGTGGAGTCCCATTTTCACTTCTGGAACGTAAATGTCTTAAGTTGCCTAACTTCTACTAAAAAATGTTGCTTGGAATTATTGTCACTTTGCTTCCATTTTCACAGACGTCAAAATAGCCTGTCCAGAATACAACTGTATTTTTTTTATCCTACTTTGATGACACTTCTGTATTGCATTACATTTTCAAATTTTATCGCAATGAATGTTGCAACCTAACGCAATATATCAACTCAATAAAGGTCACTCATTGCAAAACTGTTGCAAAGACATGAATCTGTGACTAAGAAACATTTCCAATTTTGTTAGAAACACTTTGAAAGTTGTCTTGACTCTTCATAGACTTTGTACTCAACCGCTGAAGTGGCTTCTGGACATTCTTTCCTTATCATCTTGTCTTATAGGTAATGGCTATGGCTTAGGTTGTCTGTCTCAATGCGACTGTCTGAATGAGGCTTTTTGCCATCCCGTCAACGGCAGCTGTTCATGTACCCCTGGATGGCTGGGCGACCAGTGTGGTGATGCCTGCCAGGAGGGTTTCTATGGCAACGGTTGCCAGCATCGCTGCGTCTGTCAGAATGGAGCGGATTGCAACCACGTGAGCGGGGAGTGCGACTGCCAACCTGGTGAGTTGAATGCTTAGTATCATTGAGTAGAGAGTCATTCTCAGTGATAATGTTAATGGCAAATTGCAAAGTACCAAGGTAACAGAGACAGGAAAACTGTCACACTTTGGCCTGTAGAGGGAGGTGTCTTGCACCCTCATGAGGGCTGATTTATCTGCCCAAAGGTTTTGTTATTTTTGTCATCGAAACTCATTGCCAGGGATGCTTTCCTGTGAGCGAAAATGTTACTATTTCTTGGAAGTGTCATGGCCTAGCGGTTAAGAGCACCGGACTCATGTTCTGGTATTTCAGAGGCAACAGTGGCGTGGGTTCGAGCCCGCCGGCGGACATTTGTGCTCTTATGCAAGGCACTTAACCATTATTGCTCCGTCCTTCGGATGGGACGTTAAGCCGTAGGTCCCGTGTGTTGTATAAATGCACGTAACAGAACCCGGTTAACACTTATCGCTAAGAGAAGGGGTAATTTGCCCCAGTGTTTCTGGCCTCCTGTATAAACTCCCACGTGGAGTATTTAGGAGACGAACCAACCAAGAACCAAGAAGGGGCTTCCCTGGTATGTCCCACGAAAGTTTCCACGGACATGCGGCAAGCCAGTCATGAGTAATACGGGCGATTCACAATAGTGCGCCTCCAAGAGTTTGCTACGCGTTGGCCAATCACAATGCGTGAAATCAGTCGACCTTTTCCAAACGCGCATTGGGTCGACCGATTGTGCGCATTGTAATTGGCTAACGCGTTGCAAACTCTTGGAGGCGCACTATTGTGAAACGACCGTATTTTCTTGATCACATCTGTTTGAATGCAACCCTGGCAGTGTGTGTTAAGGGCTAGACTTGTTCAGCAAGCATGCTAGCCCTTTTTACCCATTGTAGATCTGTTGTTTATTTTCTCTGAGTTTTACTGTGAATGTTATTTCCTTACATCTTTCAATTGGGTAATAAACCAAACCAAACCAAACTAAGCTAAGGCCAAAAAAGCAAATAGTCTCCAGTTTCTGGTATGGAGCTTGCCCCAAAAGTGGTGCGGCGACGCGGCCTTTTTTTTTTTTTTTTTTTTTTTTTGGTTGGTACTTTTTTTCTTCAAATGTCGGCTGATGACTGCAAATGGTGCCAGAATAAATTAAATGTAAAATATATGGGAGTCCAGAGAGGCCACATAAAGCTTATACTTGATCGTAACCCCATCTAAAAACACGTTAAAATTGTGCAGCAGCAGGATTCCAGTCAAACCAGTGAGTTTGGCAGTTTTGAGACATCATCTTACATTGAATAAAAAACTTTTTCATTTTGCCGATGCGCATGGCTATGGCGACGCGCGCGCATACCAGAAACCGGAGACTTTTTTTTTTGGCCTAAGAAAGGACACATTGCATGGCCCGCTGGATTTCATATTGCAATGGTGTGGACTGGGTCTGCATAAAGGTCATTCTACAAATTTTGGGTCCAAAGTGTGACTATTTTTTCTGACCCTGTTACCTTGCTACTTTGTTATTTGCCATTCAAGTATCATAAAGAATCACTCTTGGAGGACGACTGCATAAAAGGAGTGCATCAGAGTAAACAAAAAAATCACAGATGTCAGATGTATCAGAGACAGGGAAAAAAATGGGCCCCAAATTTTTTAGAATGACTCATAAACAGTCTGTACCGAATATGCAAAACCTTTAGCGTGTTTTTCCTTGAGAGGAAAGCGTTTGAGCCTGACTGTATGGTAGAATTTGCTTTTAAATGTCTTTTTAATATGAATAAAAGTGCATTCTTTCCAGTGAGGTTGTTATTTCTCACAGAGCCCCATGTGTTGATTTTGTTTGTCTCTTGTAGAAGTCTTTTGTCTCAGAACTTCTAATATGAGTGGCCTTACTAATTCCTGACGCTCTTAAATGAGTAGTGAAATTGTTGGTATCCTCGTCTTACGACATTAATAAGAAAGTAAGCCGTTGCTTTACAGATATTGGGCCGATCAGAACGTGGAGGTCATTTTATTATCTAAAGATTTAAATGTACATTTCAAAGGTTGATTGACAGCTAGGCCGGTCTTTGCTATTTGCCCCTTTTAGGTTGGAGAGGATTGACTTGTTCCGAACCCTGCCTTACCGGCACGTATGGCCCCCACTGCCAACTCACCTGCACGTGTCAGAACGGAGCCGCGTGCCACCACGTCACTGGCTACTGTAACTGCACCGCCGGCTGGCAGGGTACCGACTGTGATGTCATGTGCGAGACGGACACGTACGGATGGCGCTGCGGTCTGGAGTGTCGGTGCGAGAACGGCGCCGCCTGCGATCATGTGACCGGGGCGTGTTCGTGTAGTCCTGGGTGGCAGGGGGAGTATTGCGACGCGCCGTGCGATTCCGGTGAGTTCTTCATTCCAATATTGTTTCATATTGTAGGAATAAATCGATGCAATATCTTGCAGAAAGGACCAGAAATGATGTTGGTTCTGTCACTTCTACCCTCAACCGCTTTGTCCTGGGTTCGAATCCTGCTAAATGTGATATTTGAATTCCATTCTAATTTTGCTCTGCCTCTTCTATTTTCAAATTTCTCCCTGAAAAAAGAATTGCTAATTTGCTAGCAATACGTTAAAGAAAAAGTTATTCACTTTCGAATGAGACATCGAAAGAAAAAAATCTGCCGTCTTTACAAATTTTCAAAAAAGAGTTCAGGCATATCACAAACTAAAAGCCTTTTTTTTTATTCAGAGGTTTACAGATTCCAAAATTAGAGAAAAATAGTTTTTCTTTGAAATAAATCATACACATCTCAAAATTGTTCAGAGAAATATTAAAATCTGTTGATAAAGAGTATGGTGAGAGGAACTTAAATTTCTTACCTCATTTTATTATTTTTTGGGGAAAAATATTTTGTTTCTTCTCCCATGTCATCACAACAAGTGTTTCGTCATTTTCTACTCTAAAATCACTCTTTTTTCCCGGAATCATTTGGTTTGATAACCAGAATCGAAATGCATCAACCTCAACTAATCCTCATTAACATGTGTTACTGGTTTATAGGTTCTTATGGTGAGTCTTGTTCCCTGACTTGTCGCTGCATGAATGGTGCAATGTGTAACCCCATCTATGGCTCCTGCACCTGCACCGCTGGTTGGATGGATGCGTGGTGCCAGACTCGCTGTTCAGGTAGAGATCCCTAGTAAATGGCACCAGCCTAAGTAGAATGGTTTCATAAGTTGTTTTTGTTATTTTTTGTTTTGTTTTGTTATTTTTTGGTTAATTTACTTTGGTCAATCAATATTTTCAGTCCATACATGGAAAGAAAACAAATTTGTTTTTTTTTTTAACAAAATGTATTACATTGAAATAATTTAGTACACTTTACAGATCTAAAACTGTAAACCCTGTTGAGTTGTATAATAGGACCAAAGCCATTGAACCACATCAGTCAGATTGAATTGAAATTTCACAAAATTTGGTAATTAACTGTGTAAGTATGAATTGTGTTCAAATACATTTTAGTGTTAAGCAAGTAAAAATCTAGGAAAACTTTTGATTCTTTCATAATCTACAGATGGACGTTTTGGTGTTGACTGTCGTTACCCGTGCACTTGTCAGAACGATGCTGCGTGTCACCCAGAGACCGGTCACTGCTCATGTACCCCCGGCTGGCAAGGCGACTCATGTCAGTATCGATGTCCCCAGGGGCTCTATGGCGAGGAGTGTCACTCTGTCTGTCAGTGTCAACATGAGGGTGTGTGTCATCACGTCACCGGTACATGTTCCTGTCAGGCTGGCTGGATTGGCGCTACTTGCAACACGTCGTGTCCCGAGGGTACGTATGGTATCGGTTGCGCATCACAGTGTGGTTGCCATAACAACGCATCCTGCGATCCTTACGAGGGCCGATGCTATTGCCAAGCCGGTTTCTACGGTACTTACTGTGAGTCTGACTGTCCTTTGGGTTACTATGGCAACTTCTGTCTAGAGGAGTGCCTGTGCCAGAATGACGCGACGTGCGATAGGGCTGACGGTCACTGCACATGCTCAGAAGGATGGCAGGGTAACGAATGCAGCGCACCATGCGACGAAGGTTCTTATGGCGCGGACTGTGGATATACATGTGAGTGTCTGAACAACGCAACGTGTCATCACGTCACCGGGAACTGTCTCTGCCTGCCGGGATGGGAGGGCGACAAATGCGATGATACCTGCCGGGAAGGAAAGTACGGCCTGTCATGTGACTTCAGCTGTATGTGCGTCAATCACGTCGGATGTGACCCAGTGGATGGTAGCTGTACGTGTCTGCCAGGATACCAGGGAGAAATCTGTCAGTACGTGTGTGACGGTAAGCTTTGAATTCACGGGTACCCACTACGCTATCTGTGAGCAGTGTTGACCGCAAATGTCATCCGCAAGGTGAAGAAAACGTAAATGTTACAAAGCGTCTGGGGTTGATTATTGCCGTAATCAATGCTTAGACTCTCTGTGTGCCCATAGTCCTGTGCGCATGAACGTGTTGACCAACTTCAGCAGTTATGCAGAATCTATCCAATGAGACCTCAAAGAAATTTAAGGTCGCCAACACCTTGGGATAATCGTTAGTTTTAGCAAAAGTTTAAAAATGGACATTAATGTGATGCAAAGTTTCTTATTGGTTTTTGTAGAACAACATTTATGAAATTTCTTTCAATTTTTTTTTTAAATATAGTATATTTTTGCCATGTGCGTACCACCAAAGAAATATCTTTCTTGAAAATCAGGTTGTCAAAATAATAATGTTGGACTCTCTCACCACTTTGTACTTTCACACAGAGGGAACTTACGGCCAAGATTGTCTTGAGAAATGCCAGTGTCTCCACGCCGCGCACTGCGTTCCGCAGACTGGGGAATGCCAGTGCAGCAACGGATGGGTCGGGCAACTCTGCGACACGGCTTGCCAAGGGGGCTTCTACGGTCCACAGTGTGCGCTGCCGTGTGCGTGCCAGAACAACGCTTCCTGCGATCACGTGACCGGCGAGTGTGACTGCCGGCCTGGCTGGATGGGGGCGACTTGCAACCAGACGTGCTGGGAAGGTAGGCCCTAATATATTTTTCCCGAAGACGATGATTTTAACTTTCTTATTGTTCCACTCGTGGGTCAGATTCTGAATCCAGTCCAACTTGAAAGGTTGGTTCAATTTGCACTTGAATTTGTAACACCATGGGCTACATTTGGCCCATTCTGTTGACCAGATGCGTGTTAAGACGTGCAGTCAATACCCATTCTGAATCTATAGACATTTATCATGCTTCGACCATTTCAGTCATGTTCCCTGTATCCAATAACAGTACTGAATGATAATGGTTTTTTGTGCAAAAAGGAACCAGACTATTTTGCCTTCCAGCCTCTCTTTGGTTACGTTGATTTGAATAGGAAAAATCAAGATGGCCGCAAAATGATAATGGTATATACGGGTGATTCCCAATACAGTGCGCCACTAAGAGGTTGCCACCGAGAGACATTTTGCAAGTTTACGGTTGACAAAAACATGGCCGTGTCATGTGAAAATCGGACTCCTATGAAAATCGGACTCCTTTACCTTGTTATTGGTTAAATCCTCTCACATGTCCGATCCTCATCCTAATTATCATACTTAGGCATGCTTAATACTACCAATGAGTCCTTATTTCACAGAGTCCTAAATTCACGCTACACGGACTTGCCGCTATTTGAACGAAAGTCAGTGTAGACAATTTCAAGAAGTTTTTTATAGATCAAGGCAAAGCATTTCTCCGCCTTGCTAATAAACACCATATCTTGATAAAAAGAAAAGAAAAGAACAAAAAAGATGCTGGAATGATTAGCTAACGAACCTACTGACCGGACAAACTAACAATTTTAAGTGTCCCGCGCTGTAAATTTGTTGACCGTATCCCACAATGCACTGCGAGAAAATGACTCTCCGTGATAGCCTCTTTGTGGCGCACTGTATAGAATTCAAATAGAATTTGGTGTGCTCTGGGACCAGCTCTACTAGGCTTGACTCGTCTCGCTGAATAAGACAACTTGTGTCATTTCAGGTATGCATGGCCCGTACTGTCTGGAACCCTGCCTCTGCATGAACGGTGCGCAGTGTCATCACATCAGTGGTGCGTGCACCTGTCTATCGGGCTGGATAGGGGCGCACTGCCACCAGCCGTGTCCTGAAGGGAGATACGGCTTCGACTGCGCCCTGGACTGCACATGTCTGAACGGCGCGGAGTGCGACGCCGCGACGGGGGCGTGTCGTTGCGCCCCAGGATGGGAGGACGACACGTGCTCGTCGCCGTGTCGACCAGGAAGCCATGGAGACCAGTGTCTGATGAGTTGTCAGTGTGAGAACAACAGCACTTGTGATCATGTGACGGGTAGGTGTGACTTTAATAAGAAACTGTGATCTAAGGCCGAGTTTGGTCGGTCTGTTCTTGAGACGGGCATATTGTTCTTGCAAAACCCTGATGGATAGGTGGTGTGTGATCCTGTTCTGAGTGCAGTGTTTGTGGGTCGTGTTCCAGCCGTTCGAGCGCGAGAACAATATACCCGTGTCAAGAACAGACCACCCGAACTCGGCCCAAGACTGTTGGTTCACATATGTTTGGTTCATGATGTACCTTGCACTGTTAGGCTTATATGTCAGTAGTCAGTCTACGGTCAAGCATCATCGCGAAACCTCATGGTCTTGTAGCTCCCTGCTAAACATTGCAATTTGCACAGCTGTTGATAACCATCAGTGCCACATCTGTCGACCAGTAGTTTCGTGCAAAGTAACTTTGTGTCTGTGTTTAATACCTTAAGATGCCATGGCAAAGAAAGCCTCAGTTGTTCCGACATAAAAACTTATGTGTATCTTAACTCATTAAACCTCCCTGTTTGTTACGCTAAACAGCCCCAGCACTGTATGGTTGTTACAGTTTCTTCAGGGAATAAATACAATGTAATACAATGTAACATATTTAATACAATGTAATACATTCTCATGCAATGTAATACATTGTAATACAATGTAATACAAAATACCCTTGCATTCATTTCTACAGGCCATTGCACCTGTACGGACGGTTGGACAGGCTGGTACTGCAACCAGCCATGCCCGCCAGGATTCTACGGCCACGAGTGCCAGTATACCTGCGATTGCCTCCACGGTTCTTGCCACCACGTCACCGGGCTCTGCTCCTGCAATGCCGGCTGGCAGGGCGAGACTTGCACGGTACCCTGCAACGCCAGTTACTACGGCAACAACTGCCAGCAGGAATGCCAGTGCAAGAATGACGCGGAGTGCAACGCAGTGAACGGCACGTGCACGTGTCTGGCGGGATTGAGAGGCGTATTCTGCGAGAGTCCTTGCGAGAGAGGTTTCTTCGGCCCAGGCTGCTCATCCAGATGTCTTTGTCCTGGTGAAGTTTGCGACGCTAAGAACGGAAGCTGTCCCGCGAGAGTGGAGTGCCCCGGGGACCGGTGGGGCGATACCTGTGAGCACACCTGCGTGTGTTACAACGGCGCTGTGTGTGACCAGACCAATGGGAACTGTGGATGCAAAGAAGGATACGCAGGATCCAAATGTCAACTCAGTAAGATTAAACCCAGATTCAGACGAGCATTCCTGAGTCGCGCCAAACCAGATTATTGCAAAAATTTGAATGAAGTGCATAAGAAGTTCAACATGTGAACCAGTTAAGAGCCACTATGGTAGAAAATTGACTCTGCAGTTGTTCAGAACGACTTCAGAATCTACTCATTAGAATGTTTTCCACAAAAGTTCAACTGTCATTACAAAGATCTATTTGGTTCAATCTGAGTCACTCCTATTAAGTGGCGGAATTTAGATCGGGATTTTATTTTAATTCAGTTTGAATTCCACTTTTCAGTTTCGATTTTGGAAACTGAATATTCAAAAGCAACCTTAAAAAACATTAAGCCTTCCATATTTTGTGACACATGCCAAAGAAAACAACTAAAACGTCCCCCAATTTGCTCCATTGTCTGTGGTTGTAAGTGCTCTCACCCACCTGTTGTCTTGGCTCATGAACAGCCTGCCCATTCGACTTATCAGAGAGTTCCCACCGTTTTTTTTCCCCCAAGATTACACCTCTGAAGTGTTTTTGTAAAGGCCCAGTGGTCATGGAATCCTGCAAACTATACCCAGTCATTAGGAGGGCATTTCATGTGGCATTTCACTCGTCACTTTTTGTTGGCGTGACAGTAAACTGGATGAAAGTTCCGGTGAAATCAGAGAACCGTTATTCGGTTTGAAAAAAATCAGAATAACCTCATTACCTTATTTTGCAATATTTAATTTCTGCCACCACTATTCCTAATACTGTCTGTTTTGGCGCGACTCTGGCATGCCAGTCAGAATATTATTTGAAACAATTGTCTGTGCAATTGTCTGTTTTCATATTGGCACATTACATCTGCGAATACTTTTCCTTTCAACCCTGTGCGTGTATTCTACCACAGAAACATGACGGCCACCCAGAGACATTACTGACAATGGCCCCTACTTCAAAGTTTAATGAATGTTATTTTTTGTCTCTTTTTTCAGAAACACCTTCAGAGAAGCCAGTCCTTGATCCGAGTGGTAACCTCACCTTGGCTGAAACTGGCAACAGTAATAACCCAAACAGTAAGGCAAAGTTTTTCCAATTTTTTTTTTTTAGCTTTGAACGTGTTAAGTTTCATAATCAGATATTACAAGGATATCCTTGTAATAATTTGTCACACTTTCAGATCCATTGTTCTTCATGGCAGAGCAGTCAGCACAGCATAGATCACACTTTCAGCCGAAAATTTTGGCTGAAAATGTAAAGCAACCATAGGGAATTCCACAGTTTTTCTGTTTGCCTTTGATTTTTTTTTTTTTTACCCCCCTGACTTTTAAGCCAAGAAAGGGGGATATTGTGATAGTGTATTCCTTCTGTGTGTCCGTGTGTTTTACTTTGGTTAGGTTAACTGTTTAGTGCTGTCATATGAATAGTCAAACTTCGATTTCAACCAAACTTGGTCACAATAATCTTTGGGTTGGGGACGTCAGATGACTCGACAAAGGTCATCTAGGGGTCAAATGAGGTCATTGTTGCTTTTGGTTACGTCAACCATAAAGTGTTGTCATGAAAAGTAAGACTTCACTCTCAAACAAACTTGGTGACAGTAATCTTTGGGTAGGGTTATTTAAAGTGACTTCAGACATTTTAGGTCAAAGGTCATCTAGGGGTCAATTGAGGTCATTGTTGATTTTGGTTAGGTACACTGCAAAGTGTGCTTACTAACTGACTGTGTTAATATTGCCAGCATGCCAGAGGGATCGCACAAGTTTAACTTGCAGTATTTTTTTGTTTATATTTTGGGGTGTTTTTTAGGGGGTTTTGGACAATTCCTATGCTTCATCATCTTGTTTTCTCACCATATTGTAGACAATCTTAACACCATCATCTACGTATCTTGTGTCGCTGCCGGAATGCTGGTTTTCATAGTGATTGTAGTATGCCTAGTAAGGCGAAGACGGCGTCAGAAACAGTTAGGTGAGATAAAGATTTGCATGCACAACACCCACACCAATAAAGTTCTGCAGAATGGGGTTGGATTCCTATTTCAATTTGCAGACTTGTAGTTTGGACAATGTCACTATGGTAGCTCTGCCTCCAAAAAAAATTTACACAAACTCAGACTATTATTTCACAACTTGAAACTCATACCTGAAGTACAAAAGGCAAGGGCGGATCCAGAACACAAAGTATTTTGGGGCCAATAAAAAGTTGTTCCCCAAAAAAGTGATCCAAAAATTTACGGCGTGGGGTTTGGGGCCCACTAAAGGGCCCCAGAAAACTGTTGGATTCTAGATGCTCTGTGGTGCGATCCGAGGCAATTTCTGGCCACTTTAACCATTTTTTTGTGTGCAAAAGATGGGGGTGTACGTGCAGTGGCTGCCTATTTTTGCTGTTACTTATAATAAAATACAAAATTGGTTTTGTTGTGGGGAGCCTCGGTTTGGCCTAATCCCCCCCCCCCCCCCCCGATCCGTTGTTGATTAAGGGTACATGATGATGTCTATTAAATGATCTACCTCATTTTTCTTTTAACTGACAGCAGAAATTGCCAAGTTGTCCGAAGCTGATATGGTGACGTCCAAAGGCAGAATATCATCAATCAGTAGTGAGTCTGCAAATGATGACAAGAATCTTCTCAAAACCAACGGCAAAACCAAGAAGTAAGTCTAAAAATTTATTTGGAAATCAAATTTGAAAGGAAGTTTTTCAGACTCAGTGGTTCCATTTCTTTAAAAGTGATCATGTAACATTGTGCTTTGACTTGATTTGTCCAAGTCCTAGAGACCAGCCTAGTGTTCTCTTCGCACCTATCTCACTGACTGACTGACTGACTGACTCCCCGACTGACTGTCTCCCCTGAGCTGGGCAGTGCTGTTGTATAGGACTACCCTTTAATGCCAGTGAATGTGCTAAATCCGGCCCAATGTATGAAAAGACTTCAGTGAATAGCCATTCCGAATCAGTTGAACAGAATTGTGTGCTCTCTGGTACAAGCCTTACTGAGCTTAATACCTAGTCTTGTTTTTCATACTAAGTCAGCGTTCTGTGAAGTTAGCTTTTGACCAAATTTGGATGATCATTGGTTAAATTTCTGTTGACAAGATAAGTTTGCGGTAGCACCATGTGAATAAATCTCTTTTGTGAGTATGTGCTGTTCTGTTTTATACGTTGAGTCCCTCCGGTTCTTTTCAGAACCACACATACTCACAAAAGAGATTTATTCACATGGTGCTACCGCAAACTTATCTTGCCTTAGTATCTTTCCACCATGCAAACCTTCAAATCTCAAATTTCTGTTGGGGTTTTTTGCTCCTGATGACTTCATCTTTGTGAAGCAACATTTCCCCAAAACCCAAGAACTATTTTGCCTTTATTTTATAATGTTGACTATGTGTGGTTTGATTTTCACAGACCGAATGAACCTAAATCTCCCTCCGCACTCAGCGATAACACCTGCGTGTTTGAAAACCCACTGTACGGGGACCCTGAGGTCTAAAAGACAATGGACAACAGCTGGTGGTTCTTAGTTTAATCCAAGAAGTTTATGGACTCTTGTTCGTGGTCTCCGTGCCCAAGTACCCCTCTCACTCGAGTTAGGAGGGACAGTCTTACAGTCTTTGGCTTGCCGCAAGCATCTATGATATGCGTGAAGATTATGCAAAACAACTCTGCGTCTTGACCTCCCGATTCTGACCATTTAGCAGGCGCCTTCTGTCGGCTTTTCAGTAAAGCAATGTTTTATGAGAAAAATAACGACAGCTGTTGACCAATCAGCAGCTTTAATTGGCCCAATTTCAGCTCTAATTGATGTTACAGCTTCTAAAGGCGGCTCCGATTGGCCAGCGCGCGGGGTTGCATAACATTTACATGCATGGATATGTCAGACGTTTTAGTGTGTATCTGCACACGTGAACGTCTGATTCTCACGAAGGCAAAAAGGTTTATTCACTTTCAAAATAACATTAACCATGTGTATTTTGCACAATATGCGTGCGTAATAGTCTGCGCATGCAATATGACTCGCCCATTAGGGGATTACTTGTCCTGGGAGTCCGTTGTCAGACAGACATTTTTTCCTAAAATGAGTAGAAGATACTCGCAAACTGCTGTAAGAAATTTATTACAAGAGCGTGTAAATTGCACTTTTGCTTCCTAAATTTTGTAATACAGGGCGAGTCAAAAAAAGCGAAACCCAAATGTCGGGACAATTGTTTTAGTGAAGTTCTGCATGTAGCACTTTCAAAATCTAGGATATGAAAGCCCAATTCATAAGCTTTCTTTTAGTACAAGAATCATTCAAATCACTCATGTACTTTTCAAGTTGCGGAATTTTAAACACAACCACCGTTTTAAAGTTCTGTCCACGGATCACAAAAAAGGTGTGCGTTCTTTCAGCAAAACAAAAACAATTCACACACATCCCTATGTGATTTTTGTAAAGCGCTTAGAAACACTGCGTATGAAGCGCTATATAAATGTTAATTATTATTATTATTATTATTATTTGTTTTCGTTTTGCTAAAAGAACACTTACCTTCTTGTGATCCGTGGACAGAACTTTAAGACGGTGGTTGTGTTTAAAATTCCGTAAAAAAGTACATGAGTGATTTGAATGATTCTTGTACTAAAAGAAACCTTATGAATTGGGCTTTCATATCCTAGATTTTGAAAGGGTTACATGCAGAACTTCACTAAAACAATGGTCCCGACATTTGGGTTTCGGTTTTTTTTTACTTACCCTGTAGATATTGATAAATAAACTGTGGTTATTGTCTTGGTTTGTCTACTGATTGTGTCAGTCAAATAAAGATTGACGATTTCTACAACTTGTAGAAACCTGATTCCAATATGTGAGGCGTTCTGGCAAAATGACACGGAACTTGGCACAGGCCGTAGTGGAGAAAAATCATTTTTAAAAACGAATTGGGGCAATTTTTATTCAAATGTATTGATATTTGTAATCTTTGATACGTGTACTACACATATTGTAAAGAAATCATGGAATTAAAGTGTTTTTTAAGGAAAAACATGCATCCTTTTTATTTACACGACCCCAAAGAACAAACTTTTAAAAACATTTTTTTTTTCCGGGATTTTACTCTTTTTTTTGACATGGCGATAAGTGCGAACTGAAAACAAAAACTGTAACTTGTCAATGGAATGACAGATTGAATTTCAACAAACAGTATTGTACGGAGAATTTTATTCTCTTTCTTTCCTAATCCTGGCAAACCAGGCTCATTTCGACCTCTGCCCAGTTCTGTCTCATTGTCATAGGACAATTTCATGTGCTTTGATTTAAGTTACAACACAAGGTCAAAATTTGGGCTCAGGTTTGTTCAAGTTGGAGGTAATTTAACAGACATTTATACAGCTAGGGTAAACTTGGATATGGTGTATATATTAAGTTTTTCATGACTAAGGAGACAATAGTTCATCTGTTTACAGGTAAATTTGTTTCTTGTTTGACTGAGCGTTAATCCGAGAATGTGGCGGATTTTTTTACTTTTTAATGCTTGGTGAGGGTACACAGAGGTAATTATGGTGTTTTACATCTTTTGTAGTTTTGTAATCCTGTAGTGTTTTTTTACTAATCCTAATGTTTGTCCAGACTTTCTGAAAGTCCTTACTTTGTGTAAATATTGAATAGAGATGGCAGAAACGAAAGGAACCAAAATAACGATCCTTAGATTTACCCTAATAGGCCTAATGGCAGCAAAACGTTAGGTTTTTAGTTGTACTAATAAAATATACCAAGTATTTTTCGAGAGACACTCGATGAACAAGGTAGCAGAAAACAGAAAATAAATTACGAAGATAACCATTCTGAATTTTTTTTGGAAATAATTATTCCAAACTTAACTCTGTTACAAATTGATTCATTTTGTTTTTCAAATTGCAAAGGGAGTTCAAAGCTGTTTGAAATAATGGAACAGCCTGCCATACGCCATCGTTGGTCATCCTACGACAGCAGGAAATAGGGCCTTCGGAAAGAATGTTGCAACCTGACGCTACTTCAGTGGTTGTGTACAACGTCTGTGGAGAGTCCGCAAGAAAAGTTTCTAAGCATTTCCTAACAAAATCATATGTTTTTCAGTCCCAGATTCATGTCTTATCATCATTTTTGCAATGACTGACCTTCATTGAGATGATATGAAGAAAAAAAGCAGCGTCAGGTTGCAACATTCTTTCCGGGCCTTCTGCTCAACGACACCTAACTTTCTTTATCAATTGTAATTTGTCGTAACACAAGTGTGTATTTTTATCATTACTGCACTTTGTTAACCTTCTTTCGGTTCCTTTTGCTACAAGTGGGCACTGTTTTTTTCAGTGCTTATTCGTAAAAAAAAAAAAAGAAGAAAAAAAAAGAAACGTACTCAAGCATTTATATTTTTGCTATTTCTCTAAAGCACTCTTTTACCGCTTATTCTGACAACTCGTATTACATCTAGGCCCTACGGTGATGCAAAGTGTGATATTAAAATGTATCAATTTGAAGAGGTGGTTTTTGTCATAGTTCATTGTTTTTGTAATTATGTAGGCTTATCTTTCCATTATTGAATTTCTTAATACGCAAATCAGCTTTGAAAAGACTGGATAACTCGGCAGAACATTTGCACAGTGATTCGGAGATTCAGGTGTTTTCATTTTTATTGGTTCACCTCTAAGATTGAAAAAAAGTATTTGTTTTTCATCTAAACGAGATATAAATCTTTTTGTTATACCTCTGTCTTGAATAATGTCGTTTGATTGTCATGATTGTTGTGTTGACTGCTGGTCGTTTTCGTGATTGTTACATCAAAATCCAAAGAATCCAAGACAGAGGTATAACAAAACAATTTATGACCGGTGTGATGTGGGATATGACGTTTTGAACACCCGAGGGGCGCATAGCACCCGGGGCAAACAATATTGTTTAATCTAAATCTGCTCACTGATTAATTTAGATTTCGATGTTTAAAAAAATCACCGCTAGTTACCTGTATTTGACCCTCTGTTATTGCTTTGATTTGAGAAATTCTAAAAATGATTTGTTTGTAAAGACGATCTCAAAATGTGATCGCGAAGGTAGATCTACATCTACCTGATACTTTCATCCTGACAATCCTTAAAAAAAAAATACGAACAACTGGCCGTTCTACGCCGAGATGTCAAGACTAAATCGGTCGTTGTTATAAAACTTGTTGACAGCACACAAATCTCAAAATCGAAGCTACCTGTGCTGGCATACGGGTAAAGCAGAAGAATATCCTCCCTGGACAAACCTTAAGAAGTGTCGGAGAAAAAAAATCATTCATATGAAACACAGTGTAATTAAAAAATAATGATAAGCTGAAACTCAACGGGGATTGCCCAGTCCGCGATGATACATGCAAAAGTCCGGGAGAACCTCACAAACTAATTGCAAAGAAATCCAATTTCTTTTTGACTGAACCTCGAGGATTAACATAGCAGGTGGTAGGATCTAGCTTTGCTTATTAAAGCCAAGGGATTCAATCTGTATCTCTCTTTTTCTGATTCTATATTTTTATTATAATGAATGTGATCGAGCTGCTGTGTTTTTATTGTCTGTTCTGTTCACGCACGGTGGATCAACAAAAGTATTCAAGAATTCGAGATAAAATTTTTATAGAATAAGGTCTCGCTATTTGTTTATTTTTGATTTAGAAATGAATACGACTGAGCTGATGAATATTTGTTTTTCCATAAACGCACAGTTGATCAACACAAACACTTGTTATCGAGAAATGTAGATATCGAGATGTATAGGTTATCGAGATGTAGATATCCTAGAATATTTAGAACCATGATCTTTAATTGGTTGGTTTTATTGGTTTCTAAATGTAAAAAAATAAATAAACATATAGACAGCAATGGGTTATAATAACAACGTCTTCATTCTCAGAAATTCATGGCACAAGTTACAAAACAGATATAGGGCCTAAATAAAAAAAAAAATAAAAAAAAAAAGTTAACAAACACATCAATAATAAAAAGAAAGACGTACAAAGACTACAAAGAAACAAATATTAAGTCAGTTGATACAGATGTCATTAATAATTTCGGAGACATCGTCAAATTGATTCTTTTGAAATTTCCCGATACGATAAATTCTCTGAAATTAAGCACCGTCGTTTTTAGTATTAAAAAAAAAACCTCTATAGAAATATATTCTATAGACAGTATTAGCCATCCAGGGTCCACTTCGCATTCACATCAGACACTATGAAATGTGCGCATGCGTCAGCGAAATTAACTGTTTCTCTGAGGAACGAAGACCTTACAGATTGCCGGGATTTTTCCCTGCAAGACATCCATCCATCCCTACCCGAAGGACTAGTGTTATTGAATTGAAATTGAAAGAAATGGGATTGTTTTTTCTTCAATACCTGGTGCGCTCACGAGACTGCATCATGCGACGCCAGCCCTGCTGAGAATTAATTGGACTCAGCATGGACCCTAGGCAGAGAATGACTTAGGCCTACTTCATCAGTCTTTAAATCTCAAAATGTCAGAAACTTTCTGTTGGAGACCAAAAGTATACGAAAATCGCTCATTTAGTGTTATCCATCCACGTGTCTCAAATTCGACACTGTCTTGATAATAATAAAGAGTTAATCAAACAAGATTTTTTTTTAAATACAATACGCGACCACGGACAACTCCCCAAAGAAACAGATTATATGAACGTGGAGAGAAAAGTCGGGGAGTCGGGGAGTCAGTCAGTCAGTCAGTCAGCGAGATATAGGCACAAAGAGGAACCAGCAATATCATGAGCGGCGATATCAACTGTTAATAGCAGGTGAAGCTGATATGATACTTTACTCCTAAAACAATTGAGTGCGTGTACACTCATGTAACAGCCTCCAATTGGTTTACAATAGGAACCATTAGAAATGTCGCGGACGGGATATACGCGCGCATGCGGCTCGGAAAATGTCACCTTTTTGCGTTTTTATTTTATCGGGCACATAATCAGCAATGTGCATATTCAGCAATGTGTAGATAACTGGGATTGTTGTAAGTTATCACACAAAATAGAGATTTACTGTTTAAGCCATATTAACGAGCCGCATGCGTAGGCCTATCCCGTACTCGCTTCCCTACTATTATTTCCCGCCATGCATTAAAACAAAATTAAGAAACAGAACACTTCTACTTTGATATACAACCATGCACTACCCTGCCTCATCCTGCCCCGCCCTGCCTCATCCTGCCCCGCCCTGCCTCATCCTGCCCGCCCTGCCCCGTCGCGTCCTGACCCGCCTTCCCACGGATCAACATATCATACACCAAAACCAAGGCTCGACATAGGCCTACATGTTATTGCAATTAATAAAAAAGCCCCTCACAATCGAAGTTCGTCATTAAACTTCATGATGTTTACGGATTTTCAAGGGATCCATATTGCCAATTCCCCCTCCCAATCGGCCGGAACCTGAACTTTACTATTATTATTATTATTTCGACTCTTAAACATTTTCTTGCTTTCTGATTTTTTTTTTGCAAAGCAAATTTCACTTCTCTTCTCAATCAAGACATCACTGATGTAACAGTTGCCTACCATTCCCATCTGACGACCTGTCTACAATTTCCTCTATGTATTCTTTTTTCGTCAGTTTGGCCTAATGATCAATTACTACGTAACGCCATATGGTCCCGTTTTGGGACTTCATTACGAGGACATTGTTATGCAGATGTCCAGGTGATAGATCGCCAATCAAAAACAGGCGACCGTTGTTAATGATTGGGAATCATCAACAACGGTCGCCTGTTTTTTAGTCAGCAGATGGGGGATTAAAGAAATGACGCTTAAGGGAGGCGTCATCAGATCGCTCATCACCATAGAAACAGCTACTGAGAGAAAAAAAACTGAGGCCTTATAAAATACACCAAGGAATAACACCCTCCCCGCACTTTCAATCCGGAGGCATCCTTGCCACATCGGATAACAAATTGAGTGAGCTGTTGAGCCGCCGTCAAACAATTGAAGTTGTACCGCTGCTTCTGTGGTTCGTTTACTTTAAACAGAACATTCCATATTGTGATTAACATTGCGGTCATTTTTTGGCGATCCATTCCACTTGCAAAGGACCATCGATTTGGTCCGATGACATGACTTCGGCGATGGCAGAAGATGATGGAGAACGGCACAGCTACGGAGGCCATTCTCATAAGATGGTGCTGATGATGATGTTGTTCCTTGCGGCAGGTGGACTTCAAGCGAACGCGCAAGTTTCTCCACAAGGTAGGCCCTACATGTATATTGTTTGCAGTGACATTGTTTTGGAAGTGCAACGTTTGTAGGGTCCAGAGTTGTAATGACTTGAGTCAATGACTCGACTCGAGTCCGACTGAGTCACATTTTTTGGTGACTCGACTCGACTCGAGTCCCTCAGGGCAAATGACTCGACTCGGGTCGAGTCACTGCGAGCAAATGACTCGACTCGAGTCGAGTCCCTCATCAGAATGTCTCGACTCGACCCGAGGAAGGCTAATAAGGCTCGAGTCCCAAAAAATAAAAGCAAAATTTTAGGAAAAAATATTTGCAATGACTTACACCGGTGACGGTTTTTGTTCAAGTCACTTTCGCTTAGGATGTTCGCGAAAAATGTGTACATTTGTACACATTATACCGTTTATACGTGGTTTGATCAGTGTCCCCATTAGTTGAATGGCGATCAGCTGGCACCCCCTTTTTATTTTTTATTAAGAGTCAAATGTGGTGTAACCACATGTAGCTCTTGTTTCATCCTTTCCAGCGCCGTCGCGCAAGTGACAGCAAGTGAAAAAAACACCTCCCTTGCAAAGTGACTGACATTAGCTCTAATGAACACAAAACACTAAACACGTCTGCTATTAATTAGGCCTAATAGCCCTTAAATCGGTACATTTCATAAAATTACGAAAAAATAATGCAATGGTGTACACATAGGCGCGCCTGCCCTAAAGAGATTATTCTGTAAGTTGTATTATTTCACAATTCCATTTTAATATCACATAATTATGTAAATTAAATGTCACTAAGAGAATGAAAGTGACAACGTCAGTAAATTGTCCCGAAGGAGACAAATGAAAATTGCCTTCTGATGACCTCTTAGTGTATTAAAGGGATCATGCAATGATTTTTTTCTTAGGAACATAATTTTTTCGTGCAACATTCTGCTCCTCTTAAATGTATGAAAACTGTTTACCTATTTGGTAAGTTTTATTGAAAAGAGTACTTCTTTAAAAATTTATAAATTGTCCATGCTTTTCCGGACAACTGAGGGCGCTGTCGCTGTGATGTCATTTCGGGAAGACACTGTTCCCTTTAGGGGTTTTCTGTAAAAAAAAATATAAAAAAAATCAAACCCAAAACTTTGCTCATTGGAAACATCTGTGAGAAGAGTTTGCTTACTGTCGTACTGCCATGTACTGACACAACAAGGAATCACCAAAAAAAAAAAGCAAATTCTATTCTGAAAAAAAAGGTGATTAACGGTGGGTTCGCTGCGCTATTGGATTATAAATTATCAAATTTCAATTAGTCCTATACTGATTGTCTATCAAAAAGTGACAACTGTGGGACGGATCGGTGGTCCTATGTTAGATAAATATATTGTAATGTATATATTACACGTCAGAAAAAGTGAGAACGGCGAGTCTGTTGTCCCGTTGCATTTTGACTGTATTAATGAAAGGCTTGAGATTTGAAGTTTTGCATGGTGAAGGGTAATAATAAGGATAAGTTGTTGCGGTAGCAAATTAGTGAGTATGTGTGGCTCTGGTTCTTTTCAGAACCACACATACTCACAAAAGAGAGTTTGCCACATGGTGCTACCGCGACAACTTACCTTAAACACTATGTAATTTTTTTTGGGGGGGCACAATTTTAGTCCCCCAAAAAGTGGGTCCAATTATGGCGTAGGGTTCGAAATTATTTTGGGTCTCTGTGGTGCGATTTGAGGCAATTTCTGACCACTTTGACCAATTGTTTTCAAGGAAAAGAAGGCAGTGTACGCAGTGCCTGCCTTTATTGCGACGTCACTTTAACAAGAAATTGGGTTGGGGGCATGGTCCCCGTTGGCCTCCGGATCCGCCCTTGTTTGATTTACGTACATTTTGTTCGTTTCCAATAGTAACAGCACGAAAAATCCAAAGAAGAATGTTCAAAACCTAACCTGTTGAAATTTCATCTCAGTGGATAGTACACTTTTCGAGGAAAAAAGTGAAAATCCATTTTGATCACGACACACGATGATCACGACACACGATGTCGTTAATAGCACACTTGATTTCCAAAAATCAGTCAATAATGATTGATCTGAAATCAACAACATTTTTCAACTAATTTCACGGGTTGTTTAATAGTACCAGTACGATCTTTAATGCAAGCAAGTATTTTGATAAAAATTCGCACTAAAGGCTATATTTTGGGATAAATGTAAATCCTGTACTCTCTGAATTCCAGAGAGTGATATTATAGAGACGGACAAGTTTGAGTGAAAATCACTCAAATTGTAGATTGAAATAAACTGGAAAAAAAACCACTTCAGTCAAATCTCGAGTGAAAACTCGATCAATTCAGTTTAATGAATTTCGGCACTCTAGGACGTCTGGTCCCTATGTACATGGGAGTAAAATGTCACTGGAATAAAGTTAATTTTCACATTTCTGAAAATAAGTATGTTTTGAAGTACTTTGAAATTTCCCATGGGACAAAAAAGTGACAAATGCTGGTCTGTTGCCCCGTTGAATTGTGACTGAATGGCATTTCTTATGAGAAAAAGAGTGTGTTGTTCCATTGCATTTTAAGTTTGTAAATTTTCATCTTTGACAATGAACCCCAAAGAAGTCTCCCCCCCCCCTACCCAATCTTCGACTGAAATTTCCCCATGGTACCGTTTATATTTTTTGTCAGCGCAACTTCTGGGGGCCGGGATGATCAAAATGGCACATCCCCCGGCCCCCACAGTGGGGAGATACATCCTCTCCTCCCCCCCCCCCAGGATTTATCTCCGTACTTCAAGAAATGACCTACATGTACTTCGCTAGCTTCGATAACATTTCACTACGTGATCACGCAACAAGTTTGGTCAAAGTGACTTACCAATGCTGCCTTCGGTGCGGCAAAGCCTCCTTCCCCGCGAAGCGGGCGAGGTGCAAAGCCTTGTCTTAGAAAAACCTCAAATGTACAATCATCAATAAACTTCCAATGTGATTCAATTGGGAATTTTCATGAAGTTCACGAACCAAAATCACTTCGTAGAATAATCTTCATGAAATTAACGACCGAACCCGATTCGCTAGGCAGGGTATTAACTGGCGGCCGCCAGATATTAAGTGGCGGCCGCTAGATAACTGTACAAGAAATGTTCTCACGCGTTTTCAAAAATATATTCATCCCTTATCGACTGGCACTTTCCGTCTTCCGTAGAATTTAGCTTCCCTAAAAGGTTAGTAAAAATCGAGAAATAAAGAAACACATAAGAAATTCCGGACAAGTTGGGAAAGGGCTTCGCCGCTCTTGTCTAATAACGCCAATTAAAGTCAGGGGCGGATCCAGACTGCCATTTGCCGGGGGGGGGGGGGGGGCTAGAATTGTAATGAAGGGTGCAGGACCTGCGAGCGCGGAGCGCGAAGCCCTTACTGCGTGGGGTTCGGGGCCCGCTTAAGGGGCCCGAAAAAATTTGGATTTTAGATGCTCTGTAGTGCAATCTGAGGCGATTCCTGGCCACTTTCCACAGTTTAGAAAACGTTTTAAACATCGAAAATTCCATTTAAATTTGTTATTTTTTTGTGCTTATAAAGTTTGTTATGTACTCAAAGTTGAGAACCATGTTCCATCTCCGTATTTTTCCACAAATGTTGGTTTGGAAAGGGATTTAGGCAACTTGTAGTCCGAGCCTCAGCCATTCGCTGCTGAAGTTACAAAAAATGTGGGGGGCACCGCTAGAGTGAAATTATAGCATAGAGGAAATTTGGCCGGAGGACTAATGCGAGCGCGGAGCCCGCTTAAGGGCCCCGGAAAATTTTGGATTCTAGATGCTCTGTGGTGCAATCTGTGGTGCAATCTGAGGCGCCACTTTCCCCTGATTTGTTTTAGCAGAATTGTTCAAAATTATGAGGGCATATTTTGTTTCATTTGTTTCAAATACATATAGGCCTTTATTCTCTTGCTCTTATAAAGTTTCTTCTGTATTCAAATCTTAAAGTTGAGAACATGCACATAATTTGTAATTGTTCGGTCACATAACTGACATCGGTCACATAACTGACATGAATTTAAATATTTCATTACAGCGGGTGCATATTTGGGGGGTGTGACAAACTGGCATGAAACGTATCAGAAAAAAATATTTTAACAGAATCTGAAGTGGCCATTGTTTGATTTTGTTTAGTCACCAATCCCGGAGCGTGAAAACGGTTTGACCTTCATACGCATTGTACGCGGCAGTTGTCCGCGTGCAGTCTCATGGACGTATGACGCGCTAAACAATACGCAAAATGAGACTTCACTACAGTTTGTTTTACCTTGGTTTTATCCGCCTATCGTGCGGCCATCGTAACCCGTGCATAAAATCTTAGTAGGTGCGTAAAAATTGCCACGCCTTTTCGGTCACACCACGAACCGGCGTATCTCGATTTTTTTGCCAAATTGAGTTTGTCATTAACGTTATTATTTCATCAAAGTGCTCATTCTCAGAAACTTTTATTCCGATCGGAGTTCTAATCAACTAAGAACGCTAATTAGACTGTGCGGCGTATCTCTAAAAAAAAAATGAAAAATGCTGCACCAGCGTCGACATGAAAATTGGAATTTAGCGTTTCACGAACCGACGTATCTCTGTATCTGGCACACGGCCACTATTAAGCGCGTTGTATGACATACGATAAACATGATGAAAATCTGTTTCACGAAGTGACGAATAACTTTGGAGCTGAATTTCTCAAAAACTTGGCAACTCAGATGCACACGGATTGCATACAATAAAGTTTAATCTATAATTTACTAGCATAAACGAAACAGCTTGAATTCTTACACAGGGAGTATATGGAATGAGCCTACAAAATAATGACCAACTTTAAATCCGTTTTTCTCGAAACACAAAAAAATGCGATACGTCGGTTCGTGGTGTAACCGACGGATAGTTCTTCCTCAAACTCAAAACGCGTGGCCCGTCGGATCACCGTCCGTTTTTCACCGATAGAATACATTTTAAAATATTTGCCCCCTGCGCCCCCCGCTGGATCTGCCAATGAAAGCCACGATGGCCTTGGCGAAAGGCTAGAGAGTATAGGGCACGGACAACACACGTGTTTTTGAAAACTCCGTTATAAATATCAGCCACGGGAAATGGAACCCTCTTGCGGTCACTCGTGAACAGCCCCTCACAGAGTGCACACAGATGTACACACCCAACCTCATTGCCAGTCAATGTGTGTATAATAGTTTCTTAGATAACATTATAATTCGAAACGTATTTCATGTTCCTCCACCTGTCTTGTCCTCATCCACCTCACACAGATGAGTATCCAGTCCGACTTGTGGGCGGGGTCTCAGAGACGGAGGGGCGGGTTGAGATCTTGTTCAATGGCGAGTGGGGGACTGTGTGCGACGAAGGATGGGATTATGCTGACGCTAGTGTCGTCTGTCGACAACTTGGCCTCTACGGGCCCAACACGTCAATCCAAGCCGCCTTCTTTGGCGAAGGCACTGGTCATGTGCTCATGGCCCATGTTGGTTGCCATGGAAATGAGAGCCATTTGAGTGACTGCGCTTTTACAGGATGGGGCTTTGATAGTTGCCAGCATAATCGCGATGCCAGTGTGTCATGTCAAATAGGTGAGTCTTTTAACTGCTTTTTGTGTCTGTCGTCACTGCTATACTAAGCCATAACTTTAAATAAATGTGTTGAGTACTGGTAGCCAGGGTGTCCATTTTATCCCGTTTTTGTCTCTCCACAGCTGAGGAATTTCCTGTTCGTCTAGCCGGTGGAAGCACTGAGAGAGATGGGCAGGTGGAGGTATATTACAGGGACCAGTGGCAAGCCATGCTCGTTGGCAAGTGGAAAGCTTCTGTTGGCAGCGTCATTTGTCGGGAGTTAGGCTACCATGGGCCCAACATGTCCTACACCGAAGGCCCAGCCTCTGGAGGTTTGATAGGACCAGGATATGTGTATCTGGATGATATGAGCTGCGATGGGAGTGAGGAGAAACTGAATGATTGTACAATTTGGAGTATAGGTGGACCAGGGGTAACCGGGCTTATCTACCAAACTGTAGTCAGAGTTTCCTGCCAAACAGGTGAAGTCCAGTGCCTCTGTACTCCCCCTACCCCACCCCACCCCACCCCACCCCACCCCACCCCCTCCCCCTCCCCCGAAAAAAAATATAATACATTAAAGTTAAAATGTAAAAAAAAGGACAAAACAATCACTAAACATCCCTAAACAGAAAATTCCAGGTACTACATGGACTTTAATCAAATCAGTGCTGTGAATTTTAGAGTGATAATGTACCAGCAGAATAACATTTATTATTCACACACAGTAGACTGAATAGGCTACATAATCAGAGCCGATTCCTGTTGCTCAGCTTTGGAAATTATGTGCATTGCACACTCTGTGGATAACTCTCCCATTGCCCGATTGCCTGTCTGATTCAAACTTTACCAGACAAATTTCGACTTTCCAGAAATCAGTTTGTATCACGCTGTAAAAAGCAAAGACCATAATCTATTTAGGTCTATATCAACATTATGTCAATTTGTCCGATAACTTGTTGAGGCGCGCTATGGGCGCGCAAGTACAAATCGGACTTGAAATACTTGAAATGTTCCGGCGAATAGTTTTTCTTTGTCCCACGTTTATTAATTTGTGTCGTTTTAGATAACGGATGTGTCTTTTTTTATAATAGAGGATGAAGACTTTCTCTCTGTTCGGCTTGTTGAGGGATTGGACAGTAGTCAGGGAAGCTTGGAGGTGTATTTTGATGGCCACTGGGGCGTGATTCGTGAGACCAGTTGGGATGATGCCGGCACCGGTGTGGTTTGCAGACAGCTGGGCTTTGATGGACCAAATGTCACTCTGTACTCCACCTCATTCTTTGGCAGGGCTAATTTGAGAGACCCAGCGTTTTTCTCCATCTTCCGTTGCAGGGGCGACGAAGCAATGGTCTCCGATTGTCCACGCACCACTGGTTCGGGTGACTTGCCCTCCTATCAGAGTTTGACTGTAGGCATCATATGTCAAGCAGGTCAGTTTAAGAGTTTCAGAACTTTTTAAACTTAACTTGTGGAAAGCAGAAGTTTTGTATCTAATATATGCCTAATCAATAGACCCTTTTAAGGTATAACCTATTAAAGTTTATTAAAACTTCAAAAAGTTAAGTTTGAATTCTGGACATGTAATCACTTCACTTTTACACATAGATTATTCTGCAAAAATGCATCATATCACTTACAATTACATGTTTAAATACACATCGTCGCCAGGATTTTTTTCTCGAGGAGGGCTGAAATCACATTTGCAAATCCCCCCGAAATCCGTGCACATTTCCAGCACATTCTCGATCTATCATTTTTCGAGGGTGGGCAGGGGCATCCCCCCAACCCATTAAATTAACAGCAATATGAGTTCGCGCTTTTTTTTTCTTCCCCCCCCCCTTTTTCTCCTTTTCTTGTTTGTTTGCTTTTCCAGGGGGGTGCCCCCCCCCCCTCGCGACGCCCATGTTCCAGTGTAGAGTTCTACTATTTTTCATATTTTGTTCGTCAAAACAAACCAGCAAAGAGAACAGCAAGCTTACCAGACTTTTTTAGTGAAAGGAAATTATTTTCGACAAATTCAAGATTCATGCTTTGTTTGTGCATGTGTCTTTATATCTGAGATTAACAGGACTTTTAAATCAACTGTATAAGTGTTTAGCTTTAACTTCACCGAATTTTGTCCTTGCTCAGTGGCCGATCATCCAGTGCGACTTGTTGGTGAATATAATTCAACTAATGCCGGTCTGGTGGAGATGTTCTTCCATGGTCACTGGGTCGCTGTTCAGTTGAAGGACGGATCTGAATCAGCTTTTGCCAGTGTCATTTGTCGACAACTTGGATTGTTTGGTCCCAACATGTCAACCATTTCTCATTCTGCCTTTTCAACCCATCGAAGAACTTACACATATGGTATGCGTGGCGTAGCTTGCAATGGAACAGAAAGCAGATTGGTTGACTGTACCTTTGAAGGCTGGGCTAATATGTACCGCGGCGTTGGGGTTGTATGTCAAGCAGGTAAAAATCAATTAATTTTCATGTGAAATTCAGTCTTGATGTGAGATTGAAAGCTTTGCACATTGGAGGTGGACATGTGGCACACTGTGTGTAATTATTCTGCTCATTTATGAAGAAACGTTGGCGGATTGAAAAGACGATAATAAACGTTGAAACTTTGTCAAATATCAATAAGGAATAATGTTGTCGACGAACAGACCTTACCCTGAAATGGCCAGTTCTGCAAAACTTTAATACCTGATTAATGATAGATTCAACACGAGCAGCCAAACCGCTATCACATGCACATGGGGTTTCTGTCCCGGTGTTGTTGGGGGGGGGGGGAATTGGATTTGGGGCAAAATTGGATGAGGTTCTTACCAAGCATGTTCCGGAGAAAAAAAAAATATGTACTTAACTTTCAACTTATAAACTGTCTGACTTTGCCCTCATTTGTTGGATCAGTAAGCAATGTTTTTCCTTGTGTCTTTGCCTTAGTGGATGACCATCCAGTTCGGCTTACTGGAGGTTCCTCCAGCACCGAGGGAAAGGTAGAAGTCTTTATGAATGGTCAGTGGGGTGCAGTGTGCGCTGATGGCTGGGATACATCACATGCTAGTGTGGTGTGTCGACAACTTGGCTTTCATGGGCCAAACACTTCCCTACATTATCCAAAGGAAGAAGACCAGTTACAGTATCTGACTTCTGTTACTTGCCAGGGTCAGGAAGAGCGGCTCGTAGATTGTGATTTTAAGGGTTGGGGTGCCTACTGCACGACCCTAGCTGCTGTCAAATGTCAGACTGGTAAGTTTTTAACTAGCTGGTTGATAAACAAAAATTGGTTTCAAACAGACTTCCCATTCCATAAAGCAATGATTTGTGCAATAACGATTTACATAAATGTTTGAATCTTTAAGTTTGGTAAACTATTTATAGATGAGGCAACAATAATACTGTCTCCATTTTTGCAGTCAAATGCATCAATGTTGTCTGAATAGTACAAGATATTTAGTTACGTTACCATATTCATTAGCGGATCCATGAGGGGGCCAGCAGGGGCCATTTTCCGATTTTTTATGTTTAATTTGTTATTCTTTTAATTTTTTTTCAGCAAAATAAATTAAAACGTTGAGTATCTCCCTCGCAAGCCTTCAGCAACACATACCTTTTTAGTTTTAATGTTACAATGTGGGAAAAAGCGCACGATACTGTATACTTAATCCCCTTCCCTTAATCAAAAAAAATACTCGAGCTCTCTTGGCCCCTCCGAAAATTTGGTGCTCAGTCCGCCCTTGACTATAGTACTAATTAAGTGATACGGGTTTTATGGATATCTTTGAAGTAAATTTTTTTTAAAATAAGTGTGGTTGTTGCCTTTGTGCTCTTAATCTCCAGACGAGGAATACCCAATACGGCTTGCTGATGGATCATCCAGCTCTGAGGGTCGTGTAGAGGTCTTCTTCAACGGTCAGTGGGGTACTATATGTGACACCAATTGGGATGATGCTGCCGCCAGTGTTGTATGCCGTCAGCTTGGATTCCCTGGGCCTAGTCTGGGAGTGAGACAAGCCTTGTTTGGGAGAGGAGATGGTCCGAAGTACTTGAAAAATGTGGACTGTGAGGGTCACGAAGAACAGCTGACTGATTGCTCTTTTGAGGGCTGGGCCATCTATCCGTACCTCTGCAGTCGTGTGTTGGATGCTGGTGTCATCTGTCAAGCAGGTATTTTTAAGCATCTTAGACTCGGATTCAATTCCACAAATCTCTAGTCCTTATTTTTTTATGGTTGAGACTGCTTGCCCCAAAATGAAAGTGTTTTTAGCCGTTGGCCTGTCATAAAGTCATGACGGTTAATATATATTTTTTTATTTTGCATAATGCTTTTGAGAAAGTGCATGTTCCCTTTGAGTCTCAGTCAGTTGGAAAACATTTAGCGCTACTACTAACTAAAGAGAAATCATGTAAAATGCCTTTTGTTTTTCATAATTTTTACAAATTGTTTGCATGTTTTTCTAAATTCTTTATAACAGATGAAGACTTCCCTGTTCGATTGGTTGATGGGCCAACCCTGACATCAGGTCGTGTGGAATTATTCTTCCATGGCCAGTGGGGAACCGTGTGTGATAGCAGGTGGGATGACTTGGATGCTGCTGTAGTTTGCAGGCAACTTGGCTTTAATGGTTCCAGCATAGCCGTGTCGGGTTCGTTCTTTGGGCAAGGCCAGGGCCCAGCTTTCCTATCCCACGTGGACTGTTCCGGTAACGAAAGCCGACTGAGTGATTGCATCCATGTGGGTTTAGGTTCCAGTTACTGCTCTCACCGCGTTGATGCAGGTGTAATATGCCAGGCAGGTAAGGTTTGAAATTATAATCACAATTTTAGAGTCTTTGTGTGGCCTAGATAGTTAGGAGCTTGGCACAATTTGATTTATTTCTAGGCTTGATCTCACATTCACTCTGATGTATCAGAGCTATCAGCCGAAATTCAAAATCAAACAATAAAAATGCCGTATTCTAATATCTGCAGAAGTTGCAAATTATCCGTACTAGGCAAGTCTACGAATATGAATTCCAAATGAAGTTGTTACTTTTCCCTCTTTTTTGCCTCCTTATGAAGATGACTCCTTTCATGTTCGTCTGGCTGATGGCCCGTCTCATAATGTGGGGAGAGTGGAGATTTACTTCAATGATCAGTGGGGGACTGTTTGCCGCAGAGACTGGGATGCAAAGGATGCAACTGTCGTCTGTAACCAGTTGGGTTTCCATGGAACCGGGAGGCCTGTGTATGCATCGATATTTGGGCGTGGTAATGGACCGTACATTATGAACGAAGTTGATTGCGATGGTACTGAGAGAAGGCTGGCTGACTGTCGCTTCAGTGGCTGGGGGAAAAACAAGCAATCATGTGATGACACTGTTGGGGTCGTCTGCAGTGGTAAATATTGATCATTCCACTGGAAATTGCGTACTGTATTTTTGCTAAGCAAAAGACAGGTAAGCAGCCAAAATATCATGCGACTGGTTCTCGGCCTATTTCTCTACAGATGGAGTTTCGTTTCAGTTGGTCCTGGCATGCTTTCATCCATTTTTTTTTTACAGTGGATTATCTGCAGGGGATCAAGTCAGGAAACACCTATACCTTTCCCTTTGGCAGCAACCCGTTTGACCCCATAGAAAGCCAATATTGCTGCAAATCCCTACCCTCAAACCCGGATTTGCCCCTGATTATTCTTTTTTTCTCAAACTTTTAGGCCTAATCGATATTTCTCCAAACAATATAAATGCAAAAGCAGAAATTAGCAGGTGCACGCAATTCAACAGAAAAGCATGTTAAAGGGAATGTACAACATTTGCAAACATCAAAAAAATAAATGACCAAATTATCACAAAATACTTCACTGGACTGCCAGGGGATGGCAGTCTGAAGCATCCTGTAAAACAATGGCTCCTGGTGTGCTCACATTTTCAAGTCAAGTGATATTTTTGTATCAATTTCCAACGCTGGTCGGCCGATCAGCGCTGGAAAAACTTACTTTTCTTCAAAAACTGCTCTTATTTTTTTATATTTAGTTATTCCACATTGTCTCAGCAATTGATTACACATCTTCTAAGGGGTACAACTGATTCTCTGACCTTACAATTCCCCAACATCTACAAATTGCTCTGTTTCATTTTAAGTGCGGTCGGGGAACCAGACTACAAGAACACGATTTGTTTGCTTGATTTTCCAGCAGCTACGGACCCAAAGCGTAAAATAAGTCAGTATAAAATGTTTTGCTATAACATACTAACCCCCCAAATCCATCCATTTCTAAAAATTGCAGCAAAAGCAAATGATGTACATTCCCTTTAAGGTTGTAAGAGTGACCAGCTTGTGTGTTTTGTAATAATATAATACCATTGTCTTATAGTCGGCATCAACATCCTGAATCCTTAAACATATAGGCTTGCATTGCCTCCTCGTTAACAGATTTGTTCGGATCTACATGCCCACCACCAGAGACTTTCATCGACCACGTTGATGGACAGTTTACAATCCGGAAATATGTCATAAAGGATATGTCAACAGCGTCTGACGCATCCTGGACAGAGCCAGTCCTTGTCAACATGCCAGAGAATTATGTGAACTCCACAACCTGTACGTATGCTGATGGCCGACTGCCTCCGGGACCATGCCGCTCTGGTGGAAGCTTCAACATCACACGTCCATTCCTAGTTCGGGAAGAGACCAAGCACAAAGTGGAGTACCGTATCACCGACCTGGATGAGAGTGTCACCTATTCCTGCATATTCTACATATCGGTCGCAGGTAGGCCTGCATGGGTTTTTATGTCCTCACAATTTTTAAAAAGTTGTCACTAGTTGGGCCTAAGGACGGATCCAGGACCAAATGTTCGGGGGCGGCAGGAGGGCTAAAGTATTTTTTTTCTCAAAAAAAGGGAAGGGGATCAAGTGTATAGAATCGTGTCATATAGTAACGTGTAACATTGTTATACAAGGTGAGTTTAAAAAAAAGAAAAAAAAACGGTACCCAAACCCCCAAAAAATATTTCATATTTTAAAAAGTATGTAGCACCAAAAATAATAATGACTGGAAACCCAATTTCATGAGCTACTTTTAGATGAAAGAATTACTGAAATTGCTCAATCCGTTCAAAGAATATTACCTTTTAAACACAGTGACCCTAAATCCTCTTTCGTCAAAAAAAAACCCACTTTATTGTGTGTTCTGACTGTTTGGAACAACAAAGAAAATGAGACGGTCTACTTGTTTCAACAACTGTCAACAACCGTAGTACACAATATTTTTATTAACAATCCTGCTTAGCGATAATAAGCTAAACAATATGATTTATACAATCCACTTTTATTAAAAGACGGGCCTTCAAAAGGACTTGAATATTAAATATTGTTGAATATTTTAATTTTTTAAACTGAGGTTTTATCGCTAGTGATGTTTAGAGACAATTGTGACGACGATTCTTGCAATCGCATATTTGGACGAAAGAGGTTTTAGGGTCATTGTGTTTAAATGGTGATATTCTTTGAACGGATTGAGCAATTTCAGTAATTTTTTTTCATCTTAAAGTAGCTTATGAAATTGGCTTTCCATTCATTATTATTTTTGGTGCTACATATTCTTTTAAATATGAAATATATTTTGGTGGGTTTGGGTTCCGCTTTTTTGACTCGCCCTGTATTAAAACCAAAAGGTATGAGTAACTGATGGCTTGTGAGGGAGATATGCAACGTTTTAATTTATTTCTTGAAAATTTAAGACAAAAGGTGTCTTCACTCCTCCGATTAAAAACAATTTTTTTTTTTGGGGGGGGGGGGGCAATGACCCCGTTAACCACCTTTCAGCTCTCCCCCCCCCCCCCCACACCCCTGGATCCTCCAATGGTTGGGCCCAGCCTTTTTACAACCAGGTGTCCCTTGAAAGTTCAATGTTCAGAGAATGTTCCTATGATCTGGCACATCGGTGGATTTAAAAGTCTGTAATACCTGATCTCTTCATACCAGACTTAATACATTTGTACATTTTAAAGTTGCATGCCTTGGCCTTTTACTTGATGTATAATCAAAACTTGTTTCACATGCTTGGTAGTGGTAGCGAGACCGATCCTCATCAACATTCCTGTCTTCAGAGATGATGATGACCAGCAAGAATCACCTAGTACTTCTATTCCAGAGCCTACAACAGCTTCAAATCAGGGTGAGTTCATGAGCATACCATTGTCCATATTGATTTCATCTTCCGATTGTTCCGGTGACGTCTTTGAGGCTCGAAATACAAATAGGTATTCTAGGTCAAAAATAGCATAAGGGAAATTGGTTCAAAAGGGTGCATTAACCAACCTCAACATGTTACCACCATATGTTTTTTCAATCACCAACCAAATAATGGTGTTTTTTTCACTGTTCAGACTCAATGTCACTCATCAGTATTTTCGTTCTTTCCGTTTACTTGCGTTCCAAATTTCTTTTGGAAGTGGTTGCTGAAATCACAACCCATCATGTCAACCATAAGAATGTTTTACACAAAGCGTAACACATGTACAACTTGTATGCAAAAACGAATACCTATTGTAATCAATCGACTACACCTGTAGGTTGTAAATGACAACTGAGTGGCCATTTTAGGCTCCTTGTTAAACTTTTCCACCACAGGAACTACAAATAATTTGCGTATACACTTCCGATGCAATTCATGAATAATTTAGTGACAATATCAGAAATAATATTATATGAACTACGTTCTCAACCTGTTCATCAGGTGGTGTGCGGATGAAGCATAGGGGAACTTGAAAATGTCTGCTGTTTGGAAATATTATTGCATTTCCATTTAAGTTGTGGCAAACTGGAGGGATGCATGTAGCGTCGTGTACATTGAGCTTGCAACTTTGTAAACAAAAGGGTTAAAAAGCTTTATTGCAGAACTAAACATTACAAATAATAATGTGCGTTTATCAATGCCAAAACAGCAAGAAAACATAAAAGTTCATTTCAATATGTCTCGCCCTCTATATCAGCAGACATCAACCGGTGACTAAATTGTTTTATTTCTTGTTTTCTTGAAAGGTTCGTCATATTGCCATGTATATCAACACTATGACCCAGTCAACGGTTTTCTAACTTGGCCATTCACAAGGGCAGGCGAACAGGCAGAGTCTTCCCAAAGATGTCCACCTGGTTCAGATCGTGGTATGTCATTAACTTGGCATCAACTTTAAGACGAAATTAGCTCAGTCGGTGCAATTCACAATCAGTATCCTTTTTGGACATAATTAATAACCCTCAGTCTCCCATATCGTTGAAAATCCTCCTGGCTGTTTTTTTTTTTCTTAGTATGGGGCTTCAGTTGGTGACAATGATATAACATAGTGGAGGATTATGAGGATCCGGCGAGATTCCTAGCCCAAAATGCTTTGACATTAATTGATGAGAAACATGACGATTGAGCAGACGGACCTGTACCCTGTTTCCACGTACATGTATCACCCAGTCTCTGCTTCCTATAGAGAGGCCTAGCAGCTATTGAAAAGGGCATTACTAAAGGCCCTGTCAGACTGTCTGCGATCATAATGCGCTCTTACTGCGTCCTTGAAAAATGGCTGCATGGGTCGCAACAACAACTACTAGATCGCAGCGACAGCTACATAGGTACTAGTCGCCAGATGGGCGCCAGAGGGACGCAAGCCGGTCATCAGGTCGACCCGCGATTTGCTTGCGCCACGACGAAACCGTCGGCATCAAGCAGAAAAATAATGCTCAGATCACAAAACTGAGAAATCGTGTGATGGTCGCGGAACACGTCGCAGAAGTTGAAATTGTTGTACTCGTACTCTTGCGACTGGTGATTTTTTTGAGCGCCAACTGATGCCGATCGTATTAATATCGTTGCAGTTACACTCAGGTCTCACAGAATCGGCGACTGAGTTGATCCTGACGGTCGTAGCTCAGCCGCAGCTTGATCCTGAAAAGTCAGTCGCCGACTGATCTGTGTCGTCGCAAGGTCGACCTGAGGCCGGCTTTAATGGTCTCCGATGAGCGCCAAAGTTTTTGAACATGCTCAAAACAATAACACCTCAGCGCTCTGGCCAGGGCGCCGTAATGACGCAACTCGGGCGCTGTGCGAGCGTGAATCGTGCGAAATTGACGTGGCATTGACGCAGCCAAGGCGCAAGGCAGTCGATGTATATAGTCTCCATGAGAAAGTAACTCGACTGCGATGAACTTGTAGAATAGATTTAAAACTGGACTGCGGATTGACCGTTTTATCGTGGTATTTATACAGCGCAAGTGACGTCACGTGAGCATATTTTGGTCGGATAGAGAGCGCGACGCAAGCTTCTAGGACGTATCAACAGAAAGTAGAGCGTGGTGTGAGCTCAGTGACAGCGCAGCGCCGGCAGCGACTCGCCTGAGTAATTGGGCTTGACAGGGGCGCATATATAGAGAGAGAATTGAGCGCATCGTAAGCGCGGGATGAGCGCAGTATGAGCGTAGCTTGAGCTACTCTCTGGCCACTTGAGACAGAAAATTGTCATTTTCTTGCGTCCTCGCTGCGATTGTTAAATTTATTAAATATTTTTGGTCGCCGTAAGGTCTCCTATGAGAGCGCATATAATGTGACAGGCCTTGTAAGTACGGAAACAGCAGCCATGAACCAGCGTTGTAATCGTTTTAACAACACATGGAAAGATGAATGTTTTGACAACCGATCAAAGAAAATTGAGGTTTAAAAAAATATATACATTATGTAAGTTGTTTAGCGCATAATTTTCAAATACGAATGATCGTTGCGTATTGAATTGTTCACTAAGATACGTGTTGACCCACAAAAGGTCAAGCAAAGCCTATGTTGCTAGGACAGGGTAATGGAATATCCTTTATGATAGCGTGCAGTTTTTATCACTTTGGAAGAAAGTTTTACGCAACAAAAAAAAGATAAGTGAATTTAACGAAGATGTTGGCAGTGAAATGATTTCGTCCTCTTTTTTTGGAAGCTGGCATGCCAAAAGGCATCGTGAATTGTTCATCACCTGATCTCCATGGTAACGATGCAAGATGGGAGGCCCCAGTAATGGTCAGCTGTAACGATAACACAAGCGAAGAAGAAGTAAGTTAGCCATGGAAGTTGACGTCTGCTGCTGATTTGCAATAGGGCGCATACAGCTGTAAATAATAATTCACATGAGGCAGTTTGCCGCCGCCTGGGAAGAGCTGATTGATCAACTGATTAATATCCACTCATACGGCAGACATTATGCTTCCATATATGCAGGTACCTAAAAGGGGTTCTTTGATGTTTTATTTTAGTATACACTCGGCTTTTCGGACAGTGTGCTCTGTCCGACCTCAGGAGGGTGAGGACGAACAGAGCACACTGTCCGAAACGTCGAGTTCTACACTCAACCAACCGGTTCTTGTCAGAACCACACTTCTATCCAATAACAGTACTGAATGATAATATTTTTGTGCAAAAAGGAACCAGACTATTTTTCCTTCCAGTCTCGCTTTGGTTACGTTGATTTGAATGGGAAAAATCAAGATGGCCGCGACATGATAATGATCTTTAGGTCCTCATAATATAGGAAAATACGACTGCGTGTGTGTTTGGATGTCGGCCGGGTGTGTGCGACGTTTAACAATTTTATGGGGAATTGTGGATTTACGTATCTGCTGGATTCCCTTCTCTTTAGGTGAACTATTACAATGAAGGCCTTCTTTATGAGCAGGTCAGTCAAGCTGAGATAATGCTCGGACAAATAGGAAACAATGATGAATTTCTAGCAAGACAACTTGACGAAGTGGTAGACATCCTGGACAACATAACCAGCTTGGGCTCTGGAGATCTACAGGTACAAAGAATTCTACTGCCATAATTATTTGTAGAACCTTCATGCACAGAACCGCAGGTGTTACAATTGTTGTGCCCCAACGTTAGCATTGCCGCGACCAGAGTTTTAGGAAGACCCAAACTATAGTTGGGATCTATACCAAACTATAGATTGTACTTCCCCAACTATGATTGGGACTGTCCCAACTACAGATGTGGACATTGTTGGGTAACACGTTCGAGCTTTCAATGTCACTTATCATTGGCACAAACTTTAATTAGCTGAAGTAAGCGAAGGGCTTTTGCTGTTTTTTTCAGCACCATGAACTCAAAATAACTGTAGTGATTGACTTGTGTGTGACTTGTGAATGACTTGCAACTGATTTGTGTTTAACTAATGACTGATTTGCGACTGACTTGTGACTGACGTATGACTGACTTATGACTGACAAGTGAATAGCTTGTATGTAACGTGTGACTGACTTATGGCTGACTGTTTGTGATTGAATTATGATCGACTTGTGACGGACTTCTGATTCTTGTTAACGTTGCTGGATTAAGCCATTATGGAGTGTGTCTTTAATACCAACAATTGCCAGGTAATGTGGTGCTGATGTTAATCGTAACTTTGACAAATTTCTTCTTAATCACAACTTTGCTCAACGTTTTCTGCTGAGACGCTCAAAATGTTGCCTTTGTTTCAAATGTTAATATTAAAAATGAAATAAAACAAGTAGTCAAGACAGTTGATTATTCTGTAATGTGAACTGTGAAAGTTCTGAATTGGATTACCCCAAAACAGCATGGCTGTGCAACACATTAATCTGCACTCGCAAAGTATATCAGTGTGAACATTATGGAACATATTCCGAATACATTTCATTTAACTGCTACGAGTAACTCCATGTAACTGAGGATGCAACCCAGAGAGACAGAACTTGTTTCACTTTTCATCCAAACACAGGTAACCGAAGCAGTTATTGGAGCTGTAGACAGCATCATGAATGCTATCAGGGGCAAAGAAGTGTTGGATCAAGCACATGGGAAGAATCTGGCCATCTTGATTCAATCCATCAACCAGCAAGTTTCATCTTCCCTTCGTCAAGGAGGAGAGATTAGCATCCAGAAGAATTCTATTCATGTGAAAGCCATCAGTGCTCCTCCTTCAGTGTTTCAGGACAGACTCAGCTTTGTCTCAGAGACCACTGGTGACTCCGGGCAACAAGGGTTACCTCTAGAGGGCGGTAATAGTACACTGGTAGGGTCAGAGGTGAAGGTGTATCAGGGCAGCAGCGAGATACCTAGCGATGGTCGCGTGAAGGCAGTCATCAGCCTACCAGCGAATCTTGAGGAATTGATGCAGGGATTTGGTATGAGTAATGATGCAAACACTGTTGGGTTTTCCTCATTACATTTTGAAAACAAGTCTTAAGTTTGATGTGGCAGTAACACAATCTTGCATTTGTGTGCTGAAACATTGACTTTTTCAATTATGTTATAATTCATTCCAGCTTCACCACGCATCAATGTGACTTTCATCATCTATGCTGATGATACCATGTTCCCATCATCCCTTGTGAAGGCGTCACAGTCAGAGAACCAATCAGCAATCAGTGTTGCAGGTCCTGTGGTCTCATTGGCTGTTGAGGGCATTACACTTGTAAATCTGACAGAACCAATTGCCATTGAGTTTAAGGTGAGGTCGTTTTTAATGAACACGTAATCGAACATGGACTGGTCCTTTGAATAAATTAATTAATGCGTTTTCTGGCTTACATACAGTTTCTTGAATTTTCATTAACCAATGTTTGCCTTGATTTTTAGTTTTTGTTTTCTTTTTTTCTTCTAAAAATCTATCACTGATAGACTTCGGCAGCAAGCATCTCTGACAGGGCAACTTGCGTCTTTTGGGACTTCACTCTGGAAAACGGCGTAGGTGATTGGTCTAGTGCTGGCTGTGAATTTCAGGGAGTGACCAATGGGAGGTACACTTGCCAATGTGATCACGCGACCAACTTTGCTGTACTTGTGGTATGTATTCTAAAACAAAGAGTACTGTTTGCGCACTTTCAATTGGAAAGTTATTTGTCTGTCATCATTGATAACAAGCATGTCATTGCTCATATCTCATGTTATGTCCAAAGAGTTCCCTCAGCATAACATGCATAACAGAAGACCGTCGCACTTTGTGTTTGAGAAGACTTGTAAATTGTACTTTCATAACTTCTTATTTGAACCAAGATGGATGTACCCAATCGGGTAGCCTACTCATGACTGACATGATTTGTTTCTTCTTCTTGCAGAGGCAAGGGGACTCGGCATATGAGGTTGAGGTCATAGGTCACAGTCACAACCTTTTCAACCAGATAAGCTGCATTGGATCAGCTGGGACCTACCTGATCATAATCGTCGTATACCTGACTGTGACGTAAGCAAATGCCTGTAAAATAATAAAAAGTATTTTTTGGCACCTGCTTCTGATGCACAATCAAATCAAACATAATTATGGACACTGTTAAAGCTAACCGAAATTGGAAGAAAATGGCAGTTTTCATATTTCGGGTGATTTGGAAGGCTTATCTGTCAAACGACTGGTCAAAAAGTTTTAAAAAAATGCATGCACGGCCAATTATTTGACATTGTTCCTTGTCAACAATCGTTTAAAAAATAATCACTTAACTCCAGCACTGCAGGAAACCATTGTATTTCACAGGAAACTGCGGGTCAATAAGTCTGGTCAGATATTTCTGCAATTTGTCTTCTCTCTGCTGATGTTGTATGCAGTGTTCTTTGCTGGTGCCTACAATGCAAGGGTATGTTTCTCCCCCCCCCCCCCCAAAAAAAATTCATCTGACAATTTTTCAATTAACCAGTCTTAGAGAGCTCCTTTAAGGCCAACTGACACCTGTCACGTGTTTAGATTCTCTTACCAATACTTTGATATTTCCCAGATGTCTATGATCATACAAAAGAGATATCGAGGGTGGGCATCACTGATATAATACTCAGTTTAAAGGAGCAACTCTTTCAACAAGTTTAACTGAATTCACAAATCTTGATGCCTTTAGAGAAAGAAAATTGTCATGTGAAAACTTATTTCAATTTTTACTTCGAACACATCCACTGTTTCACAGGAACAATTAAGCGTTTGACTTTTAGGATAGCACATGTGGTTTAAATTGTATGTGGAAAAGCCTTGGTGAAATGTTGGGAGGGGAAAATAAAAGGCATGTTTTAACTGTTGTAAACGGCAAAACGAGATTTTCTGAGAACCAATCCATTTCTTAAAGAACAGTAGAGTTTCCTAGTGCCATTTTAAATTATTTTTTTTTGGGATGTCAGAGTTCGAGCATACGCTGCGTAGCTGTGTCTGCCTTGCTGCATTTCTTACCCCTAACCACCGTGATGTGGACGGCAGTGGAAGCCAGATTCGTCTACACCAGAACACTCAAGATTTCCTCAACAGAAAGCTCTCTGGATGTCGTCCTTGCTAGCCTTGTAGCTTGGGGTAATTTCATATTTGTTTGAATTATGTACTATAAAACAAAATTTATGAATAACACGTCCTGGTATTTGACGAATTGGTGTTCCTTCTCAGTGTGTTGTTGTTTTTGTTCAATAACAACCATAATACTCTTACTCTGTCTGCCAGCTGCATTTTGTCCCAATTATACGAAGTATATAAGCGAGCCTTTAATATATTTCCATCGCAAAGTTTGCCAACGGCAAATTTGATGATTATGATAATTTATACATTTATATTGCGCAAATTCCATAGGAATATGATCATATGCGCATCACAATGATTATCCCTGTTCATCAGGAATGAGACCATTTTTCTGCAGCAGCTCGAGATCAGCGCAATTCGGTCTCAACCTTCACAAGTACCCATTTATACTCCTGGGTGGAGAGAGCAATCGTAGTAAAGTGCCTTGCCCAAGAGCACAAGCACCATGTTCCTCGTCAGGGTTCGAGCCAATCTACCACGGCACACGAGACCTACACCGTAGCCATTGGACCACAACGCCCCATCTGATATCTTTATTCTCAATATTTTCGGTAGGCATTCCTTTTGTGATGACAGGAACTGCAGTGGCTCTAGCAGTGGACCAGTACAACAACGAAGATTAGTGAGTACATTAAAGAACATGAACCACTATCTGTCAGGTTACCCCAAATAAATCAGGGTTATCCAAATACACTATGTAGTTGTGTATAGACACAGTTGTAGTGACCATAGACGCTTTCCTGTATGTAACTCAGAAGAGATAAATCTCTGATTTCTTGTTATATCCCAGCTGCATTGTTGCTCCAAGTCTGCTGCTGTACTTCGGTCTGCTTCAACCCATCGGCCTCATCCTGATCCACAACTTCATCACCTTTGCCATGGCCATGTGCAACCTCTCCAAACCACAAGATGAGGAGCAACCCATCCCATCATCCTCATCGTCCGTCACCAAGCAACTGCTTGCTGACGTCATCATCTGCACTCTGTTGGCAGTGGCCATTTTGTCTGGGTTTATGTCCGTTCACGACCACATCAACTCCCAGATCTACTCCGTCGTATTTTTGGCATCCAGTTGCCTACTGGTAAGGATGTAATCCATGTTCGACATTATGCATTCAAATATGACATCTGATATCTGAGTTTGTGTATTTATTTGCTCGTGTTTCTAAGGAATGAAATAAACTGGTTTGTCCTTTGATGACTTTGACAGGTGTGTACCATTGGTGCTGCCCTCTACTTAAAGACCAAAGATGCAGCGCCACGGCGTGATGAGGTCCTTGGCCTTCAAGACATTTCTGATTTCCAGGAGGAATCACAAATTTCTTCCCAGAAGACTACAACTGATGACGCCACTACAAGCTGTGGCGCCAAGCTTGAGAAGGAGGATGAATTCACCGTCAAAAAGGATGAAGATGACCCAGGCAAGGTCGCCTTTGAACCAAACGAAACGAAATCGATCTCCAATGAAGCCAATGAAATCGAAGTGGAATCCCTAGATGACCCCAACAGTGACATGAATGGCACTGTGCCAACAGAGGACATTGATTAGCAGACCCCGAAAAAAATGTGCACTGAATCAGGATGTCATGTTCGAATCGTCCAATCAGAGAATTGTTCTAGTTAATGAATATGTCTGGTTGCTAATTATATGTTTATTGTTGGTTAACTGTGTGACTCATTATCTCCCTTGTATTTTAAATATATATATTTAATTACGTAATGCCGTAAAGAAAATCACAATGCTTTGCGACTTTTGTGTAACGTGGTTTTGTATGAATTTAAAGTTTTATGTAAAAAAAGTAATGCACCTAATAAATTAGCTGCACTATGTTAAAATAATGGTATATATAGATTTGTGTTCTTGCATAATCAATTATCTGAATAATCAGGTTTTTAGTAGATTATCTCAAATGAATGAAGTGGTGAACGACAGTTTATTTATGTTGTAAGATGACAAGCACCATTCGCTCCAGTACTGTACACTATTTTATGGATGTGTAACCATCACTTTAACCAATACTTTAAAACATGTATGGTGGTATATTGATGTCAACTTTGATTGTACATATATTTCTTCAGTTGTTTATCGCGTATAGTGTTCTGGTTTAAGTCGATATCTGTGTCTGTAATGAAAAGAAAAGAAAGTCTTGTCTTGATATGTATATCTTCTTGTACCTCATTATCTTTGATCATGTCACCTGGAGGAGTACAGTTGTAACAATTAATGTATATTCATGTCATGCAAATATTGTCTATTCCACATTAATACCAAACAACTTAACCAATGTATGTCGTCTCTGTCATATAAAATGTTGTGTGAAATAAAACCCTTTCTAGTTTGTTTGTTTGTTTGTTTGTTTTGCAATGGATTAAGGACCATTCTGCATTTTCCCTGAAGCAAATTCAAATTGTTCAGGCGCGGATGGGGGGGGGGGGTGCCATTGGAAGATGGTACCAGCCCCCCCCCCCCAATTTACGGATGCCAATTCCGCACTGATTTGCTCATTTTGCTGATAAAAAAAAATTGAAGGGCCTGCCAACCCCCCCCCCAAAAAAAAAAAACACAATATCCTGGATCCGCCCCTGTTGTTGGCATGCAAAGGATGGACATCAGTCTATCAGATCTCGCACCGTATCTCTGTTAAGGCAGCGTACTGCAGACGCACAGAACGGGGAAAGTTTCCTTGCAGATAGACCTTGCCGTTTCGTACACGGACGTTTTGTCAACTTTTTGAAGGAATTTATTTTGCTCCTCCATGCCCATGGGCGTTACAAAACGAAATACATTAATCTTTATATAGGTTTTCCCGGTCAGTTTCCCAAAATGTTCATCCAAAATGTTCATCCACTTCTGAAAATCGGTTATTCATTTTCGTCTGAATTTTAGAATCGCTCTGAACACGCGTTTCAATTCGCTTCCAGGGCATTGGATTCCATTTTAGTTCAATCAATTAGGTAATTGAGCAGAACCTTTCGTTTATGTCCATTCAGATTCATCCGATCGTTTACAAGACTTCTTTTTCGCTTTTAGAAGGCGATTTCAAATATTCACCATTCTATTTCACCTTTACTTTAATGCCATCGGCACCAGATACAATAAGGGTTTCTTTTTCATTAACCGTCAATCAAATTAGTTGTACCTGAAGTCAATTTAGAAAAGGTATGCTTGCGTTAATTAATGCACATGTAACATCATTGGCCGTCTGTTTCTCAAAACTGCATGCACGGTATAATGGTATAAAGACGTGCATTCAAATTCAGACGAAATTGAATGACCGATTTTCGTAAGTGAATGAACATTTCAGGAAATTGGCCGGGAAAACCTATATTTTAAATTTTAAGATACTATTTAACGCGTTCCGTCCAATTTTACGTGTCTCCTTTTATTTTATAAGAAAACATTAACATTTCAGGTACAAAAACAATCTTACTAAACAAAACTGGTTTAGTAAGGCAAGGTGCGGGTCCGGCCAAAGTACTCTTAAGATATTAATATCCATCCGCCATGCAAAATGTTTTGTCAACGCTAGTTGCAATGACAACAATCAACATTCAGAGCAACTATACCCTTATTCGTGAATAAAATGACTTCTGTGCAAACAAGTTGCTTATTTTTGCAGGAACTTGCAATTTTTTTAAAAACATTTCACGTAAAAGTGTGTAGTTCCCATGTGTGCGCCTTCACAGTAAATACATGTAGTCTTTTTCGAGCCGTTGTATTATATAAGAGTACTATCTGTCTGAAACCTACGCTTATTAACGTGTTCTGTCAATACCAATGTAATCGCGGAAACAGACTAGAGGGTTTTAGTGCATGCAGCGACTAAGTTGGAGTCATTGATCCGTCTGTGTATATGGAGATCAATGGTTGGAGTGAATACAGGTCAACTCGTACGCGAACCAACTCGTACGCGACCAACTCGTACGCGGGACAATTCGTACGCGAACCGACTCGTACGCGGACCGACTCGTACGCGGACCGACTCGTACGCGGACCGACTCGTACGCGGACCAACTCGTACGCGGACCAACTCGTACGCGTGAGTTTAGACGATTGGTTTAGCTCACATGGACAGATGAAATTAGGTTCGGTACGGTAGGTCGGCATAATTTTACCTTTTCTAAAAGGTTGAGATTTTCAAATTAAATGTAGTTGATTTTTGAATCCGCCAGTGCTACTTACATTCACGATTTTTTAGAGAAGAATTCTGCGTTTGTTTGTTTTTTTACAAGTTCGCTTGATTGATTGGGAAGTTGTCTTCGCGATAACCAGTATGATTGGTTCCCGCCGCACCGCGCACTGTATAAAGAATGCATGATTGAATCGCTGTAACCTGTGTATGCCGCGGTACAATGCTGGTTGGTTAGACAAGTAAAATGACAAGAAAACACCGATATTTGCGAGGTCTATTGTATAAAAAGGAGCTACTATAAAAAAAGGAATAAAGCATCACGCATGCTTATACAGTTGTACGGACAGTGTCCGCCAGTTTTTTGCTTGGGTCAGACATGTCAGATAGTTTTTTAGTCCTAATTATTATATATCCAAATAATATTTTGTAAAAAAAGAAAAAATGGGGAGTTGATTTTTATTTTTTGTTAAAATCAGAATTTTATATAATACGAGTACGAGTTGACCAATCCGCGTACGAGTTGACTCGCGTACGAGTTGGTTCGCGTAGGAGTTGACCTGTTTCCGTTGGAGTGTACTGTCGTGACATTATGATGCTTGCGAAAAAGTGATTGATTGATTTCTCTCGTAATCGATTCAGTAATTAGCTGTTATGCTTGGTGCAAGACGAAGTGCCTACGATAGTTCAGCTGATAAGGGATAAACAGGTGAATGAGTTTACATTAAGACAATTTGATGGGAAAGAATGTTGCAACCTGACGCTACTTCAGCGGTTGTGCACAAAGTCTATCTAGTGATGGGCAGAGAGGGTGGATGGATCTAGCCCCATAAATGTGGCCAATTTATTGGACTACCTCCGAAAATAAAGAAGGCCACACTTGGAACATGTACCCGAACATGTAGAACTTTGTCAAATTTGGATTTTCACATTTTGGCTTTATTTGTAGTTTATTTACGCTTTAGAAGCATACTCGCCCTCTGTATGCTATAAATTTAAAATTTAATTTATAACATGATTATAGCGATAGAAAATTTATCCCCACTTTTTCAGACATCTACTTTTCGTGTAATTTCGTGTTGGAATTTATATACGTAAACGTGTCCAGACGAACCTGGAAATTACACGAAATATAAATGTCTGAAAAAGGGGGAATAAATTTTCTATAACTTTAAAGAGCGTGAGTGTACTTTGTCTTCCAAAGCAAAGGCGTCACTCACTTTTCAAAAAGTGGGGGGGGGGGACATTCGTTGATTGGAACTAAAGGGAGCGTGAAGCCCTAGCGGCGTGGGGTTTGAAAATTTTTGGATTCTAGACGCTCTGTGGTGCGATCTGAGGCAATTTCTGACCACTTTAATGCATTTTTTTAGCAAAAGATCATAATTTAAACATCATTTTTAAGTTGGGAGTAATTGAATCAGCTATTCTGAGCTATAGAATCATGATGTAGGCTACATTTTTTGGGAGGGGGAAGAAAAAGTGGGGGGGGGACAAACGATATGATCCCCCCCCCCCCCCCACTTTAAAAAGTGGGGGGACTAAACTAGGACTCTACGAATTGCCTGTTTTAACATTTTGAAATGGTCGGGCAACTATCGCCAGACCATGTCCAAATGTTAAAAAAGGGGATTCGTAGAGTCCTAGTTACTCGGACAATACATGCTCATCATGAAATCATGTGAGTTCCTGATGAGCATGTCAGCTGGAGTTACTCTAGCTATATGATTCGTTTCAGCCCAGCGCCCATAGGCCTACTTAATTCCGTGGGTTTTCCTCAGAATAACATTGTCTAAAACTAACATTCTTCACATTGTCTTTTCTTTATTGGGCCCAATATATGGGAGACCAATGGAATGGATTCTTTGAGTTGGCTAAATCATGGAGCTATAAACATGATAAACCTTTTTATAGCTCCATGGCATTGGCTAAATAAACAGTGACGGTGCTGGGGGGGGGGGGGACACGGGGGGGGGGGACATTTTTACATTTGTACACTAGGGACTACATATACAACAAAACAGGCCATAACTACACAATCGCCCTTTCAATCAGTATTAGATAATCAATTTGAATTGTAATTTGTATTGAATGATTTTTTCTCAGCTCTGTCTTTTGGAGGTCTTAAGGAGCGGCGCAATCCAACAAGACTTGACACAGTGCTTACTTTGTAAACCTCGGGGGACTTCTGGCTCTATCATAATGGCAGCCAATCATGTTTTGACCGTCCGTTCCTTATACAAGCAAATCCTCCTTCTCCATCGGAGGTTACCATTAGACATGAAGGCAATTGGAGATGAGTATGTGAAGGCGGAGTTTCGACGACACAAGACGGCGAAAAAGGAGGAGGTTCAAAAGTTCATGGATGAATGGCAGGTCGGTACCTGGGCGATATCCCCCCTCCCCCAATCCCCTGCCCCACACACACACAGCAAGGAAGAGGGCCAGGACACATGTATACATCCTGTACCCAAAGATGCCATGGGTTGAGCACATATTGATGAAACTTAGTCTTGTGTTCCCTGTTTGAGCATGCAATATGTCCCGTCAAATGAGCCTTAAGAACAACATAAAAACTGTACCTTAACCCTAACTCCCTGGGAATTTTTGCTAGGATGCAACCTTAATCCTGCAAAATCCTCCAACTGCCTCCATGTAAAAATTGCATTTAAGTTCCAGGCTTAGACCCTGACACAGTGCATCCTCCAAAATCAGCCACATTTTTGCCTGTAGCCTTAACCCTGCAAACTCCTCCATTTTACAAAGAGGATTTTGCAGGATTTGGTAAGGATAGGGTTAAACTACACTTTAAGATATAGATATCCATACGCCAAATGACTAGTGAAACTTCTGAGTTAAAAGAAGTAATGTGGAAATGAGCTGAAAGGCCCTCGATTATAAACAGGTTTTAAAACAAATGCACACAAATTCCTTTACCAATTTGTGTTTTGTCGCGCAGAATTATGCCGGGGTTCTCAGAGACCAGCTCCAGCATGCTGAAACCGGCAATCCACCCGTCGGACTGGACATGCCTGAGGAAAGACTAGACAGCCTCAGTCAGGAGCAGGTAGGACAACTGTACGAACTGAGGAAGGAGACGGCCAAACCTAACCCCTTCATGCCTCCAGAGGGCGCTTCATGACATCACGGATGGACGGATTGACTTGTGGTCGTGCCCACCATATACCAGGTATGGATTCTGTGTATGAACAATGGATGGTGCTCCTTTTACCACGCAGGAGAGCTCCATGAGGGAGCAGGGGAGGGGGCACATTAATTGCACAAACGTGTATGGCGTTGAGGTTGAATCTTTAACTTTATCCTGAAATGGACGGTGCACAAGCATACAGCAACAGTGTCTTGGATCCCCGCCCCCAACTCTCTGTTTGTAACGTGTGACTGCAACTTGTGCTAAAGTCCATAAGAGTGGTGCTCTTGCTTGACTTGGCATCCGTGGATGGACCCAGCATACAAGGCAGAGTGGGCCTGTGACGTGACTCGTGATGTTAGGATTTGGATTTTGTTGGCCCATCTTGGTTTGAGCCAAAGCCACATTTGCAATGGACTTCAGTGCTGTACCCAGGCTGTGGCCTGGATGCAGATAAAAGGTGGGTCTCTTTTATGAAAAAAGGACCTTACTAGTAAAAATGGACCGATTTACCAAAAAAAATACGATCAGTGATGCAACTGCTAGAAATCTATAAATGTGCACCATTTAAACAACTGGCTAGTTAAAGAACGTGTACATCAACTTTGTTGTGTAATTTTTTTAGTTTTTAGATGTTTTGATTAAAAATGGACATCTTAAAAGCAGACATCTTAAAAGCACCCATGTCAAATATCGGATAGGTTATATTAACCCAAATCCCCTCTCCCTTCCAACCCATTGCCTGGCTATGGGCCACACGCATGGGGAAGATTATAACCATCAAGAAAGAATTTCTTTTCAACTATTTGAGGCTCCGTAGCTCAGATGGGAATAAAGAGATTTTTTTTATTTCATCCGGGAATCTTACCTTGAAACGAAGGCTTTTCATCAGTACATGTATACTGTACATCATACCTCAACAAATTGTCCATCTTTTAGTTTTAGAATATCACAAGACTCAAGGATTCAGAATGATATTTCAAGTGTTTTTAATGTATTCACAAATGTTTAAATAAAACTTTAAGACTTTGCCTTATACAAACCAATTACCATAAGACAATTAAATATTCCTAAATCATGATTGCACATATTGAGTATAAAAAATCTATCATTAAAACTATACAATCAAATTTGGAATTCGTGAAAATAAACACTCACATCAATTGTTTATGATAGCAAAACCTGTCTACTCAATTCAGTTACTGTTTTATAAAGTCCTGTATCCTAAAATTTACAGAATTTTAAGGAAAACCAGACCAGGAATGAGATTGTCTATTTAAAAAAATGTCTGAAAATTGGATGAAAGGTCTGAAAGATGTATTTCTTTCTACACTGATAATGTCTGTCTCTCAGATTGAAAAATCTGATTTCAGACAAAAATCTAAAAAATCCCATGCCTGGAAAACACAGTGACGAGATATAAATTTTGTTTTACTTACATAATTGGTCTTATTTTTTAAGGTTAAGTAGAAGTTTCACTAATCAGGTGTAAACTGATTGAGTAAGAACTGAGAATTTGATTAGAAGTAAGAAATATTTGTATGGAGTAAATCCTGAGAAATTACCCTTTTGTACTGAACCATTTTCAGGGATGCCGTAAAATGTATCATGAAGAGTTGTCCAGCTACCCATCATGAATAGTTGCATTTTGCAAAAAGGAAAAAGATTTCCCCAAAGTTTACTGATATCTTCAGAAAATCCTCTTTCAAGCATATGTCTTGTATGTTATTGTTGAGTTCATTTCTCTAAGCAGATTCATATATAAATAGCAGCGTGCTAGCCAGCCCCGTACCGGGCTCGAGCTGCGAAGTCTCAAGGCTCTTGATATATTCAGCGGCCTCGGCCTGCGTCTCTGGATCACACTTGGATATCAGTGCATAGCAGAAGGACGACCAGTTGGTGCTGACGGGGTCCAGGTTGTATCTGGGGTCAAGGGTGGTGGCACCGGGTGCTGTGGTGGGATCTATGGCCCATCGGCAGATGTCTTGGACATTAAGAGCCCATTCCTGTCATGAGATTGGGATTTCACATATTAAACATCATGAACAAAATGACAACGATTTCTTGCTTCCACCGACGGTATGGAGGAAAACTTGCAATACCTGGCCCGAGCCTTCACTAGGAAGACCCCACATGAAAACAAAGTTTACTGTTTAGTATGCTCTGCACTTGATACCTTCTTGATGAGTAAAAATGAAATTGGGCCATTGCCATAAGTTTTTTTGTCGAATTATTGAAAATATGTTTGCTTTCTACTGTTTGTTTGGTTGTCTTCATTGTCACTCAGCGTTAGTGAGATTTACATTTATTTTCAATCTGACTCCGTGTGGGTGTCTCTGTAGTCTCTTACCACACAATTGTCTAACTTCCAAGAGGCAGCTCCTGTGAAATGTTTGAAACCAACTTTCAAAGCTTAAGGAATTAAGACCGAAAGGATCCCAGCTGGCAAAAAGCTACTCCTTCAACTCTTGTACAATATCCTCGAGAGTTTTAAATTGCGGTCTTGCTATTTGAAAAGACTCGACTAAGTCATCAACACATTAAGATTCAAGATTAAGATTCAATCATCCCACAGTTGCCAGTTAGCCTAGAAGAACCCACCTTATCCATGTAGAGATGCGACACAGCTGTGATCGGTAAAAGCTGAATGCCCACGATGCAAGCGTGAGTCTGTGGAAACTGATCGGGCGCGCATGCCCAGTTCAGCATGTAGTAGAAGATGCCGTCTTCCTGCAGTTGACCTATGACCCCATATTCCCTGATGAGGGGTGGGAACAGATGCTGGTTGTAGGGGCGGACGTGCCAATAGTGCCTCGTTGCACGGATCTCTGTAGCTAGGGTCAGCTGACCAATAGCACGTAAGGCTGAGTGGCCAAGGGCCTCTCCAAGTGCTGCAAGTGCATGGTAGCCGTTGATAGCCTGATATCAAAATAATAGAAGGATGGCTGTGAATGGTCAAAGCAAACCCATCTGTATCTTGTCAAATGATGAGTTCTATTAAAAATTGGCATGTCTTCCCTATCAAGAGAGCTTTCATTAGAGTATTTAACAGTAAAACATCTTGAAATGTGGAGACAGCCAAGTAAACTTGGAGAGAAAAAAGCAGGGGAGGGCTTATAATTTGACATTTTTTGGGTGCATTTAAATATCACCTTCTTATGTGTTGGTTGCTCAAGTCGATTGACCCTTTGACACCTGAGAAATGTTTTCTTCTCAGTCTTCTCAGAATTGTCACTGAAAATTGTGTAACAATGTCATAGTCATTGTGGGTGATATGCCATGATCATGGCTTAACGTGTCCAATATGAATGTTTCCAAAATCCAATGCTAGTGACGATGACATTCACCTCACTGGATGATTCCTCCTGCCTAGCCTCTCCACCAATGCCTGTAGCCCAGGAGGAGCCTAGGTACCAGTCCTTCTGTCTTACGGTGGGGAAGAACCCGTCAGCTTTGCTGGGGTTGCCCACATCCCTTGCCAGGGTCATGATCCGGTCGTAGTTCTCTGTGGTTGAAATAAATCATTATTTTGAATATTTACACATTTTAGTCAATCGCAAGTCCTCACAAGTCCATCGCAATTCATCTGGTCAGTCATAAGCAAAGTCATAAGCTATTGAAATAAACCACGACAAAGCCATTCCTTTGTTACTGTTGACCTCCTGTTACTTGTGAATGGACTTATTTACTTGTGATCGGATTGGTGATAGACTTGTGAATGATGGACAATATTACTTGTAAGTAATTTCTTATGTCCTGCTAAAGTTATGACTTGGGTTTTTAAGCAAGCCACTCAGGTACTTAAGCTATTCCAACAGACTAAGTTCAATTCTATGTTGTTCATATTAGTGCTTAACATTTGGTCTTAAGACAGTAGACAAAGATATACTCCTTGTACTGGAGTATTGCGAGAGGTGTCCGGTGGCACTTTCAAAACTCTAAAAGTTGGATAAGGCCCCCCCAAAAAGTCTCCGGTTTCTGGTATGGAACTTGCCCAAAAAGTGGTGCGGCGACGCGGCTTTTTTTTTTTTTTTACCTGATTTTTTTGCTTCAAATGTCGGCTGATGACTGCAAATGGTGCCCGACTAAACTTAGTGCAAATATATTGGAATCCAGAGAGGCCACATAAAGCTTATTCTCGACCATAACCCAATCTAAAAACACGTTAAAATTGTGCAGCAGCAGGATTCCAGTCAAACCAGTGAGTTTGGCGGTTTTGAGACATCATCTTTCATTGGAAAAAAAACTTTTTCATTTTGCCGACGCGCATGGCTACGGCGACGCGCGCGCATACCAGAAACCGGAGACTTCTTTTTTTTTGGCCTAAAGCACAAGTTTTCTTTCCAAATTGTATAAGATCCACCTTGAAACAAGGTTAACTTTTTGACACCAGCCAATATGGCCAATCAGGCCAGTGTTTATCTCCAGTTTCCTAATAGCATGAATGCCAGTCTATCACAAGTTACTCCCCAGCTAATGCTTGTGCCCATACAATACTCCTGGATGGAGAGAAGCTAGTAGGGGTGAAGTGGCTCGCACAAGAACACAACATAATGGCCGGCAGCTGGATTCGAACCCCATACCCTCTGATCATGACTTATGAACCCTAACCACTATAAGCCACACTCCCCGTGGGTCAGTTAAGCTCAAAGCTCAAATGTTGGTACAGTACTTTGTCTTCCTACTGACCTCTTGGCCTATTGTCCTCTATCTATTAAAGTCACGGATTGATTCATCAGGTGTACATGTAACTAATGTCCTAAACTGCCTAAAACAGAACACAACCCACTGAAGCTGACCAGCTGAGACTGACCAGCTGAGACTGACCAGCTGATAAACTTCTAGGTCCAGCTAGAGGCAAGCCTAGGCTTGTCCAAGCAGTAAACTGTGCCTACCTTCTTCCATGGCCCAGTCTTTGTGGTAGGTGGCATAGTAGGCAATGGCATACATCCAGTAACCTAGATGAAAGTGATGATCGGCGTAGGACACAAAACCAAAATTTGTATATGGATAGACTGGTTGGCCTGGATCAGCACTCCTGATGAACAAACCTCCCCAAACGGTGTCATATCTAGAAACATTTCAAAAGAACTCAGGATTAGGATTTCGAGGGGTGGGACACATTCCGTGCAACTCCCCTCCCCCCCCCCCCCCCCCCCCAAAAGGTTCTTTCATCTTCTTGGATCCAATTCCGTGTGTTTTCCATAGAGCTGCTAAGTCATGTGTTTATCTTATTAACATTAACTAGCCAAGAATAACTTTACTTCAAAATTATGTTCTTCTTCTTCTGTTTTCCTTCTTTCTTTCTTTTTTAACACTTAATGAGCTCAGCCAATTTGTATGCCTTTATGAAATTTGAAATTTAGACCTGGTCCCTTTTGCTCTGCTGTCTTGTCAAGTTTTGGTTAGGGTGGGGGATCTTCGATATTTTGCAAGGTTGATATTTTCTGGCTCTGATTCGAAGTACAATGTATAACACAGTTGAAAAAATGAATCAAATGCATGAACAAAAATTCCCAAGTTTCGGAGTAAGTCCTCCGGAGCAATAATCCAGTTCACCTTAATTGTGGGATTTGAACACGGTCCACTAGAGGTGAAATAGGTGTCACAGCCGAACTCTGCATGGTCACTGTTTATGGAAACTCTAATCTGGAATGCACCACATGGGATTCGAACCGGGCACGTAATCAGAGATGTGCTCAGGGGTACATATAACCCTGAACCAATCAAGATGTCACCACTCCGCAATACCTGAAAGAGTTAACCTCGCTCAGCCCACATTTGAGCCCCAGCCACATGTCCAGGCATTTCCGGAGTGGCTTTTCCAGTTCAGTGTAGTGGTCAGTCCCCAATGCCCGAGAGATGCTGGCTAGCCTGGCAACCATTCCGATGGACTTGCCCGCCCAGTAGCTCTGCGGCTCGCTGCTCTTGCTACAGTCTATGAAGAGTTGTTGGTGAGCGGCATCTTTGTCCATGGCTTCTTTGATGTCCTGTATTATGAGTAGTAAAACAAAACAATGATTTCTTGAGGTCTAAGTTTGAAAATAAACAAATCTGTAAACTCTGTTGTCATAATACTGCTGCTTTAAAGTAACCAACCCAGTATTGAGCTGAATGGTATATCCAGACTGGGAGGGGGGGGGCCTAACCAAAACCACCAACAATCCAATGATAAGTCGATGTTCGTTTGCGAACTGAGGCCCTAGATGCTAGTCTGATTAACCTTTTGGAGGGGGGGGGGGGGTGAGGGGTGGGGTGTCTCTTGTTCCCATCCTCACCCTCTTTGCCAAAACTCTGGTTTCAGTTTGGCCAGAGTTGTATGTTCTTGCTCCTTCCTTGAAAACAACAATGTACAATTCTATTCTTGAAAATTAATTTTCACCATAAAAGCAGACTAAGGAAGAGTATGTAACAAGGGTGTTGGAGGCCATTTTTGTCCAAAGTTTTAGAAAGTACTTTCAGTATTTTTGTCTGAAGACGATTGCAACAAAATGCAAGATTAAGATGTATTGAAGTGAGTTTGCTGTAACCTTCAATTTGTCCGGGTCATCCTTGATTCTCTGAATTGCCTCTGGGTCTGGCTCCATAGACGCCCTGGGAAGATCCTCCTCCATCACCCAGACATCACCAACGTGACCCTTGAACACAAAGGGTGTGTCCACGAGGTTCTCCTTGGGAAGAAGTGACTCCTGTAGAATCAAAAGGGAGATGAAAACTTTTTAAAAATTCTTACTAAATACAAACTTCTTGGAGAAACAGTTGCAGCATCCAGGTTGAAAGAAGTGCCATTACTGCTTAGATATTTATGTAAGGCAGTCTCGGTCGAAACAATCCTTTGTGCTTATTTATTTCTGCTTTGTAAAAAAAACATCTTTATGCTAGTGATTAAGTTAATTAAGTACAAATTGAGAAATAAAATAATGTTAGAGAAAAGATGGGTTTGAGGTACGTTTATTTTAAAGTTTCCAGCTCGACCTATGAAACGGCCCAAATGATATTATAAGCGCCCTGGTCTGCGCACCCCCCCCCTCCATTCTCCTGACCCCGGACCCCTCCCCTCATTGGGGCATTCAACACCTCTCCAGCTGTACTCGTCTAACCTGATGTGGCAGGACCACGGTCAGGATATTTTCCTTCGGATTTTGGCCGAAGAAGTCTCCGCCCTGCTTGTTCCAGTCAAAGCTGATGTACCCCTTGTCATCCTCCGTGCAGAATCTTGTCTTGGGTTTGTAGGAATATACCCCGGCGTACTGGTCAAGATTTCTAGCTGTGGACAAATCCCCCTTTGGACCAGAACCTTATGGATAAAATACACAGCCATTAATTAACTGTTTTAAGACCATGTATGTTGAGTTTATAATATCAGTGTATACAGAAGTATTTGGTATTTTGGTACCCAATTCAATTTTTTTTTTGAGATTTAGGTGCGCGCTCATGAGCCATCTTATGTTCAACTGTATTCTCATCTTTTCGTCGAAGTTTTTCCTGTTTGCTTGTTCCTTTACATTTCTTTAGTAAGTTTGTTTTGACTCTATTTCAAGGAAGCATACAATAATAGCACACCAAACGACGATACTATGACAATCAAGAAATATCTGCGGATCATCATCATCAGAGCATGTGATGTCCCTTAGCAGGTCCACCAGTCAACAATTCGTTAAAAAAAATTATTGCAATCTCTACCTGCATATACGAGCTGCATGACGCCAGTAAATTTCTCCGTCCCGTCTCCCGTAGGGCTGAACACCCCCGGTGAGCCGTCAACAGGGAACGTCAGCTTCATCTCCTCCGAGAAGTACGCGACAAACTTGCGCGTCCCGCCGGGGCTTGGGCCGGTCTGTCGCCGGGGCTCGGACAGCTCAAAGTCGAAGGATTTACCGGTGATTTCTACTGTCTGTCCGGCGGTGGGGTTGACGGGTTGCCCGTCACAACGAATCTAGGATGTCACCATCGATAGCAACAATGAATAATTGTTTTATCAAACGGGGGAGTGGGGGCATTATATGGAATATTGGGGATAAAGTTGCAGGAAAAACTGTTTTATTTGTTATTTTAATCAAAATTACGTAGTGGGCTTTGAATTTCAGTGTTCGTCATCCTACTGGAATTTCCATTCGGTTTTCGTCATCTAGGCCTACCAAGAAATGTACCAAAAGGGCGCACAAGCCTTTTGGTCCAAATTTTTAGAAAAAGAATTCAAATTTCTGTAGCAATATATCGAACTAATTTTCTCCTTAATATCTTCGTGTTTTTTTCCTTTGATGAAAAGAGCTCTTTGTATCAGTAGGCTTACGCAAGTATGTTGTTTTGTATAAGAAAAAAAATATGTAAATTTATTGCAAAAGTTGAAACTGTCGCTCTCTACCATTTCTGGCTGTCGTCTCCAATTAAAAGGCACCGCCTCCGTCACGTATTGACTAATCACATTCACAGCATAGCTGACGTCATCGTACGTCACCAAGACAGAAATGGTAACCGTTGTCCCACCGGCTGACAGCGTGCAGCTGGACGTTAAGCATGTCAACCAGGGCAGGGAACCATCCCAGAGGTTCGTCCTCGCCACGATGTATTGGATCTGCAAGGATTGAACAAGTGGCGTCAATTTTGGTCGGCCCTACTCTATTTTTTTTTTAATCTTTGAGGAATGACATGGCCTACTGAGGCTTCAAGATGCAACAATCAAGTTTGTTGCATTGTAGTGTGATATTTTCCACGTTGTAAAACCATGGTTTGCTCGCCCAAACCGATGATTTCAAACTCGCATAGTCATTACAAAAAAACAAGACCAGGGAAGCCTAGTAAACATGGTTCCAGATAAGTCTTAGTCAAGTCACGGTCAGTCGGGGAGTCAGTCAGTCAGTCAGTGAGCTCTGTACTAGGAGGGCACTGGTCTGACCCTCTGAGACCAGTAAAAACACCTGTTGTTATCCTACCTCTTCCAGTCCACCTGCTGGGTGACTGAGACTCACGGTGATGTCCACTCGTCTACTCCCATCACACTGCCCGCTGACACCGGCACTGCCGTAAAACCAAACCGGCTGACGCGTACCAGAAGCCTCGAACAACCCACTACCCGCGTCACTGCAGTGTACACGTCCCGGTATGTTCACCCAGTACTCGTTGCCGTACCCGTGTCCCGGCATCACGTAGTAGTCAATGACGTTGACCGCATAGAACATCATTCCTTCGCCGTTTGCCGGGACCGTTATGTTGACGTTGTGGCCGGTGTCGTCCATGTCGCATGTCGTGCTGTCGCAGGTGTGCATTGCTCGGTCGCTCGCCCATCTGAAGTGACAGACATTAAAATAGCATCACATCTTTGAAGAAAAAAACAATCCTCTGAGCATTTCAGGATTTCCTTGGGCCCATGGGAACTATAACTAATATTTCAATCTGGTTATTCCAGTTAGTGAGTTTTAACCAACCTGCCCTCCTCGGTTGCCGCCCACTGTACATCAGCGACTTCGGTGATCGCTTTCGTGAAATGCACCTGTAGGGCTATCTCCATGGTTTGATTCGGCCTACTGCATGTCGCTCGGACATACCCAGTACCTCTGTCAGCAACTGTGATAAGCAATAATGGAAGAAGCTGGAACGTATTAATGTTAACATTGCAAGTCCACTTTATTTGGTGTTATGATCCCCAGCCACCCCGCCCCACCCCGCACTAGTCACCCATGGGTGGCACGGGTGGCTAGTGCGTAGAGTGCTTGCCTCTCACCACTGTGGTCTTGGGTTCGATTCCCGGCTCAGGCCATAATATGAGTATCGAGTTGTGCGTTGATTCTCTCCTGTGCCATGAGGGTTTTTTTCTCCGGGCTCTCCAGCTTTCCCCCATCCACAAAATGCACAAAATGCTTAATTAAGGCGCCTTTACATGCCTTTGGCTCGTCCACGTTGTAGCCGCGCCCTTAATTCAGCTTCTCAGCTGCGAGTGAGAATGATTGGCCCCCAAATTATTATTATAAGGCCCAGAGGGGTAATGATATTTGCTCTGCAGCAGATATATCTTCTGTTCATCAATACAAGTACATCATTGGTTTTGTGCAAATAACGTATAGATCTTCGATGGTCAATATCGGGCTGGATTTGTGTGTATAACCGATACAAGTTTTTGATTTGTTTTGGTTCGTACCTGATCTTTCTTCGGGACACCCAAATCCCACGTCCTGACCGTTCACAGCGACCAGACAGAGGGGTGACACCACGGGGTTAGCCTGGGTGAAGAGATGGGTCAGCATTGCCGAGCCTCGGACTATGGGCAACTCCATGGTCCCACCCTCGGTGTCTGTGTACAAGAAATTGGCGTACATCTCCCCAAAGTCCGTTAGCATCGGTTCGCCAGCATCCTTGATACCTATACGAATTCCTGATGACCCTGCAGGTTGCGTAATGAATATGTACATATAAGAAGCCATGAATGAACTGTGCGATAATAAAGTTGACATTAGTGTCAGTAATGTGACGATCACAAAAATGAAGTGTCATATTGGTGGAGGGCAGGGTTTCCGATGTTTTTCGAACTATCTGGCAATTTGGTATAAAAAATGTCATTGCATGGACTGTCATTTCACTCGAAAGCTTAATTGAAAGTTCATTATTTTTGAAAATAGCTTTCTTTGTGTTAGTTTGTGAGTTGGCCATAGATGGATACAGTTACATGTATCGCTATTTTGCTATGTACATAGAATAGTGCTTTGTGTTTCATTATGCCTTATTCATTTCATTTGTGCACCGTCTCGCCTTTTAAGGAGATGGCCTTTTGTTAATGACACACCTGACGAGAAGGGGTAAAATTTAGCAGGCTTATGTTTTTGTCCACATTCCCAATAACTCACCTGTGAATGCCGCTAGTGGCGCCCCATCCGGACCAGACACCATTTGCTTTAAGTTGGTGCCCATCGATACGATCTTCTCCCACGGTGCTCCGTTCTTCCCTGGAGTCAACTGATAAAACGGGTCCTGCCTTGCCGTTTGGTTCCACCGATCCAGGGTATAGGCCTCGTAGGTGATTCCTTCCTTTGTCATGAGTGCGGAGTGAGGGAACTGTCGTATGGGTTTCAGAGGTCCGTGGTTGATCTGGTTACAAGCGAAGTGTCCCGTGGGCAGCGCCCCGGCGTCCCGTAAGCTGCCGGTCCGCTGAGGAGGTGCCACGTCGTTGAGTAGCGTCGATTCTTCGAAGTATTTGGTTGGATCCACGGTAGACAACGCAGTGTCATGGAGGAGTGTGCATGTTGCAGGGAGTCTTCCTCTGTCTAAAGTCCAAAGAATGTTTGGGTTTTTACCGCAACATACTTCACACAAAATATGAGCAGACTCTGAATAAATCACTCAGTTTCTGTAGTTTATTTTATTTCAGCACCGCGGATTCAGTTAAAGTTAATCAATATTATACAGGAAGTTGCTTCCTGTGAGAGTACCAACTTATACTTAAGTGTAACACAAATAAAATACTGTGAAATATCTTAAAGCAGGAAGCAAACAAGACAAAAACATCTCCCCTTCCCCAAAACGAATAATAGGTTGTTGGAAATGTGATTTTGAAGGTAGTGGTGTGTACAGACGGGAATTGTCTTCAGATTGAAAGCATTGATGTACATCATGTGCACCAATGTACACCCGTTCTCACAATACGGGCGATTCCCAATAGTGCGCCTCCAAGAGTTTGCAACGCGTTGGCCAATCACAATGCGCAAAATCTGTCGACCCAATGCGCGTTTGGAAAAGGTCGACTGATTTCGCGCAACGTGATTGGCCAACGCGTTGCAAACTCTTGGAGGCGCACTATTGGGAATCGCCCGTATTACATTCCTCAAAAATAAATGAAACAGCACTTCACAAAAGAGTTCGTGTGAATTTAGTTCGTTCGTTTAACTGCATGGATTCTCCTTTTTAAACAATGTGGACTTTCATATTAACCTTTCTCCGTAAGCTGATTTTTCAAACTGTCATGCTAAAATGTCATGACATTTTTACGAAAGTCTGGAAATAATTAGGCCGACAAAGTCTTGAAATTATCGATTAAAAACTATGCTGATTTTTTCGTCACCTTCTTCTCTCTCGGGCAACGTGGGACCTGGGTTGTTGATGCCGAAGTACAAGATCAGGATGATTGTAGTCATTACAAGAGCAGTGGCAATGATCAGCAACACCCACTTCTGGCAACTCTCTCGCTTCAACTGGGAGTCGGACTCCTTCTTGGCAAGCTCCGGGTCTTCGAACCCGACTTCTTCATAGGTACTTGCAGGGTCGGTCACTTTGGGGTCATCTGTTGGTATCTCAGCCCTCGCCATGTTACTCCGTGTCCGTGTAGCTCTTGTTAATAACCCCCTGTTGCTTCCTTCGGTGAGGAGAGAGTCCGATGAAATAATTTCAGTTTCATTTCCTTGTTAGTTCTTTCTAGATTGATCCATGATTCCACTTTTGTTTGGAAGGCATATACATGCCTCTAATGAAAGAGTCACGGTGGAAATATTGATATTTTGGAATGCACGTTCACTGTGTCGATTTCGAGAAACCATGAAAACTGTTCACAGTTGAATTAACATTTCAGTGACAACTTGGCAGGCACATGAGATTGTGATTGAGTTATGCGATTTTAATGCATTGCTATACTCACTTGTGCAGTCCAGATGGCCTTAAAATTAGCATAAACTGACAAATATAACTGACTCGATCTCTTCTGACTACGGAACATGTGATATGAAACTTATAGATTATTCAGTTGCCAGAAATGCTTTCCGCAGTGCAGCACTCGAGGTGATATTATTTACATCATCAAATCAATGTCATGTACACGCAGATGTTCGGTCTGATATGTCCTGGCCACCATATTGTGATTTTTAGAAAGAATGTGTAAACAAAACTGGGATTCTTGATTAAAATTGTAATAATTTGGCATCTTAAATGAGGAAAGAATGAAGAGGGACACTGCAGCTATGGTGTTATTCTGCCATCCATTTTTGATGTGTGTGTGGTGTGTATATACCAAATAAGAACACCAATGATGCTTAAATTTGTATCGTGTGATTTTCATTTCCATGATAGCATTTTCCAGATAATTCAACACTATTCACTGTATCACCGACCACGGGATTACCATAGTTATTTTAGAATGATCTCATTTTTGAACCAATTTTTTTTTGTAACGATCCAAGCTTGCGGATCAATCTGAGCATCTGAGAGAGCTGCATGGAATCTTCGACAATTGAAGCTTAATTAGCAGAGTTTACACTGCAGTCACATTAAACATGCATCTCATATTGGAATCCGAAACTCTATATTCACGGTTCTATTAAGTTTTCAGGTAACGAAGTTAAACCTGTCACCTGTCATCCAAATCTGACTCTTACCTTTTCTATATATTTTGCTTCGTTCCGGTGTCGAGTGAATCCTTTGCACAACTGATTTAAGTTTCTGGAAGCAGGACTTGGTGTATATGGTAGAGCTTTACACGTTGTGGCTCCTGTACATCGCGTGCAGTCGTTACATGACAGCCTGGACTACTGTTGTCCCGCAGAGATCTGGGGTCGTAGATTTGTAATACTGTTTGCGTACTGTGATATAACATGTTATCCCTTGATTCGATCTGATAGGTAAGAGCAAAGGTCCATATAGTGGGATTTTATTTGTAAGGTCAGTGGGGACAGTATTGCGTTTTCGATCACTGTATCGATTCACACACGACAACGAATTATTGCGACGGTACCGGCTACTATATCAGACTCGAACCAGCCAACCGACCCCGACAAGTTCGGTAGCCGGGTGGTTGGACGTCTGCACCAGAAAACAGGAGGTGATGAGTTCGAGTCCCACCCGAGATTTGCTTGTAAACTTGTTCTCGCAAGCCCTCAGCCGGACACTGCGTTATACAGTGTTTTTAATATGCGTCAGCGCACGGCAAAACCCATTTTAAACGTGACGTTTCCCTGACACAAATTCCATCTTATAAAAGGTTTGGGGGCGGCACCCGCTGCTACATCAGACTCAAACCGGCCAGCCGACCCCGGCAAGCTCGGTGGTCGGCTGCACTTGTATTCAGGAGGACATGGGTTCGAGTCCCATCCGAATAAGCTTGTGAAATTTTTCTCGCAAGCCCTTGGGGCAACACTGAGTACACAGTGTTTATAGAATACGTCGGTGAAAGGACAAAACCCAATATTGAATTAATTACAACTTGTTAATCAAACTTCTATTATATTAGCGCTTGAGTACCGTATCGCGCATCAGTATAGCTGCACCCGAAACACTCCAAGTTCAGCATTATGACGTATGTTTAAAAGCCTTCACGCCCGAGTGGACAGCAATATCACGGCGGGATTTGAACCTTGGACCTCCGGAGCACGGGCGAGGCACGTGTTCCAGAAGTCGCAGATTCCGATCCTGCACTAGTTAATTTTCTTTAAATTCACCTCTAGAATGAACCCAATTTTTTATTTACATGAGGACATTTTTTGTAATGCCCACAATGTAGGGTATGTAGGGTATGTCGAGTACGGAAACCAGGCCAATGTTCTTTTGTTTGTGCTTATGTTATCTGTTTGCTCCCCAAATAAATGTCATTATCATTCATATAATGGAACTTATCGGATTATGCAAACAGTCTATAAATGTTTTAGTAGACCCAACGTGTTGAGGTATAAAGTAATATATAGTTGCATAGAATAATGTAGCTTTAAATAGGTAGTCGAGATGAATTGGCGAAAAATCACGGTGTTCTTGTTTATGCATGAATGTTCGCACTAACCCCTGGCAGTACGAGCACTATGCCCTACCAGTGACGTAACTACGGGGGATCGGTGGGGAGGGGGGGGGGGCATCAGTTGCCATCAGTGCCCCCTTTGAAAAATGTGTGCACCCCTTGGTGCCCTCCAGTGGGCTCTACATAACAGTCATCTGAATAGACCACCGGAAAATGTTGTGACCACAATAACCCCAATACTGAGGCGGATACCGCATCGTGTCAAGTAGATCTTAAACAATGGATGGGGAGTCAGGTTGATTGTGACTGATGAATGAAACCAGTCCCCCCCCCCCCCCTTCCCGTTTTTCGAATTTGCAAAGGCCGGCTGACCGTTGGACCACCACTGTCCCCCCCCCCCTCACCCCCCTCCCAAAAAAAGTTGTTTTGAATCCGCGATGGAGCTTTGCCTCGCTTTCATCATCGTCTATAAAATCAAGTTCCAGTGGTCCTTTGCCAGGGTTTGATTGGCAAGTATAGCGACCTCTCGTGGTACCATCTTGTAATGGGGGTGCTGTTCAAACCCTTCGCTCGTACCCCCGCACTGCAAACAGGACGCTGGGATACTCTGATGAGCTTCACAGAATCTTGTGAAGGAAGTGGCCTATGACCTATGTATAAAGCATCTGGCTGCAGCTGTTCAAGACCGCAGTTAGACAATGTGCGCAAATGCTATCCGAAAAGTTGCCTTAGAATTGCGCACATTCTATACCGGATGTAATTTCTGTTTCATTGCGGACCATGTGGACAAAATTTTGAGCGTCGCATAATGCAATCTGACCGTTCGTGATTCGAAACTGAGCCTGAGCGAGTGACGGGAATTGTAAATTTACAACATATGTAAGTTTTACAGAATTTCCTACATTATTACACTTTTCAACGAAGAAAAAACATCCCTAAACTGGAATAAAAGAGTAATGACTCAGTCTTAACGGCCGTTTCAAACCTTGCAGAGTCATGACCTTTATGACGCGCAGGTCACTGGTCACGCAAAATCCAACCAATCAGAGCGTGAATTCATCAGTGTATCCCAGTGTCCTGTTTGCAGGGCGGGGGGTACGAGCGAATTCAAACCCGACTATAATGCACACTACCGGATGCATAGATGGCGCTATTCAGGGCGGCAAAATTGCCGACGGTCGCGCGCAATTCCCAAAAGGGCACTCGTAAGAAGAGGCCGCCGGTAAAAAGAAAGGGCAATTGTTTTACCAAAAAAAGGGCCCTTCTTTAAAAAAAATTTTTTTTTAAAGGAAACTTGTTAAAATAAGGGTACTCTTTATAAATATTGGGGGGGGGGGGGGTTTCAACACTGGTGAAATAAATGGCGCTTAAATGGAAAAGGGCAACCTGTAATGTATCCTCGAGGGAGATAGTATCGTCATTGCGTATCGCCCTCCGTTAAGCTCTGGCAACAGATCTTCTACAAGTCACTTTGGTGTCGGTCGGTCGGTCGGTCGGTCGGTCCCCCCCAAACATTTGACCCCCAAAAAACCCAACTCACCCATAAAACTGTAAGTACCAACTTGTTACTGTCCAAAAAAAAGCAAACAAAATACATTAACTACTTGACAAAAATTGTTTGTAACAATTTGCGGAGTTGTTCATGAAAATTCCGTTCATGGCGTGAAGAAAATGTGGTAAATGTAAACGTCACGTGGTATATAATACGCTAGGAACTTAGGGGCTTTTACACACCTGTGACTATTGACCAATCTACAGCTTAGTCCACATTTCTGGTCGAAATTGCGTCACACTCATTAAAGACCACTTCGATTGGCTGGCGCACGGGCCGGGTCGCATGAAATATACATGCTCTGACATATCAGACATTCGTACCGTGGCCTTGCCCACCGTACGCGGATCAGATCCTCTTGCATAGGGCCAAGGCGGCCTGGTACGTACGTGAACGTCGCGCTCCAATAATAAAGGGCAGACGCCATCACATACCTACACAGCAGGTGGTGACTTCCTGCGTCTCAAGATCAGCCGAAATATCCCTCGATATTTGGACCGGTCTCTCGACTCGCATAAATCGCGTATCCACCGTCGAAGCAGTGCGCATAATGTTTATTATGTCACCAGGGAATAAAAATAATAATGACCGGATTTAGAAGAACAGGATACCTCGAATCACAGTGCGGTGTGGCCTATTTGGTTCCATTCCAACTTGGTACAGAAAAAAATGTACCATTCCGGAGTGCAGATACATAATTCGCTTGACAAAGTTGCAACAGTAAACTATGTGACCGTGCTAACGTTTTCTCAATTGCCATGTTCCAAAGATGATTATGCATGAGGTCGGGCAACGTTCTTATTTCATTTTTATTTTATTGTGAACTGTTACGAGGGTAGTCTATTTTAGTTACAAAAATATGAACTGGAAAATAATGTTACACTCGAGAGGCTCGTTTTCGTGGAGACAAAAACGAGGCTTTGCTTTGTAACCACCATAATCAACTTGAGCCAAGAATCGCAAACGGTTTCGTTCTGACCCAGGTTGCTCCACGTACACTTGCAGGTTACGAAACATGAAATTTATTGTTCCCTTTTGTGAGAATTCTGTTGTTTATGTTGCCCCCGGGCCTGCTACAACAACATCGTCACGTGCCCTGTCAGGTCACGTGCACGTTCGAGTCATTAATGTACACTCAGTGACTCCTTGACATCGGCCACCACATGTGTTTTGTGATTTATGACATTTCATTATCCAGACAAACTGATAGGGATGTACACGTTACAAGAATAGGAAGTATAAAGGCCTGCAGATCACATCAACTTGGATAAGGCTATGGCACGCCTGATGCAATTTTTTTTTTTAAATGCGTCGACATTGATTCGTTTACGTCACTGCTATAGGTATCCAGATTGACATAATGCGAAGTCAAAGATAAAAACATGCTGCAAATTAAACTGTATGTAGGCTACCGACTAAAAATAACCCAGAATATTTCAAATTTAAGGTTAAGAGGGGCTGGAGTTTTGATCCCAGTGGAACCAACCTCTAATACAAATAATCATAATAATAAAATAATTTTGTATATTTTTTTCAAAAAATCAACAGTTTATATACCACCACCTCCAACCATAGGCAAATCCGCATATTATTAATATGCATCTCTGTCGCATTTCGCATCTACCACGTCGCTAACTATTTTTTTTTTTTTTTTGGAGGGGGTTGGTTGCATGGGGCTTTCCATACCCCACCGGGAGCCAATCAAAACGCCTGGAAGTGATACACCAAGAAGCAGATAGGTCGTGCTATGGCCCACCCATCGCAACCAAAGATAGCCAGGTAGACAGTCGCTCTCCTGGAAGTCAGTGGGGTTTTTGCTCCGTGGTAGACGGCCCGAGGAGGATGCAGCTCCGCTGATTTCTAAGACTCCGTGAATTCCAAGCCAGTGCAACTTCCATCATGTCCGGTAAGATAATTTGCATGCTCTAATTCTCCATTCAACGCATAATATATTTAGTAACAATCGTTTTTCCAGAATACCTCTCATTTGTAAAATATTGTTCCTTGTATAAACATCGGAAAGAAAACTTAGGCTAAAGAACCATCTTTTTCAATGATTCTATTTTCAAACTGTTAATTGTTTCACAATGTTGTCACACTGCCTCAACGTCCGGCCACAACTCCGAAGCAAAAGAAATTCGATTAAGGTAGAATAATCTCAGATAAAATTCTTTAACTGTTTAAAAATTGCGCGATCGATATTAAAAAGAAACGACTACGAAACCCTGAAAAAAACTTGATTCCCACTATGGTTTAAAGAATCATCGAGAAGTGAAGGGTTACCTATACCTGGAAAACCGATTTTAAAGTAACAGTAAGAATAAAGGTTAGAGTTAGAGGGTTAGGGTTAGATTTTAATAATCTACCAAAACCATTTAATTCAGACGATAAAACTAGCTTTATCTAGTCTAACTTCCGACTTAGCGAATTAAATGTTTTGGAAACCATTCTAAATCTAACATGATAATAGTCTCTTCACGTCACTCACGATTTAAGATTTTGAAGGATAGTCCATTGCTGTGGGATAATTTATTACTGGTGTTTAGTTTGGATCCATGGATGCTATTAGAGGTGTTAATTGCTGAAAGACGGAAGTTGTTCCGAACTGCGAAATTGTTTATTGACCATGAACATGATAATTGGCATGATAATTGGCATAACTAGTCTGTCACTCAAACTACAAGCAGCAAGACGTAACCCATGTTGCATGCACTCATGCGCCCAAATTATCCCCGAAGGCTCCGCATTGAGGTTATAGAAGAAGAACTTCCGTGACTTGACATGAAAATCATAAGCAAGTTCATTATTTGAAGGGTTTTCCACAAAACATGGCAGACTTGATCTGCTTTTGACACATCATTCATTGATGAATTGATGTTTAGTCTAAACGTGCGTGCTCGGGTGGTGAACCTCTTAATTGTTATGACAACGCAAATCTTGCATCAGGTGGTACGCAGGATTGAAATCTAAAGAAAATCTTAGCCTAATATATAGGTCGGCATAGCGGGGAGGTAACAGTTGCGACTTTCAATAATCCCCTTTTCGTGCGAACCGATTTCCAATCTCGACCAAAATAGAGTTTCAACTTTTTTAACGGTACCCAAAAATTACAAGACGAAAAGCCTGTGCTCTCGAAGAATTAGCGTTATGTTTCAAAGAAAGTGTGGTAGAATTTAGAAAGAGTAATGGGTTCTGTATCTTTTAAGCACAAAATGTGCATGGTTTGGTTTGGTTTTGATTCGTTCACTACAAAACAAAACAAAGCTCGTATCATCCACCTGGAAATAAACAATATTGGAGTTTTTCCTTCTTTCAAAATTATTCCCAATTCCGGCCTTTTTCAGGGTAGGGGTGCATGGTCCAGACCCTTTTTCAATCTCCTTTTCAGAGATTTTCAATGTATAAAAATCAACACAGTACAATAAGATATTAGAGGTAATCTACAATTTGTTTTTGCTTGTTTCAATAAGGAACCGGAACGTTTTCCGGTATTTTTATTTTCTTGAAAACCAAACTATTTTAACATAATCTGGGAGGAGATTTCTTTGATACACCACTGTTTCAAAACAATTAAGGGCAATTCTTCAATCGGTTGCTCTTGCGTTAATTTTCAAATTTCAAGCCTCTCGCAGTTTGCCACATGTGTTAGCCCCCGTAGTTTGATTTCTCACTAATTTTACGTCAGCCGATTATTTTTTTAGACGAACGATTAAGATCGCTTTTTACGCACGACTGGGCAACCTCATCAAGTCGCTGTTGGAAGCCCGGATGTTTTCCCTCCCTTTCGCTTTCACTGCAGGTGCTTGCATTATAACTTTTTTTTGATAAGATAAACTGTCATTGAGTCCACCTCAAAACAGGTGTCAGAAGAATGGTATTGGCATGCATCCAACATAAACTCTTCCGCAAAGCAGGAAGCAATGATAAACAGAGCCTTGATTGGGCCTGTGGAATTTACTCTCTTATTGAACCCAAACGTGTCCAGGGCAAGACGGTTCACATTTAAGGTTCAGTTCCTAGAGTTGTATCAGTCGGTGGGGTGTTTACTCCCAGGGTTTTTTTTAAGCTCTGGCAGGAGCTTCTACATGTCACTTCGTGGTCGGTCGGTCGGACCCCAGAAAATTGACCAAAATAAGCCCCCTAAGTTTCCCATAATAATGTAACTACCAAATTTTAATTTTCAACAAAAAAATTTAAAAAATACATTAAATACTTTACAATTTTTTTTGGTCACAATTCGGAAAGATGTTTATGAAAAGTTTGTAAATGAAGGCGAAACATTTGCAATGATGCTATAGTCACGTGGTATTTATCACAAATCGCTATAAATATTGGTATAAATCTTAAATATGGTGTTCCATATGTGCCATCAGCGTCACATTTTTGGGCGTAGCATTTTTAAGCTCTGGCAGGGATCATTTTGATAAATTTCATGCAAGATATTCATGCAAGACGGCCATAACTCATTGTGCACTCGCACTTGATAGGAAATGCAAGGGCGGATCCAGGGGGGGGGGGGGGGCCAAAGGGGGCCATGCCCCCCCCCCCCCCCAAAAACGAAACCAATTTTTTTTTTTTTTTAATGTGACATCGCAATAAAGGCAGGCAATGAGTACACCACCATCTTTTCCTCAAAAAAAATTGGTTAAAGTGGTCAGAAATTGCCTCAGATCGCACCACAGAGCATCTAGAATCCAAAAAAATTTTCGGGGCCCTCACGGGCCCCGAACCCCACGCCGTAATTTTTGAGACCCACTTTTTTTGGGGGACCAAATTTTTTTTTGGCCCCCCAAAAAATTGTGTTCTGGATCCGCCCTTGAGGAAATGACGCATTCAAATGAGATGTTAGCTCTTTTACACCACTGTTATTCAAAGGTAACAACAATTGTTACTGAAGAAAAAAATGGGGCTTCATTTTCATTTTCATGGACGTGATATTATTTGCACATTGTTTTACCTTTTATTGGACGAGCGAAAATCTTCCAAGTTAAATAAGCTGTTAGTAAGGTTCTAGGGAGAAGTTTGTTTAAAAAAAATTCAAACATTAATCATCCCTCTCAAAAAATGACATCCCAGATTGCGACAGACCCGGCCGCAATTGGCCGGGGACCAAACGAATGACCTCAGCCGCGGGTTAACGACCGGGACCGCAGGACAGGCAGTCACGGTGGCTCAGAATTTTAAAATGAAACTGAAAATGCTGTACAAACTTCTTTATCGGTTGTTTCCCAACAAATAGAGTTCGTCTGTGCAATGTTAGTGGGAATCGGAATCACAACTTTCATTTAACATTTAACATTTATGTTATCGGATGATTTTTAAATCATAAATTTAAATGATGCATATTCAGTTTTTCAATATAACATAACACCTGTGCTGAAAAACAGCAGTGATAGGCATGCTTAAGAAAACACTCAATTTTTGTGTGAAAATTAATCATCGCGTTGACTATGACATGCGGTACCTGAATCAAACTTTTAGACGTTTGACCTGTCAACCACTCCTCTTGCAAAATGGTGACAGCCAGGTTCGAATCCCCAAAACGATTTCATCGATCGACTTCATGGTTTAAACTATGAGCTACATTGATTTGATGCAGAACAGATAACTTTATTCAATAGCAGAATTTTAAAGATTCTAATGTTACTAGTCCCCGAGTCTGCTCTAGACAGTGAGAGACCCACTCCATCTTAATTCTGCCTGGAGTTGTCCCAGAGGACGGGGTACCATTCATCTTCTCCGTCAGTCAAGAGGAAAGAAAAAACCGCCAACATGTAATAGACCTGAAGTTGAACTCGATTTTGTGCCGGTTCAAGGCTCACATTTCCAGTTGATGTTTTTTTGTCAGGGGAAAAGACAAATGTAATGAAGAACCCTTGCCACCTGTTGTGAGTTTTGTTTGTTTGCGTTTGTGTTTTATGATCTTACGGGGGAGATGGAGTCTGGCGGGATCAGAGACGCGTGACTAGACAGGGGGCACGGCGCGTTAAGCCCGTCTGACCGACCCAGTTTACCACGCTGGTGGGTGAGCGTTTGGCATGTTTGGAACCGTGGTGTTTCGGCTTCAAAATCGAAATATTATATCTTTCTATCTGAAAAGAAGAGAAGATTTTAATAGGCTCTAAACTATTACATGTATAAACAAAAATCACACTATACATTTCAACAGTTGATAATAAGAATTACGTAGAACCAGTTATTTTAAATTCCTCTGAGATATTTTATTACTGAAAAAGGGCACGGACTACAAATTCGAATTGGTGTGACATTTTGAAACACATTCGGATTGCAATCTTTTATTTATGACTGTTGGCATGATTCATTCGTCGAAAACCATTGCAAATATTCCCTTTCGATTTCGACTTGGCCCATTTGCAAATAATGGGCATTTCTATATTTAAATTGTCTCGTGCCTGAGAAATTATCTAATAAACAAACAAATAAATAAATAATGCAATTCCATTGAAAACATAATCCCAAACAAAGTGTACTGACTCCAATATAAATTTTAAAAAATAATAATGAAAATGTGATGCAACATTTAAAAACTTCAAAGTTTCAATACAAATCAAATATTAAGTCGTGCTGCTTCGAATTCCAATTGGAGAATAGTGTTTTGTCATCATCTAGCTACCATGGTGTGAGGTATTTTATAGTATATTCTGTGGGGGAAAAAGGTGGAATTTGTTTTCATACCTTGGACTGAGTGCTGCCTCATTTTTCCCAATGTCTCGCTGTTTGAAGCATTTCAGCTAAAGTTGACTGACCAGACAATGTCCCCGATGGAACACATGTTCGACAGAAAATAATACGTCAACATTCCCCATGACACCACTCCCAGACTTGCCTCACCGAGTGACTTAGTCTATTATTTTTTTCCCTTCTAAGTAATAATCAAGGACAATGAAAAGTAGGACAAATGCAGTTGGGTATGAGTCTCAGGGGGTCATCGACCGCTGTTACGGGAAATGTTGCAACTTGTGCAAAAACACCACACTGGACTAATTGTGAATCTTAAACGTGGTCGGTATAAAAATAAGTATAATCAAATTCATCCCAAACTGTATGCGGTGCTTATTGGTTTTTTGGGGGTTTTTTTGTTTGTTTGTTTTTTTGGTGCTGGCGTCACTCGCTTGAGATTTAATTTGTAACAAATTTTGTTACCGCTGTGACGTCAGATTTTTGTGTCAACTTTTGGTAGTTGGAACGGATAGATTTGGAGACACCACAACGTGTGAAACTCATCACAGCGAATACTTATTCGGACATATGGTTCAGTGTGTACACAAATCAGATTTGTTAGTTTGGTAGTATAAAGTGAACCGTATTTGTAAAAGAAAATTGGTTTAATTTGTTGCGTGCTAAACTCATTATAGAGATTGTGCTGTTGACGCCGGCTGCTTTGCAAATTTGTCACGGTACAAAGTAAGTGAAGAATTTTTTACATTAAAAGTGAATTGATTTAAAATCACATTTACCAGCTGCATCTGTATTTGATTTGAATTAATAATAATGATTATCTAAGAATCCGCAGAGAAAAGTTTGCTTGGCAGGTATAACAGAAAACAATATTTGTTTATTGAAAATCAATATCCTTCCATCATTGCCTTCTTAACTTGGCGAGTAGGACCAAACTGCCATCCCGAAAGCCTCTGAAATTCTCGGTATATAAAACTAGACTTTTTGCAGACAGCCACCCCGTGGCCCAAATGTTTCTGTATTTTCCATCAGGTAATGTCACGTACATGCTAATAATCGGGACGGAAAACCCATTTAATATTGATATTGTTTTCAGATGAAGGTTGTGACTCTCTAACAATAACCATATGTAGGCCTATCGCATTGCAGAAAAATACAGGCACGGGACATAATCCTTCCCTTTCCTAAAAATAAATGATCATCCACAAAGTGCTTTCAACTGGTTCACCTGCGATGGAATTCGGACAGGCAGTTTGTACCCCCACGGGGGTATGATGTGATTAAGGGGTCGTGTTACCCCTGACATCACCACGGCTTTACACTCGTAAATAAGACGGGGGGCCGCCGATCGAAGCAGCTAATGATACGTATTGGTGACCTTTATTTGGGGTCAAGTGACTTTTAAGATGTAATATCTTTGATGCAATAATAGCTTGGAATGGTGATGGTTTTATTTCTTGCGAGGCGGGCCTGTATATTAAAGTCTGCATTGTGTGTGTGTCTGGAGGGGGGGGGGGGGGGGGTTGACACAGTGTCTCTTTTCTGTCGCACACACAAAAATAAAAATAATATCGCAATGTAATAAGAACCACCCCACTTTACCCCACGAAACCTGCGTGCTTTGACGTCCATAATGCGCACGCGCAGATGTTCACGAGTATGCGCACTCACACAACGAGGGTTATTTCGGCACGAGGTCAAATTGACCCGGAATTTAAACACTACCAAAAAAATCATTATATACAATGTATATCATCCGTCTATATTTTCATTATAAACAAAAAATATCGGTATGATGTAAATAGATCGGATAGTACTTAATTAGTACTATTACGTTCGGCATGTTTGTACCATTGCTTAATTTCTTTGTAGCCGATTTCACAGCCTGTATTTCCACTTTGATACGGTTTGTTTATGTAACTTTTGGAAATTCTAGAAGCACTTCTTATAAGGTTTGTCCGACCCCCCCCCCCGGCCACTCAATCTAACGGCCACTCGAAACAAAGAAATAAGAACTGAAATAAAACAAATTGATGAATTTGTACAACTGTCAAATGTCAAAACGATTCGAAATGACACTAGAATAAAATGACGCCGGTGGGATCAACAGACAGCTATGAATCAGTCGTCTGTTTATTCCAAATATCTGACTTTTTACCTTCCCGGAAACAAACAATGGCCTGGTTCTGGGACAAACAAAGACAATGAATTACACAAACAACATGTTGTATTGATTTTCAAAATGTGCCCGAGCTTCCAATTTGTGACCGACTTGTCAATAAATAATATTCTGGCTATGTGTTCTTTACCTGTGTCAAGCTGGTTGTGCTTATCGCTTTGAAAGACAACAGAAATTGGCAACCTGGAAAAGGTACCTTTAAGAAATTACACGAGAAAAAAAATCATCTTCAAGTTTTCAGTAGAAACAAAAGAGAAGAACAAGAAGGGAAGTGGCGACTAAATGTGAACATTATCGAAAACTTTTTACGCATTTTAAAATAGTTTCCGCTGACATGCTGTTACTCTGAGAATATACGAATATAATTATTGCGAGTGAGTAAGACAAGCCCGACGCGTTCAAAACTGTTGGCAAAGAAGCCAATGTTTCGAATTTAATTTAAAAGAGCTAGCTCAAACTCTGAAAATCACTTAAAAATGGGACAAAATATGCATCTTCTATGAGACCACCCGATAGAACCATATTATGTTTTATGGAACTCTACTTGACACGGCACATGCATGATTCAGCAACTTTCCATATACCGACATTTTTAACACCTACTTCGTTCATTCATCATCCAAAAACACAAACATATTGACACTGGTCGTGTTAAGTGTCAGACAATAAATCACCCGTGCATAGCATGGAAGGCATCTATTGCTGCTCATTGAACTCCCTTCACGGTTGTATTAAGGTGGCCCAGTAAACACCCTCATGCTGCACTTTCACGATTCCCCTTTGCTTATTTTTGCGAAGACGTTTTGAAAGAGGCTGCTAATTATGGAATAAAAAGCACCTGTGGTGCTTGCTGTCAGGTCTTTTCTCCCAAAATGGCCCAAACTGGAGTAAGACTGAATGCTTACGCTTATAGCACCATGGTGTAACTTTCATTCTCCCTTATTGGTGCTAATAATACAGAGTGAGTCAAAAAATGTCGCTTTGGATATGTGTTGGTAGTGTTTTGGGGTGGTCACAAAGAAAGGCCTGTATCGTTTTCGTGCATGGCTGAATATCAGTGAAATTTGTACTGAATGTGGTCAATACCCAGACCGAATGTTGGCTGAAGAGAAAAAAACTGGTAACCTTTCTCTTTTTTGTGGGAGATAAGGACATATCCAAAGGGACATTTTTTTACTCACCCTGTACATCAGGGAAATTTTCACCTAATATATACACGGAGCCAACAATGCCCTGAAATTAAGAGCAAAAATACCGGGATGGGACACTTTAACTTAGTAGGACGCTTTAGTCTGAATGAAAAAAAGTTAACCATGACACGGTCATTGAAGTAAATTAATTGAGCCATTCCGTCTTTTTTTCCATTAAAGGCTTTTCCAGATCATCATTGCGTCTTTCACGGCTGGGATTCCATCCTCGTCCCCATGGATTTCGGCAGAATGTTTCAGAGGGAATCGCAGTTACTCCGTCGTCGGATGGACAACTTCGGCGCGGGCGCACTTCATCTTTTAAACCAAGGCGGCAGTTGTTTCTATTGTCACGATTAGGAGTCGTCTACACTCTGGCCCTTTTGTACGCGGTAATTGTGGTGGCTACATGCAAGACTCAAGTAGAAGATACGAGCATTGAGGTCTCATCTCATCCCACTGCAACAGATTCACAAGACTCATCTCATAACTTCAAGGAGACAGCAATCGGCACCACTACACCGCTGAATGCAATTTCTAACAGCACCGTCAACACACCAGATTCAACGATATCGAGTCAAAATCAAACCCAGTCCAGTAGGTCTGAGCAAAAATCTACTAACTCCCATGTACAGTCAACTGAAATTGTACCATCTAAGACACCTTTGTTTGGTGATTTGACAACTGTGGAAACCTCTCCTTCGCTTACACGTGAGAAAGTTGTCACAACATCTCATCTGTATGGCAGATTCCATCCATCCACGCCTGATTCTAAGACGACCACACCCATTCCAAACACACACGAAGAATCAAAGTTGACATATGAGGAGCCTTCTACACCACCTATGTCGCTGATCGAGAAGCTTACCATGAAGACGATCCCTGAATCAGAAACCGATTCTTACCTACGAGATCCAACGAGTACCGTCCCAGCTGAATCTAAGGTGACCGATGAAGCACAAACCACAATACCAACCTCCATAACTCAAAAACCTAAAATAGCCACAGATTCCGACCACAAACGTCATGAATCAAAGCAACATTCTGACCCACCAAAGACCCAACACATCACAGATAAACACAAGACGAAGATGACTGCTGATGAATCTCCAACCTCTCCAGGCACTCCGCCCGATAAATCTTTCACATCTCCAAGTAGCAAGACTGAAGACATATTTTTCGAAGAAACCGCAAGTGAGCAATTCATCTCCACCCGGGAGTCTGACACCGTCACAACAAACACAGTTTTCAGGGAAACTATGATGTCGTCTGCCTCCAACTCTGAAGCAATTGATCTCGTGACATCAGATGAGCCATTAATTTATAGGTCAACTGCAGTTCACCGAGAAGAGGTTTCCACCTCTGAGAATTCACCCAGACCTACTTTTGAGGGGACTGATACAAATGTGCATTTGCAGACTAGGTTTGTTAGTCACGTTGCTCCAACTAAGACCCAAGTGGATTTGTCTTCAAAAAAAGCAACAATGGAGGTTTTGAATAGAACGCAATCTGAACACGTCCAGACTTCACCTCCTTCACGCCAACCTGACCCTGACGTCACAAAACCTTCAACACAGACTCAGATACATCACGATACAACGGAGTCCAATAGAAAACCTTATACATCAGGAAAAACTCCACCAAAGTCCACTGAAATAACGCATTCAACATCAACTGCAGTTAACACTCAAACGTCAACCGAATCTTGGGAACAATCCACAAACTTTAAACATGTGTCATCTTCAAGTCCAACTTTGGTGTCGACAGATGAGTCGCCATCTACACTCTTTCCCTCTTCCCCTGTGACCGAGTCTCCAAAAATTAAAGTTTCATCACATTTTACACACTATTCTAAATCAGCAACCAAATCATCCACCAACATGGCGACCCCATCACCTGTAAATGCAGACAGCATTTCTACACCAAAACTCACGACCTCTACATCAACAATTTGGGGTACGCATCCAACAAAAATCCTAGCCAGTAAGGGGAGAGATAATGTGACAGAGCCGGCAATGACTGGGTTGATGTCTGAATTGCCAACAGGTTCCACTCGTTCAACTACAATGATATCAGCGAAATCAACTTCAGGTAGATCAGGAGACAATCAGACAACATCAGGGCATGCGATATCTTCAAGTTCCCGTGCAACTTCAGAAGACGTCCAGACCATGCAAACTACGGAGATGAAAAACACGGAGATCGCTCCTACAACTAAATTTCCCTTAAAGAACAAATCATCAACATCAAAATCTGTGATCTCTGATTCACCCACAACAGATTTTCGCGCCAAAACATCTGCTAGAGTGTCACTTATGACGTCCGAAGAAAATGCATTGTTTAAGACTCCAACTCCTGGCCCATCCAGTCTGACAACCTCTCAAGTTTCGTCTGCATCATCCAGAATCCACGCGTTTCTTTCATCCGTTTCTATCGACCCCGCTGTTGCCAAGACAACATCCATGGCGACGGCATCCACAAAGGCTGTCAAGCTCACACCAATATTAACCACAACCGAAGCTGCGATAAAAAGCTCTTCTGCCCCTATTGTGACAACAATTTCTCCCATGCAGAAAACCACAACTTCCCTCATGATAGAAACCACGACTTCTCCCATGATTGAAACCAGGACTTCCCCCATGATGGAAACAACAACTTCTCCCATACTGAAAACTACAACCTCTCCCATGCTGGAAGCTACAACTTTTCCCGTGCTGGAATTAATAACTTCTCCCACGATGGAAACCACAGCTTCTCCAATGGTGGAAATAACTTCTCCCGTGCTGGACATAGAAACTCCTCACGTGGTGGAAAACACAACCGCCCCCATGCCGGAAACAACAAAGTATCTCATGGTGAAAACAGAAACTTCTTCCACCCTGAAAACAACAACGATTCCCATGCTGGAAACAACAGCTTCTCCCACGCTTGAAACCACAACTTCTCCCATGATGGGATCAACAACTTCTCCCCTGATGGAAACCAGAACTTCCCTCATGCTGGAAACCACAACTTCTTCCATACTGGAAACAGCAACTTCTCCCTTGATAGAAACCACAACTTCTCCAAAGATGGGATCAACAACATCTCCCCTGATGGAAACAACAACTTCCCCCATGCTGGAAACCACAACTTCTTCCATGCTGGAAACCACAACTTCTTCCATACTAGAAACAGCAACTTCTCCCTTGATAGAAACCACAACTTCTCCAAAGATGGGATCAACAACATCTCCCCTGATGGAAGCAACAACTTCCCCCATGCTGGAAACCACAACTTCTTCATTGCTGGAAACAGCAACTTCTCCCTTGGTGGAGACCACAACTTCTCCCATGATGGGATCAATAACTTCTCCCCTGATGGAAACCACAATTTCCCCCATGTTGGAAACCACAACTTCTTCATTGCTGGAAACCACAACTTCTTCATTGCTGGAAACAGCAACTTCTCCCTTGATGGACAAAACAACTTCTCCCATGATTGGATCAAAAACTTCTCCTCTGATGGAAACCACAACCACCTCCATGCCGAAAACAACAACTTCTCCCATGCTGGAACCAACGTCTTCTCCGACGCTGGAAACATCAACTTCTCCCAAGCTGAAAACCACAACTTCCATGCTGAAAACCATCACTTCGCCTATACTTGAAATATCAACTTCTCCCACAACGAAAACAAAAACTTCTTCCACGCTGGAAACGATATCTACCATACTGAAAATAACATCATCTTCCATGCTTGAAACTACAACTTCTTCCCAGAAGGAAACAACTTCTCCCATGCTGCAAACCACAACTTCTCCCATGATGGAAACAACAACTTCCCCCATGATGGAAACAACAAGTTCCCCCATGATGGAAACAACAACTTCCCCCATGATGGAAACAACAACTTCCCCCATGATGGAAACAACAACTTCTCCCATGATGGAAACAACAACTTCCCCCATGAGGGAAACAACAACTTCCCCCATGATGGAAACAACAACTTCTCCCATGATGGAAACACCAACTTCCCCCATGATGGAAACAACAACTTCTCCCATGAGGGAAACAACAACTTCCCCCATGATGGAAACAACAACTTCCCCCATGATGGAAACAACAACTTCCCCCATGATGGAAACAACAACTTCCCCCATGATGGAAACAAGTGCTACAATGTACAACTCGACCGGTCACTCCACACCGTCAACGGCTTCATCTGAAACAGGCGCTACAACCTCATTCACGCTGTCACAAACATCTCCAATACCATCGAATTCTACAACCCCCAAATCGACGATATTTTCTCCTTCAGTGTCTGCAACCCCCTCACTTTTATCAACAACTTCCATGTCCAAATTGACTACTTCTCCAGTAGTGCAATCAGCATCTCCCTTGCCTGAATCAACAACTTCTTCCTCGCCCGAAATGACTACCTCTCCTCGGGTAGAATCCAAAACTCCCTCTTTTGAAACAACTTCGGCCTTTCTAGAATCGACCTCTTCTTCTTCATCTTCACTGAAATCCACAACATCCTTGCCCGAATCAACAAGTCAAGTGACTGAATCGATTCCTCCCTTGCCTGGATTGACGACGTCTCCCACGCCCGAACAAACTACCCCTGTTTTGATGAAATCAACAACTTCCCTTCTCGAGTCAACTACCCCTGAGTCCGAATCGACCACTCCTTCCTCAGAATCCAAAACTCCCTCACTCGAATCAACAACCTTGCCCGTACCCAATGTGTCTACTTCCCCAGTATTGGCCTCAACGTCTCCCTTTCCTGAGTCAACAACGTCTCACACAGCTGAACTAACCACTTCTCCTTCGTTGGAATCTACAACTGTCTTGCCCGAATTATCAACTTCACCCAAGCGCGATTTGAGTACAGTTTTCGTCTTGGAATCAACTTCTCCATCGATTGGAACGACTTCCTCCTTGGAATCTTCCATTGTACCGATGTCAAGTGTTTCTGATGCAGATGATGAAACAACTACCAAGTCTTCAGATGTAACCTCCAGCTCAACGGTTAAACCTTTCGCCAGCATCAGCTTGACTCCTATGACTTCACATGCCGAGGCAACTGCAACTGCAACGACCGCAGAGAACACTTATGAAACAGGTAAATGATGTTTTATAAGTGCTATAGTACATAAAGTCAACAGATGGATGCCATGTCTCCACAAAAAATTCAGACCAGTGAGAACAGTCTATAGATGCGCGTCTATTGTGGGTTATGATTTTGAGATGACCATATCTCTTGAAACGAATACAGCTAAAGGACAACAATATTATTTATTGCAAGTGACATCTTGTATCTGTGCTAGTTTGAAATATTGCCTATTTTTTTGGTTTATGTTTAGTCGATGAATGCCGACTGCATCTGGACAATTGTGACCAACTCACAGAGATCTGCGCGGATACAAAGGACTCGTATCGATGCGATTGCAGACAAGGGTACTTCAAAGACAAGACAGACACCTGTATAGGTAACTAGATGCACATGATAAAGTCTATATAATAATTTTTAGTCTGGGTTAAAAAGGGAACATGAGCAAAATTGCAGCTGTTTTGAAATAGCTTTAAAATGTACTTGTAAGTTTTAATTGTAAGTTTTGGCTTCGTATAAAATGTCTTCAATCTTGCAAGTTAAAAAAGAAGCAAATTTGTACATGGTATATCTCTAACATTGAAAATGAAAATAGTAGGGGAAAAAGTGAACACAAATTTTGTAAAATACGAAGCTGGTGATATTCAGGTTTTGTGTTTCACTTATCTGAAAATGGTATTTAGATTTTCATCGATACCTTCTTTTTTTCCCAGAGGGTATCTCATTCTACGGAAGATTTAAGATAGATGCATTCATTCGCGGAGAAAACAACGCGGTATCTGCCTCTTACACTCCGGAATTAGAAGATCCAACCAGTGCAACTTTTATGGAGCTTTCTGCGCATGTACAGGATGCAGTAAGTACTCGATTGTTCTTTTTATTGTCAAAGAAAAGAAGCACACAGGAACTTACGATTATAAGATTACGACTTTGCCTTTCAACTGTCTTGGGGAAACACACATCCCCTATCGCTGTGTTTCTTATTATTCAAAATAATATTGTCATGACATTTCAGCCTTAGCAATGGGCCTTCTTCAGAGGCAAAACAAGAAACAACCATATACGGGACAGCTACATGTTTGTTTCTTGTTCCTCAGTCACTTGCCTCTGGAGGCAAAACAAGAAACAACCATATACGGGACAGCTACATGTTTGTTTCTTGTTCCTCAGTCATTTGCCTCTGAAGAAGGCCTTGCTTAAGCTGAAATATCAGCGGGCCATTCTATTTTTCATTTGTATATTTCAGGTCAATCCAGTCAGTGAGCAGTTTGCACTGCTTCTTTGTTTCTTGTTTTTCTTCTGTTTTGCAGATTGAATTTGTATTTCAGCAAGACTCCAGAACAGAGTCATTGTACCGAGGCTGTGAGGTTATTCGGTTCTGGTCTGGCAGCATCGTCACTGAGTTCCAAATCATTATGGACGGGGCATCTTCACTAAACCAGTCTAACCTGCAAGTTATTCTACTCAATGCTGTAGAAAATGGAACATTGCTGAGATATGGTAGATTGGTTGTGGCAGCGGATTCTATACGTGTGACTCGTAAGTAAAGTCTTATTTCCCTCCAAAAACGTTTCCCAATTCTTAATGAATTCCGAACGAAACTATTCAAAAACGATGATACATTGTTTTGTTTTCAACAAAGAAACGTTCAATTTTGTTGGAGGGTTTGTTTCGGGCACTCTTTTTACCTTTCGTTCCTACCTCTGAAGTTCTTGGCACTTTTTAAAATTGCTGCAGCTCTTGACGAGTGCGCACAGGATCTCCACGATTGCTCCGAGCATGCTACCTGTCACGATCAGCCGACAAGTTTCACTTGTGTCTGCAGTGAGGGATACAGGGACCCATACCAAGGTGTCATTCCAGGAAGATACTGCGAACCAGGTACGAATAGACGAATCGGAAGCTAGAGGGGGCGGAGCCAGGTTAAGAAAAGGGAGGAGGGGTTCAAACTAAGACATGTCAGAGATGTTTGGACATTCATACTGAACAATGCAATAACGCATGTTGCCGCTGAGGGCGCAACATCCTGCTTATCCAGCCCACGATGAAACATTCTAGAGATTTCAACAGGGTTTATGATCATTTAGTACGTTTGGTTTATATGTTTCAGTTGCCCATCCTACAAAGAGATCTCCGATCAACAAGATGTTCTTCATCGTTGCCATCGTCCTACTTGCATCAGTCTTTCTCTTGGTCGTCTTAACCATCTCAATGACCATCGTGTGCAAGAACTGGCGATCGAGACACAAGAGCTTCACCTTAAAGAGCGTAGACGCCGTTCCAGGCGTCACGGCGCCGAGGAAGATCTCTGACGCGTTCCTCGCCGGCGCCGACGTGGAGACTGGGATGTGGTGTCCTGGGGACGATCAAGAAATGGACAACTGGTCGACTGGTAGCTCGTCTAGCACGGGACGGGCGTCACAGAAAGGAAAGGACAAAATGAAGGTACGATAGGTGTATTTTTGTTTTAATCACTCAGGAGCAGCGTTGTACGGTCGAGTCTACCACAAGTCCATCACAAGTCCGTCACAAGTCCATCACAAGTCCATCACAAGTCCATCACAAGTCCGTCACAAGTTCATCACAAGTCCGTCACAAGTCCATCACGAGTCCATCACAAGTCCATCACAAATCTGTCACAAGTCCGTCACAAGTTCATCACAAGTCCATTACAAGTCCATCACAAGTCCATCACATTCAGTCTCAAGTCAAGTCACTAGTTATTCAAATGAACTGTTACAAAAGCATTCCTTTGTCATTGTTCATCCAGTTTGTGACTGGACTTTATGAAAGGACTTGTGACATGACTCGACTACAACACTGCTCAGGAGAATGCTGTAAAGAGCATGCTTTGCATGACTGTAATGAACATCTCTCAAATTTCGGTGAATGTAGAAATACATCGGTAATACTTAACCGTGTCAACAGGAGTTAATATTAATTAATTTATATTATATAATAGTTTATACATGAGACAATAATGTGTTTTTTTTTATTTTGCAGAATGGTCGTATGGCACCTATAGCCAATATTTCCGAGCTTGAGTTTGAGATGGGATGCGATGCCAGCTTCGAAGACGAGAAAGGGATGGTGAGTTAAACAATTAATAATTTACATGACTTACAATCCACTATTTAGAAACAAAACTTGAAGGAATACCAATATTGTGTGAGACGGCTAGGTGAGTATAACTTTCTCTAAAACAATGAGGGCGCCCTGCAGCTTTAACATGGCAAAGCGACCTTTTACGACCTCGAAATCTTCCCAATTCATCTGTGATGAATTATGGGTGATAGGAAGTGGGTGTCGGACGCTTCGCCCCATTTCCACGTCGCCCCATGTCACTTCGCCCCTAACCACTTCGCCCCATCCCCACTTCGCCCCATCCCCACATCGCCCCATCTCCGCTTCGCCCCATCCCCGCTTCGCCCCATCCCCACTTCGCCCCATCCCCACTTCGCCCCATCCCCACTTCGCCCCATGTAGTATGAAAAAGGTGAAGGCTAGTCTAGGGGTGCAGACCAAATAAACAGCCAAAGACCCCAGATAATAAATGCTCTCAATTCTAGAAACTCAGGAAAAACACAAACTCTCTGATGTGGTGCTAGAGACACAGATGAGAGATGATGGCTCTATCCCATTCAGAGACGCCTCTCCTATTGGCTTGTGAATAACTTCATCAGCCGCTGGAATCGGCTGGATTCAAAAGAATCCGTAGGTATGGGTCAGTGAGTTACAAGGAACTCACTGCCTTGAGGAAAATGTTCCGTCAAAATTTGTCTGATATGTGACTTACAACTTCATTTAGATGAGATTGGTTTCTCCAAGAGTGAAATTAGGATGTCAAAGGTATTGTCGTTCTCAGATAAGTGGGAGACAGGTTGGTATAGCCGGGTTGGGAACAAAGTTGGATCTTTTACTTCAAGCTTGAGAGGTTGGTTATGAATTGTTCATTTGGTGATAGGCTAATTCTTTCCGTTGGTTAGCAATTAGTGAATCTGTTGAAATTGTTTTTTGTAAGCCAAAAAATTAGATGAGATTTTTTTTTTACATGTAAGTTGTAACGGCTGGGGCGAAGTGGGGATGGGGCGAAGTGGGGATGGGGCGAAGTGGGGATGGGGCGAAGTGGGAATGGGGCGAAGTGGGAATAGGGCGAAGTGGGGATGGGGCGATGTGGGAATGGGGCGAAGTGGGGATGGGGCGATGTGGTTAGGGGCGAAGTGACATGGGGCGACGTGGAAATGGGGCGAAGTGTCCGACATTCATAGGAAGTATATCCCATCATGCATCACGGCTTCCAAGCTGACGTTACACAAAACCGCTTAAAAGTGGTGAGATACTGACACAAGAATTGCATTTTTATTTACTGTGTCACAGAGGTCTTCCAGTATTATTGACATTCGTGTGATTGATTCATACTTGTACATTTCAGAACGCTACAAAACCAACCAATGCTGGCAAACCGACATGCGATATCCACAAAGGCCATGGCGACCAAAATGCTAACATAGTAAGTATTTAAAATACAATTTTAAAACTCTCATAATTTAAAGCATTTGTGGTTTTTGTGAATGTATCTCATACTCTCTGTTTCTCGTCTCTCGAGGTTTCGTCAGGAGATGACAATGCAAAGAAGGGGACGCCTAACACTGCAGTTACCACAGAATCAGCCAAAGCATCCTCAAAACAAGACCCCGTGACTAGCACGGCGCCCTCTACGGTGGGAGGAAGAAAGGCCAAGGTTCGACCAATGCCTAAAGGTCCGCTGGGAAGCAGACGGTTTTAAGTTGGTGATTATTGATGAGTGGACGTTATTATCGAAGTAGTTTGTTTGTATTGTGTTTGAAAGTAATGATGCAGTTTTATAAAACATAGAGTGATTTGAGCAAACATTTGTAGCAAAAAAAATCCTATTTATCGAAGTTGTTTCAAGCATGAAAGCATTAGGGCATCCCTTTTTGTTTCTTGAATTCTCATTTTCCGACCGACCTTATTTTGGACAATACTTCGTTATGACACGGCAAAGTTTAGAGCATTGTACCCCAAAATGTTTTGTATTTCGAAGTAGGTGTGTAGATAAGTTCAAGGATTCTCTGCCGTGAATACAGTTCCGGCTTTCTGTTATTTTTTGAAGTCTGCACTCGACATTGTTGACGAGTTGTAATGATACTTCGCGGACTCCTCTATAGAGGTAAATAATAAGTGGTTGCTAAGCGACGATTCGCTGGACTTTCTATGAACACTCTTCGTCAATTCAATCAAGGATCTGTCTTTAGTTGATACTTAAAGAATACTGTTTTTGCATGTGATATTAAATTTTGTATTTTTCTATTTGTTTAAGCTGGATTTGTTACCGTGATATACATCTTTGTATAGGCTTGCTAGTTTATAGCTTTTTTGTTTGTTTGTACGTTTGAGTTTCTGCTGGTTAATTCTTATGGTTTTAAACTTGTTTTCTTCAATGTAAGAAAATAAAAGGAAATTCTGATACCTGCCATCTTGTTTCGAAGAAAGTCAATACAACAATGTACTTTTGTCATGATCAGTAAGGCGATAGAGGAGCGGTTGAAACTTCTGATCCCCCAAAAGATGTAAAAATAAACACATAGACTCTTAAAGTAGGATGAAACTTCCATATAGGGAACCCCACATATAAGATGGGAGCGTATTCTTAACCAATGTGCACGAAATACAAATACGAAATATGACAATAGGCCTATGGAATTCAAAACGATACTTTTTGGCAATAGCTTGTCATTTTTCAGTACTTTTTGTCTGAGAGAGTCTGTGAGAAAAAATATTCTACGTACATGCACCTTCTTTTTGACAAAAAACTGTGGCACTCTGGTTGAGATGCTTCAGTGCAAGGCCGGATCCAGGACACAATTTGGGGGGGGGGGCATTTTTTTTTGTTCCCGAAAAAGTGGGTCCAACAATTTTCTGCCCCAAATTTACTATGAAAAGCAAGGGAAGGGGTGCAAATGTATTGCTTTGGTTGAGTTTTGTGGTTGGTGCACGCAATGACTGCCTTTTTGCGACGTTACTGAAAAATATAAAATAGAATTTTTAACAAATGGGTTCGTTTTGTGTGTTTCTTGTGAGGGGGGGTATGGCCCCCGTCGGTCCCCCCCCCCCCGATCCGTTGTTGCTTCAGTGAACAAAGCTTGCTACTTGCACTCAGGTTTAAAGTCAAGGTTGAGAACAAAATAGGATACGATTGCCCAACAGGATCTCTCAAAAAGACAAAATGAACAAGTGTTCTTGATAGAGCACTCCAAAAAGTTTGCTGCGTTGGCTTGGAGTCGACAAGATAAACAAAACAATATGTATAAAGGCAGGATTCAAATCGTCTTTTTTCATTTATCATAGAGGGTATAGGCCTATCCACATTTTCATTTGTCATAGTTCAAATTGCGGAGACCGCTTCCACTTTTGATCTGCTTTGATCATCTCTTACTTTATCATTACTCAGCTGTTTGTCAAGCGAACACGACAAAATAACTGCATAAAATGTTGGAATGAACATTATTTGCGTGACTGTTTGCACCAAGTAAAGAAGTCGACAAACTGGTGTTCAAATGTCTTGGGAAGACGTGCTTACTGTTAACTTGGGGAGCAAATGGAGCGGGCCAGTATCACCCCAGGAATTTCAGGAGGCTTTTCCAGAGGAGACACGGGTAAGTCTGGCATCCCTTGAGGGGCACAAAATTTGCTTTGGAGTCGGCTTGGTCTGATGTTGACTCGGTACAAAGCCAACTTAATCTGAAGATTACTCGGTCTCGATTAAGTCAACTCGGTGGAAAGGCACCTTTTGTAGACAAGACGGTTATGATGTTGCTCGACGACTTTTCGTGGGACCAAGTTAGCCAACATCCCTCGTGCATAATCGGGGAGGGGGAGGTTCGCAAGTTGGGATACAAGGGATGCTTGAATACTTGTAGGTTCGTTTACTCCATTCCCTGATAAATATACATGCACTGCAGCTATTTAAGGAGAAAGGTACATCCACCAACCTCTGGAGAAAACGTCCATGCATTTTATTGTACAAGTGATAATGTACTGTAATGTAACAGGAAATACGAATGCGACAATTTAGTCGTGATTAACAAGGAAATTGCAATGCGGTGTAAATGATTTTATGCAACATATAGGAGTTCTTTTTGAGGCTGTTTCACTCGTTCGATGAACATGGAACCGCCATACCCATCGATGACTTGAGAGAGAGACTTCATCGGTTAGACTCCATGCCAGAAGTAGAAAAACTACGCTTTATCTTAGAACTACAAGACGACGATGGTAAGATATTTTCTAGCTTTTAAAATACACAAAATATATGTGCTAATACGAGCGCTTCACTAAAAAAATACTGAACAAACAAACAACACAGACAGGTAGATAGCAAGCAAGCAACGATTGCACACTTAATAAATACAAATAGAAGTCAAGTTTCAAGACACAATATACGCCTAGGCCTAAAAGTGCTTGAAATTAGACTTTAAAATACGATTTTAAGAAAACTAACATTTCCCCGGAAAAAAATATATAAAGAACATTGTAATTTTCTTTACAGGAAGTGGACTTGTGACTTTCCAAGACCTCCAGATATGTCTACGAATTTGGGCCTTGTCTGTTGAAGAGACCAATCACGTGATCGAGTATATAGATTTTATGCTGGAAACATTACGACTGTCGCTTTTCCATGACGGCGAAGGAGGGCTTGTGGGAATTGACGAGATTTTGCGAGAAGTGTACGAGAGTCAGATTCTGACCATGCTTACAAGGTGATAATTAATTCCTTTCAGTTCAAGCTCAGAGATCATCGTGTTTTTCTTTTCAGTGATTTCGCGAAGAAGCCTAACAATTTTTTTTTTTTTTACTTTTGCTAATCTTTTTCTTATTACCAGATTAAAAGATCACTCACCTACTGATCCCCTCAAGTCTGGTTTCCTGACTTCACATTTGCCAATCGTCACACAAATCTTCTCCTGGAGGTATCTTCGTTATAACCGTCGCAAGGTGCTCTACTGTCTTCTCTACGCACTGATAAACATAGCGCTTGTCGTCAGCAGTGTCTGCTCGCACTGGGGCCATTCGTGCCTCGTCTTAATAGGTAATCATCTAATATCAAATCATCTAATATCAAGTTTCTACTCGCTAAACGGTGTCGGATTTGTTTAGTTACTTCCTAGAAATAGTGAAATACCTTCTTTTCTACTTTTCCAGTGAGATAGGTCTGTAGGCCGACTGTCATCGTTTTTACCCTTTATATACAATTTCACATTTACTCAGGTATATTCTTCCAATGACCCTTAATGGTTAAGAGGTAGTTTAACAATGAATTGAACAGGCAGTTTGTTGTTTGCATTCCTAATTTCATTTGCAAATGCCTATTTTTCTGATAACTTGCAGCCAGATCAACTGGCAAGTGCTTGTATTTCAACACGGCCCTGTCCGTACTCTTGATGCTACGGCACAGTTTGACTCATCTACGGACGACCAGACTGGCCAAATATCTACCGATTGACCAACATGTCCTCCTGCACAAGTCGGTTGGCGTTGTGATCGTCGTGTTCTCATTAACACATACTTTGTGTCACACTCTAAATGCAGGTAAGAACTGCGCATGTCGGTGAAAGCATGGGTAACTTCGTTCGCAGTGAGTAGACCCTGGGCGAGAGACATAAGCAAGCCATAGCGTATTGCTCGAAAGTCACGGGGACGAGGTTGATGCAAGATCCGGCGTAATGTGCTCTAACTGAGCATGCACGCTCGCGGATGGAGGAGTTGTTCAGGGAAGAAAAGTTGATAATTAGATATTTCGCCAAGTCGTAAATTTGGATCTCTTGGAGAATAAATCATTTTTAAGCAGATTGTGAAATCACAGGTTCACACAAACAAACCAATGAAAACTCCGTGTTAAAGTAAAGAGGGACTACTGGCTGTAGTCAGCTGGGTGAAACTTTAACTGTTTTCTGATCAAATCAAACTAGGTGTAGGATTTAGGCCTATACAAGATAATGGGACGTTAGTTAGGTTGTCAGTCTGCTTTAGAGTTGCAATTGTGCAACTACGGACAATTTCATTGAGCTACTAATCGCAGAATGGTATTATTCTGCCAACCACACAAGACTTTTGCTTAACAAAAACAAAAGTTTTATAAAGTTTGACCCCAAAAAATATGAAGGAGCATTTTACTGAGCTTTAGAAGCTGAAATTGGCCCAAACGTACGTCATACGTTTATTAGGGGTAAAACAAACGTTCCTGATTTACACATTTCTTTTCTGTTTTTATTTTTTACCCTTCAAGCCTTGATTTGCAGAAACTCGACGAACTCTCTGCCTTCGTACCTCCTCACGACCAGTTCCCGCGTTGGGCATTTCTTCGGTGCTGCTTACCCAACCGGCTGGCTGCTTCTGGTTACCATTACCGCAATGACAGTGACTTCGCTTGTTTGTGTGCGAAGGAAGCATTTTCAGGTCAGCTTGCTTTCAAGGAATTTGTAACATTATGGTTCATTGCCAGCAAATGGTGGAAATCATGTCATAACCGAGTATCTCCCTTAATAAAAAAAAAATAAAAAAAAGCCACAGTACATGTAGTAATAATATAATTTGTGGAAGTATTTCGTTTGACACGCTGTAGTTTCATAGACTCCATTGGTTGGGGGATCGTTGATAACTTCTGAAATTGCTTAGCCAATACTAAACCGGCTACTTCACTCATTGAGCTAATTTCAGGACCACCTCACACAAGCAGACGAACCTGTACTAGAAATACATACAGCCATAATGATTTACAGTAAATTTCCTGATTTTAATACCACTGCTAATACCCCCCCCCCCAGAAGTGTCTACTTGTTTTACAAAATACAAGCTCACCCGAAAACTGATTGAACATTTAATCCAGTAATCTAAAACAGATAAACTATAACCCCAACCTTCAATACCATATACATAATTATGAATTATCTCTTTGAATTCGTAGATTTTTTACATTGTTCATCGTCTCTATACTGTCTTCCTGATATGTCTCCTTCTCCACACTCCTGACTTTTGGAAATGGATTCTTCTCCCTGGCCTGTTGCTCATGATCGAGAAGGTCTGGTGCTCTGACGTCTCTAAGTGTCTGCTGTACTACAAGTCGAGCATTACGCAGGTTTCTCCTCTCCCAAATGAGGTGCGTATATCAGGCTCCTAAAGGATTGAATTATTTTGTTAGCAAGGTATTATTCTTAATTCAAGCACACACAAAATCTTCTCTCAAATGCGGCAACCAAAAAATCAAAACAAAAGCAAGTGACAAGATTAACTATTGTGTCTTAGTTCGTAAGCTCTTCCCTACAAGTCTGTGGTAGAGAGAAAACCTTTTCTTTAAACGTCTTTTTCGATTCGGTTACAAAGGTTCCCAAGTCGTTTTCTCAAGACAAATTCATTAGGACTTTAACATTTGTCCCCGATTTCAAGTCATCTCAGTTCCAATCTAATGATTTAGTAT